CATGTGATCGTTTGCGATGAAGGTGACAAAAAGGTGAAAGTCATCTCCCCAGACGGGAAAGAATTGCTGCTGGCCTTCGCTGCACCGGATAGCGAAGTTTCCCCAAGCTTTCCATGTTACTATCGTGGCAGGTTCTATGTTTCCTATATGAGAGCACATTGTGTGAAGGTTTATGATAAGGAAGGAGTGTTTCTTTATAACATTGGCAGCGAGGGTTGTGGTGAAGGACAGTTGAGATATCCCGAGGGACTTTGTGTAGACTCCTTTGGTAACCTGATCGTGTGCGACGTCAGTGGCAGTCATGAAAATCTGCACGATGGCGTCCTGAAAATGTTCACCTTGGACGGAACATTTCTCACCTCATTTGGCGAGGATAAGATCAAAGTTCCTTGGAGCATGTGTGCCTGTAATAATGGCGATCTACTCGTTGCCGATCTTCTCGAGGACAGTGTTCATATTTTAAAATAACCTGTTTCCTTCATTGCAAAGTGAAACACAAGTGGAACAATTCTTCAGTTGGTTGCGTGAACGCTCCGACAAGCCTTCCTTTTTCCCTCTAAAAAAACCGCTTGTGTCGTTATCCGTTAATGTTTAGGAGTAAAATGAACTTTTTTTAAACATCATAAGTTGTCTTAAAAAGAAAACTAATATATGTTATTCACCAGCCGCGCTAAGAACCAAGCAGATTGCAGAATTTGTTACCGTCCCCTTTGAGAAAAAAAAAAAATAATATAAGTTGTTTTTCACAACTTCGTGGCATTTGAACAAAACTTGTCTCCGATTTTGGTAGTCATTCAGAAATTTTTAATTCCCCTCCAACACCCCTATAAGCCCCCCTGTCCAACCCTTTTTCGTAAATCTTCCCCATCCTTTTTTACCCAATACTGTAGTGTTTACTTACTTTAGACTTAAAAGCAATTTAAGCTACAATCACAAGTTTCAGTCGAAAACAGTCGGTTTGGTACATTAAATGTGGTTCGGCCTTCGGACGCGATGTTCAGTATATTATTGTTGCCTCAGTAACGTGTCAAGTGAATGTGAATCTGAGCAGGATTGGTTACTGGTTTGTTTTGATCTCGGTTATCAAATCTGATAACTATCCCGGACTGATAAGTACAAGTCTACCCCAACCTGTTAGAAATTCTCCTTTCCCGATGCCATACTTCACCTGGTCAATGTATTAAGGGAATGTTTGACCAGCAATGTAACCATGAAGTTATTTGCGCAATAATAATAAACCGTGTACTGAGAGCGCAACTTCTTTTAACGCTGTCGCTCCAATATGGCATCCTCGCCCCCTCTCTCAAGGGGACGGGGGTATCAGAGACTTAGCTTGCAATGGTCGAAAACTCATTCATAGTTAAAATGCGAGTCCTCATATTTTTATGATTTGTCGCGCACCTTTCGTAAATATTGCTTATGGTGTATTTATTTCCTCCTAAAGTAATTAAAACGGAAACTCATATGGATATAGAAGCAAAGAGCAAAATAAAAATTTTATTTGTTGAGTCTCACGTGGCGACTTATTGGGGAGTGGAGAGACAGAAGTGGGCTCATTTGAGAGTTTACAGTGCAGATGCCTCCGAGGGCACGAGAGAATACCAAGATTTTTCGAAAAGAACTTGTGATATCTTGTCTAATAGCTCTCCCTTTCAAAGCGCGCATGAAAGTGCCGGCTACGAAGGCCAGGAAAACTAGTTTGCAAATTGGATTGAGTCAAGAAGTTTACAAAACTTTGTGAGGCTAGGTTTTTCGCACTAACTGGACTTTTGCGGGGAACGCAACAATAATGGCGGAAAATAGCTCAGTAGAGACCACTTGGAGTGGGAATGGAAACTCGTCTCGTCACGTAATATGTGACTAACACAGTCCACAGACTGTACGATTTTATGCCTCTATCTGCGTCGGTGTACATACTAGAAGATTTTAAGCCGTTAAAACAAAACACAACACACATGTTCTATGTTTCCTATATGAGAGCACATTGTGTGAAGGTTTTTGATAAGGAAGGAGTGTTCATAAGCAATATTGGCCGCAAAGGTTGTGGTGAAGGACAGTTGAGATATCCCGAGGGACTTTGTGTAGATTCCTTTGGTAACCTGCTCGTGTGTGACGCTAGTAGCATTGATGAAAATCTCCGCGACGGCGTCCTGAAAATGTTCACCTTGGATGGAACATTTCTCACTTCATTTGGCGAGAACACGATCAAAGTTCCTTGAATCGTGTTTCGCTGTAATAATGGCGATCTGCTCGTTGCTGCTGTTGTCGGGGATAACGTTCATATTTTACGATAACCTGTTTGCTCCACTGCAAAATGAAACACAACGGACCAAGGTCCTCCCAAATAAACTTATTTGTTGTTTATTTTCTGTGAAGTGGAGTTATTTATTTCAAAATTTTCATACGCAGTTTCACTGAATGACAGCATCACATGCTTTGCGATTAGCAATCAGAGTCACTCTTCTCAGTTTTCCAATGTTTTAGATTGAAGAGTTTTACAGCAAAATCATAAACTAAGGGGGATCTTGCTAAAAAAGCGAAAACTACGGTTCCACTTTCTTTTTTCCCGAATATTTTCTGCACCAATTTAAATTTACAACATTTTCAACCACTTTCTTTCCCAGAGCTTCCCCCACTGACGTCAGAGGACACTAGATCCCAGATCTCCTTTTTTACACAGCCGTAGAATCGTAGATGGTTATTTTTGACCCAACTACGTAATCGTTTTGAAATTGAAAGGAATAAAAAAATGGTGTAAGGGGCACTTTAACGTTCCGCAAGAGTTTGTAATCTCTTGCGCTCTGTTAGTTAGAATTCTACCACAGGAACTGAATAATTTCATAGTACCAAGGAGAAAATCTATTTTTATAGGCCTAAAAGCTCCAGTATTCCAGTGGTGCTTTTAAGATTCAACATTTTGAAACGACGCGAATTTCACATTTTTTAACTAGCACCGATTGTTAGACTTAAACAAGAGAGACAGAGAGGGCCGAGATAAGGCTGGTGTTTCCTCCCAAGTTACCTCTGGGAAACACGAGCGAGTGAGGAAAACTTACTTTAATTACACTTATAGTTCTTTTCTTCCTCAATGAACGTCGTTGAAGTGCGTAGGTCCTGGGCATGACAATTGGAATGCGACATAAATAAATTATACTGTTCGTTGTCACGCGAGGCCCAGAATATATGTCGACCGAACTAAACTTGATTTTCCCGCCGTGGTTGGCTACGTTCTATTCCTTCTTCACCGTAAAAGATTAAAGGTTTGTTTCCCTATTACTTTTTTCTTTTTTCTTCTGACTAGAGGGCTAGAGACACGTCGAAATACTTATCCTTTGAGTTGCCATTCTGTCGAATGTCGAATGCGTAATAAGGTCATACATTGCTTATTTTAAAATCATAGGTAAACATTGGCAATCGAAAATTCTTAGCGATGTTTTGAAAGAGTCTAATTTATCTGGAGATTCAGAGACAGCATTTTACCACAGCACAGTGTTCTTTATGTTCGGATGATTTAATAAACAGAGAGCCAACTGCTAGTATAATATACAAATGGTTATCGTGCCAAATATTCAGCTGTTACTGTAAACTCTTTAAAATTACAGTCATTGCTTGGGGCAATTTGACGTTTATTTTGCAATTCGCCACTGGCGTTTCTCAGCCCTCCAAAATCTTTCACTTTAGATGTTGTGCTGGTTTATTACACTGATAATGTTCAGTTAAATGTATAAACATGAGCGCGCTATGTATCTCTGAAGGCCTTAAGTGGTAAAATGCTAATGAGGCACCCAGGGCCGAGTTGGCTATGACCAATCTGGCATCCAACAAACGCGTACGGGATAATTCTTTGTTTAATTTCGCCGTGATTCGATATTTCCGGGAAAGCCTGTAAAGTTGATTCGTGTCAAATCTAAGTTATTATTCATCAGGACGACTACCGGAAGTCGATGCTGGTTCTAACCGCCAAAACTGCTAAATATAGGCACATGACATGAAAATCACTTTCGACAGGAGCTCAATTGAAAGTCTAAGGCGAAGGATGTTTATACAGTGCACTTGTACTTTGAAATCCATGAACGTGATATGAAGTAAAATATTTCCGAGATAAATGTTCAATTATGTTTATGAATCAGCGTTTAGTCGTGCACGAAATGTGAAACCAAGAGAAGAAAGCGATCGAAGACGACTATCGTTTAAATATGCTTAACCTTCTTTCTCGCTACGAGTACAGTTTATGAGTTGAAAACCTATGGAGACTAAGTATCCAATTCGAATTTCAAATTTTAGAAGCGTTAGGTACGCTCACCATGGCTTCACTTTATGGCAGGGAACGAGCTAAACCAGACAAACCAGTATTACGGCTATTAATGGTTATTGGTCCTTACCCAGCGTAGAAATTTAGTGCAAGACTTCTAGCTCCGCTGTTGGAAAAAAAATTGACTCATTTTTCAACCCTCTTATTCCAGGATTTGCAAATCATCCTGAAATTTTAATGGGAAGCGGTTTTTGTTTATTTTGTTGGTGTTGTTTATACTCTTTTTACTCTACAGACCGTAAAATAGAAATGTCAGGTGCAGTTTTGATTCCAATACATAATAACTTCAAAGAAAGAAAAGGAGCTTTGTGACACCCAATGCAATATTTTTAATCTTACCCCTATATAGCTATGATAAAAAGGTACAAGAGCTGATAACTGAGATTAGCTGAAGCAATTAAAACAACAGAATAACTCAGTAAAAGATGGTGTCATCAGATCTCCTGAATTTATTGGAAGTTTCAAATGAGGAATGAAAAGAAATGATGAGGGTAACATTTAGCCTCTTTAGCAAGAACTTTTGAGGGAAAAAGTTCCCCTTTTTGAATTTTAAAGTAGTAAATTAAAGTCCCCTGTTTTCAATGTCAAACTACTATTGAACTGTCTTTCATTGAAACTGTGATATAGAAAGAAAACGGACTTCCCCATAACAGAGTAATAAATATTTTTTTTAAGACAGGAGTCATTCATGGCCAGTGCCCCACCATCTGCTTCATCCACAAAGGAGACAACAAACTATGCCAGATTGTGCCGTCTGCTGGTTGATATTGGAACCCAGGCTCTTCGAGATACGTTTGATGCCATCCATGCACCGGGAAATCTACACTCAGTTTTGGCGGCAGAGAAGCCCACCTTACAATATCTTAGAAAGAAGAGGATTATCAATCAAATACAGTGGGGGAAGCTTTTCCCTGCCATCCCTAACTTAGTGTCTTCACGTGACTTTGACACAACTTTGCTAATGGTTCTGTTACGGAACCTGTGCGGCTTAACTGCTCCGCTGACCGGCTGGGACGCATTGCCCGCCGTAACAGACCTCAGCAGGGAAGCGGACATTGCCCGAGTTAAGTATTTTAGGAATACTGTGTACGGTCACGCTAAGAATGCTTCTGTTGATGACGTAAAGTTCAATGACCACTGGCGCGACATCCGGGACGCTCTGATTAGATTAGGAGGCGTTAGTTATAAAGCTGTCATTGACGATCTTAGAGACGAGTGCATGGACCCTGAAATTGAAGATTGCTACATAGAACTACTCAGAGAGTGGAAAAAGGACGACGACAACATTAAAGATCAGCTGAACGAGATCATGAAAAAGCTAGACGCCCTGGCTAATAACAGTAAGATTTGAAGTGTGAGGCGAATGAAGATAGTTGGTTTTAAGCCTGGTGATTCCAAAGTTTGACCTATACTTCCGGGTTTAAACGTGTCCCTTTTTATGGTAAAACGATCTAGCGATAGATGATAAGTAACTAGTCAGGCAGTACCTAAAGTAATATATAGAATTCAGCAAGCCTAAAGGCGGAGCTCGCATTTTTTTCCTGCACGTCTCTTCAACAAAACTAAAGCCCCTACTATGGATAAAGTGCATGGTAATGTTGACGGATTTTCATTCGCAACTTCTTCGTGTTCGTCTAGAGGACTGATTATAAGATAGTGCCCGTACAGTTGGCCGCGCACGCTAAAAGTAGCACCTTGTACGGTCGATCGTACGGTCGTACATCCAAATTTTTTCGGCTGGATGGGTTACTACCATTTTGTATAATTATGAAGATACGCGAGCTCCGCTATAAGAAAACCGTATACTGTAGGTATACTCTCATTAGCGAACGCTCATTTTCATCATACTTCAGTCAATCGTCACGGAACTTCTAAACTTCTTTTTCAAGGTCAACCATACCAACAGCGTAAACAGAACTCGGTCAGAGTTACCACTTGCAAAGAGAGCTTCCACGAGAACGAGCCACGTGACTCCTATTACCATGAAGGTGAAGTCTGTATTCGTCTCAAATGTGGGCAAACAGCTCATGATCCGCTGGGTAGAGTGGTACTGAGTGACACTGGTCATTCGCGGTCATTGGCTAGAGGGAAGGGTTTGCTAAAAGAAGAACAGGGCGCCGAAGCTAAATTCACAGTAATAACGCGAGATCCAGGTGGACAACAGTTCTGTAACGAGCAAGAACAAGTGACCGTCACTGGCAGCGTTGGTCAACATGAAATTGAAATCAAGTTGAATATATGGCCGCTGACCGGTAGTCCTGAGAAAGTCGAGGTGAAGCCCCATCAGTACAAAGTAGAGAAGTCTTTTGGGTCGAGAGAATTAAACAAACCATATTGTATCGCAAAGAATGAAATAACTGGAGACATTGCAGTGGCAGATTATGTTAACAAAAGAGTCCTGGTCTTAGATAAGGACATGAAACATGTGAAGACGATAGGAGGCGAAGCAGACTCACAACATAGTGTCAACATAGGTTTTCCTGTTTCAGTGGCATTCTCAAAGAGAAATGACATCATGGTTACTCATGAGCAGTTCAGTCCTTGTAATAAGAAGCTTTCAGTTATAACTGATCGTGGATTCATCATGGAGCAGTTCACTAAACATCTGATTAAAGCACATCATGTTTTTTTCAAAACTGATGATGGCCATATGATCGTTTGTGATGAAGGTGACAAAAAGGTGAAAGTCATCTCCCCAGACGGGAAAGAATTGCTACTGGCCTTCTCTGCACCGGATAGCGAAGTTTCCCCAAGCTTTCCATGTTACTATCGTGGCAGGTTCTTTGTATCCTATATGAGAGCACATTGTGTGAAGGTTTATGATAAGGAAGGAGTGTTTCTTTATAACATTGGCAGCGAGGGTTGTGGTGAAGGACAGTTGAGATATCCCGAGGGACTTTGTGTAGACTCCTTTGGTAACCTGATCGTGTGCGACGCAAGTGGCATTGATGAAAATCTGCAAGATGGCGTCCTGAAAATGTTCACCTTGGACGGAACATTTCTCACCTCATTTGGCGAGGATAAGATCAAAGTTCCTTGGATAGTGTGTGCCTGTAATAATGGCGATCTACTCGTTGCCGATCTTCTCGGGGACAGTGTTCATATTTTAAAATAACCTGTTTCCTTCATTGCAGAGTGAAACACAAATGGAATAATTCTTCAGTTGGTAGCGTGAACGCTCCGAAAAGCCTACCTTTTTCCCTCTAAAAAAACCGCTTGTGTCGTTATCCATTACTGTTTAGGAGTAAAATGAATTTTTTTTAACATCATAAGTTGTCTATTAAAAAGAAAAGTAATATATGTTATTCGCCGGCCGCGCTAAGAACCAAGCAGATTGCAGAATTCGTTACCGAGCTCTCTAAGAAAAAAATTAACATAAATTGTTTTTCACAACTTGGTGGCATTTAGAACAAAACTTGTCTCGAATTTTGGTAGTCATCCAGAAATTTTTAATTCCCCGCCTACACCTCTATAAGCCCTCCTGTCCAACCTTTCTTCGTGAATCTTCTCCATCCTTTTTTACCCTATACTGTGGTGTTTACTTACTTTAGACTTAAAAGCAATTTGAGCTACAATCACAAGTTCCAGTCGAAAACAATCGGTTTGGTACATTAAATGTGGTTCGGCCATCGGACGCGATGTTGAATATATTATTGTTGCCTCAGTAACGTGTCAAGTGAATGTGAATCTGAGCAGGATTGGTACTGGTTTGTTTTGATCTCGGTTATCAAATTTGGTAACTATCCCGGACTGATAAGTACAAGTCTACCCCAACCTGTTAGAAATTCTCCTTTCTAGATGCCATACTTCACCTAGTCAATGTATTAAGGGAATGTTTGACCAGCAATGCAACCATGAAGTTATTTGCGCAAAAAAAAAAAAAAAAGATTATAGAAAACTCATTTACAGTTAAAATGCGAGTCCTCATATTTTTATGGTTTGTCACGCACCTTTCGTAAATATTGCTTATGGTGTATTTATTTCCTCCTAAAGTAATTAAAACGGAAACTAATATGGATATAGAAGCAAAGAGCAAAATAAAAATTTTTTATTTTTTGAGTCTCACATGGCGACTTATTTGGGAGTGGAGAGACAGAAGTGGGCTCTTTTGAGAGTTTACAGTGCAGAGGCCTGCGAGGACAGTTCTCCGTTTCAAAGCGCACATCAAAGTGCCGGGTACGAAGGCCAGGTAAACTAGTTTGCAAATTGGATTAAGTCGTGAAGTTTACAAAACTTTGTGAGGCTAGGTTTACGCACTAACTGCACTTTTGCGGGGAACGCAGCAAGAACGGCGGAAAATAGCTCAGTAGAGACCACTTGGAGTGGGAACAGAAACTCGTCACGGTTTCGTGGTACACGGAGACCTGCTTCAAGCGAGTTTGCCTCAGACGTTAAGCATTTGGTTCCACAGTAACTTTATTTCAGTTCAAGTCGACAACCGACATGAACTCTAGTGTACTCAACTTCGTAATCGCCACACAATCATCAATGTAATCGTCATGCAGTCGTCTATACAATCTGAAAAGCTTTACAATGTACTTCCATAAGTACTAACAAGCACGTGGTTCTATTTTTCTCTTAATCATAACCATTACAATTTCCAAAATGTGATTGGTGCATCAGGTGCTTGATATTTCACTAACCACTCTGTACAGTTGTAATTGGACAGCGTAATCTGACAGTTGGCTGTAATCAGACACCTGTAATCGGAAAGTTGAAGTAGCCGATCATACTAAGTCCTCTCGGCTGAACCCACCAATCACAGAATTGATCACAATAACCATGGCAACAACCACTTACCCTCGAAAAAAAACTGAAATTTTCCAAATTGTTTGCTTAAGACACTGTCCTTACTGGACCTGTTTGTCCTAAATGTACTTGTTTTTTTTTTTTAAATCGGAAATTGTAGTAGTTGTGATTAATTGGTAACAGGACTTCGTGTCGTCCAATTCTGTCTGTAATCATACTCGTGATTGACAAATCGGATTCCGCTATCCGATTTTGATAATCACTGGTATGATTACTGACCGAACTGGACTCTTCTTGGTCCTATACCATTATAAATCTACCATATTTGAATAGTATAACTAAAAAAGTGGAAAATTTTTTGTTTGTAGTTGAGCGATTCTTGTTAAATATTCCATCTGTTCGGGAAGAATTTCAAAACTAAGGAACGGATACAATAGACTCTACGTCATTAAAAAGAGCAAACTTAAGTCAGAGCTTTGATATTGGAAAAACACCTAACCTAATTGCGGAAGAGCAGCTTAGGAAATAAAAGTGAGAAGTAGTGATAATTTCTGCTTATCTATATGCGATATTGATGTTAAGTTCAGAAAAGCGGCGCCGTGAGAAATTAACCTATGAAAGGAAACCGAACTTACGAGCGCACACTCAGCTGCCAACTTCAATGAGGACCAATTTTCCAGAAAGATCATCAACACTTATATTTGTATTACCAGAGAGAGCATTGACACTTCTACTTACATGCAATTTCAACAGTAATGGTCATCAAAGTACCGACGTACAGAGATGATGAAAGACAAAGTAAAAAGCAAAATGTAATAGTTGGTAATTCAAAAAGTACTGTGGCTTTTCTATATTTTTGCAATTTGCGAAGATGGTTAACTTGAAAAGTTTATGCGTAGATATGATCCAAATAAACACACGGAAAAATCACTAAATTTTCCCGTAACAAATTGCAGCATATCGTTTGAGAAATCTTCAGTGCTGATCAAACACTTTAAAGTTGCGACAGTAACCAAGTATCTTAGTCTACTATTACAAGCTATTTTGTACATACAAATTGTACTGTGTGGTGGAAACCAAAAAGGCAAATCAGTCCTTAATTATTCCCTGTTCTCTAAGTTTCTTTATGACCTCTGACACAGCATCTTTAACAGCATCTTCACTTTGCTTATAGTGCTTAACTTTAGCTTTTATTCCACTTTCAATGTCCCAGGCTGTACCATCGTAAACCCACAGTTCATCCAGGGAGTGAACTCGACCTTTTGCCCTGTAGCTTATTGTACGATCCTTGTAATTCACCTGCAAAATGTAAGAACAGACACACCCTTTAAAATTTTTTTTCAAAAAAGACACTTCAGCACATTGTGTTACATATCAGATGAATTATCACTTTTATCACTCCAATTAATAAAGGTAACTGTCTACCTGATGAGAGTAAATTTGTTCTCGTTAATTTTTTTACATTATTTGAAGAAATAATAGGCATAAATGAATTTTAAAAGTTAATTTTCTGAGATTTAATGCTAAGTAATTATAAAATGGACTCCTGTTTAAACAAACCTCCTAGGTTTGAGATGAAGAGTGCAGGTTGAATTACAAAGATACAAAATTTAAATCCTGTCTAGATTAACCCTTAAACTCCCATAAGTGATTAACTTATAGTAACTTCTCCCAATAACATCCACACATTATCCAGCCTACATGTAACGAGAATACTCAAACTTATCAGGCAGAAGTTGGTAGTCTTGATCTAACACAAATTCTCCTAATTTATTTACAATGAAATTTGTAGCAGCTAGATGGGAGAATTAACATCAGATCTTGGGAGTTAAAGGTTTAAGAAACAAGTCAAGGCTTTAGATGTAACCAATACACTGCTTCAAAAGCTATCACAACTGATCATCCAAAAATTGGAGTGGCATATGTGTACCCTACATGATCAGAGATGCTAAAAAACATTTTAATAGTAATATATTGGGACAATATGAAACTCCCATAAGTGATTAACATGTAACTTCTCCCTATGACATCCACACATTATCCAACCAACATGTAATGAGAATACTCAAAGTTATCAGTTAGAAGTTAGTAGTCTTGATCTAACACCAAATTCTCCTAATTTATTTACATGGAAATGTGTAGCAGCTAGAGGGAAGAGTTAATGATCAGATCTTGGGAGTTAACCCTTTCACTCCCACAAGTGATCAAGACAGAATTTCTCCTTACAATATCAAGCAGGCAGGTGATGAGAATAGAGAAGAATGCCAACCATGGGATTATTAGTTGATCCAATACCAAATTCTCTGAACTAGCATCATAAGAATTGTATGGCAGATAGTAAGGAGAATTACTAATTAGATCTTGGGAGTGAAAGGGTTAAAGGTTTAAAAAACAGTCAAGGCTTAAGATGTATCCAATACACCATAATTGATCAGCCGAAAAATTGGACTAGCATACATGCATGTGATCAGAGATTGAAGAAAAAAACATATTAAAGGGATATACATGACACTCATTTGCAAAAGGCACAGTAATATTTTGGGATAATATGCAAGATGAGATCAAGGAGATTACTACATGTAATAAATAGTTACTGATCAGTTGGGTTGAAAAAGATTTGTTGGATACTTTTTACTAATTGGGTCAATTAAAAGTTGCAACTCAACTAATTGCACATTTGGCTCTAAGTTTCTTCAGCATTTGAACAATGCAATCTAACTTTAGTTTACATAAATCTGTTTGATGGAGGCAATATTTTCATACTCGTTACAAACCTGGCCTGATGGTCCTCCAGTGATGGATTGAAGTAAAATAGCCACTGTATCATCACGTTGTGGTCCAGAACCTAAAAGAGTCAAACATCACTTTGTAATACCTGTTTAACTATAGAATAAAGGGGGCAAGCTTCTAGACAAACTGTGGTAATGCCCCAGTTGGAGAATATAACATGGTAATTTAGTATTATCAAGTGAGTTGACAACATTAATTGGCCACTGTAGAGAGTTTAAAAGCTGACCCTTCAGGCGTTAGCCCTTCATCAGAGTGATGGAATTGAAAGGCTCTGCCAAAAGGCTAATGCTCAAAACATCAGCTTTTTAACTCCTTACTGTGGCCAGGTTACATTATCAAGTCAGTTGACGATACTAAATTACCGTGTTTAATGATAGGTTTGTTTCCTTAACATTGACTGATTAGAAAGGAGAGGGCTCACATGGATAACCATGACCTTCCTATACAAACTGCCCCAAATGAGCCAAAGGTAGGTGAGAGGGGCTGGTGCTTTCATTGGGATCCAGCTCATTTTTATGTGAACTTGAATTGCAAAAGTTTTGGCTGGCTAGGTGTCCTAACTGTAAATCACCCCACTATGTCATTGTTTTGAATTCATTCAGTCCAAAACTACTCTGATGGTTAGGAAATCAATCACCACCAATAAATCTTTAAATATCCTAGCTGGAGCCTAGGGGAACATTTAAGTTGGACTCCTTCAGCCTCTGCTTATAAACCCAGCTATAAGAATAGACTAACCCATCATCACATGGTATCATAACCTTTAGGCTTCACTTGACAAAACAATTATAGCATGCCAAATATATCCAAGTAAACTTTACCTTGATGCGTGTCAAATCCCTTTGCACCCACATGCTCTTTTGGAGGCAATGGAGGAAGAGAGAAGTACATGATTCCAATGGCAATAAGCAGTACCACAAACGCCATCAATAGACCAATGAGTGTGCCCCATTTTCTTCCTGCACCAGAAAGAGATCATTGATTATACCTAAATTATTGGTGTCTCACCCAAGGTTAAATGATTGATTCATTTAGTAACAGCTGCCACTTACTGAATATGTTCTCTTTTGCATACAAATCATATCAGTTCCTAGTTTGTAACAGCTTGTATATCATTTTTAAATGAAATAGGGAGGTATACTCATTTGTGGAAGGGGTTTCTTTGAAGGGTTAGGGTCAGGGGTAGGGTTAGAGAGCATTTATGTTTTAGTGAGCATTTTATGTTTCATGAGCATTTATGTTTTATCAATGTTAGCTTGATGTTTTTGTTATCATTTTCCTTCCTTTTTTTGATCCTAGCTATATTAGAAAATGATATTGGCAGTGAGACTTTATATTTCTCATGAATGCAACACATTAAATGGAAATAAACCTTATCTATGATTAATATCCTCTGTGTCACCAATTCCAACTAAATAGAGTATTTCCCTGTTATTTTTCTACACTCCCTTACCTTCAACTCTTTATCAGTACACAGAATGTATGTGACTTGAATGAATCTTCAAGCCCAACAGTATCATGACATGATTTTCAAAGGCCAGTGTACCTGCCTGTTTTGGATAAATCTCAGTATCAAAGTAACTGTACAGCCTACCACTCCCCAAACCCAACATTAATGCTAACTTGTTATCAGTTGAGTGATGTTGTGTTAGGGTATAAAGATAGGTATTTAGTTGCTCAGATACTGATATTATTGACCCATTTTTCCCAGTGTAATTTACAATGTAGTATATAAATTGTTCTAATAAGCCACATTGTGTTAATTACCAACTATCAGTGTTTTTCAACCACTAAACCAGTATAACATTATTGATTACCAAGTTCTTTTCCTTTATTTCAAAACAAGCTCTTATGTGTACCTGACTGTGAATGATTCACCCCCTTGTAGTGCTGCCAATCTTTGAGTACACCAGGAAATTTCAACATGTTTTCCACAACTGATGCTGCCATGACACTTGCAAATGGTTGCCATGCTTCAGTTTTTGACTTGTTGCCATCAGCATAATCTGATACACCTTTCACAACAACCCACTCCATCTTAAGATCATAAGCAGCAGCAAAAATACCTGAACCCAAAACAAGAATTTTTCATTCAAACAAGGTCAAAATTAATAATGGTAATAGGTAGGACTGAGTGGAGTCCAATTCGGTCTGTAATCATACAAGTGATTAACAAAATCAGACGACTGCAAAGTGGGAGTCCCAGTTGGTAATCACAAATGATATTGTGATTTGTTAATCAAATTAAAACAAAGCAATAGTTAACTTGGTGAAATGTGAGACAACATCACACCCATATAATGCATTCTGTTCACTTACACAGGCATGACATGTTAACTGTCCCTTCAACTGTTCTATTACACTGTCCAATTACAAGCATGACCTATTAGTGCTCAAATCAGGTTGGTGATAACCAATCATGTTCGAGAATTTTGTTATAGTTTTGATTACTGGTAAGCCCAGTTATTTCTTTCCGAGTTAGCTCAAGTGAAAACCTTTTCTTGTAAAAATGATAGTTATGTTTGTTTCAGATTGAACATGATCATTTTCATGATATATAGATTTAGCCAAGCCTAAAAGCGGAGCTTGCATTTTTTCTTCCCACACGTCTTAAGGGCATAATGCCTTGCCCCGGCCAGGACTAGAACCCAGGTTGTCCAACTCGGAGCCCAGTGCACTGACCACTAGACTACTGGACAAATCCTTGGCATTGGTGTGCCCACGGTATAGTTGACCACGCATGTTAAAAGTAGCATCTTGTAAGGTTGGTTGTGCAGTCATACGGTCATACAGTCGTAAGTCCAAATTTTTTCGGCTTGATGGGTTGCTACTATTTTGTATAATTATGGGGCTACGCTCTGCAAGCTCTGCTATTATTTAGAGCTTTGCCTTAACTATCATTTTAACACAGAGGCTGTTTTTTTTCCATACCACTGAGCTCAGGTTAAGACATTTCAAAAGAGCTTTAAATGCACTGGAGAATAATTAACTATCATTTTAACACATAGGAGGCTAACTGATATGTTTTTCCATACCACTGATTGCTTGATAGGTTAGGAGAAACATTTCTTAAAAGAAATTTAAACCACTGAACCTAAAAAAACTGCTGAAGGATATGAAAAGCAATTTCAAATTGAGTTTTGGTTTAATCATAGCAATCATTTGTTTTTTTAGTAAACACGAGATTCATTGTCAGCCCCAGATTTCCACTGCATGATAGTTGATAAGATTGGGTAGGTGTTGTTCCTCTTCCTATAGCATATGGATCCATGAATATGCATAATGAGCTTTCTCCAAATTCTGTTCATCTCATTTTTCCTTTATAATTCCCATTTATACTAATACACATTCAGGTAAAGAAATATATTCCCTACTCACATTAGCACCTCTATCTGGCCACGCATAATCAAAGACAATTTTTGAAACTAATTTTACTCAGCAGACATTTATGCTCGATTCTTACCTTCACCCTCCATTTCGATTGCGATCGCTTTTGGATATATTTCAAGGAGTTCCTGACGTCGCCACTCACAATTCACAAGCTCTGGGCCGCTCAAAATTACACCATCGCAATGCACAACCGGCTCCCAATTTACTTCCGGTTTCTTCATAAATGGAGCCTCCCATCCGCTGGCAGCGTCTCTGATGAGGTCACCTATATCACTGCTAACAGGAGCCACATAACCACGAGGTTGCTCTCGATCGTTCATGACTTTTTTATGCGCATATGTGATTATCTTCTTTGAGATCACGACATCTCCTAACTTGACTTTTTCGTAGGAGAGACCGCCACAATACCCGACGCAAAAAACAACTTTAGGTCGTAATGTTTTGATGGCAGTGCTCACCTTACTTAGGGCTGCACCAGGACCGGCTGCACCCTCAGAACATCTCAACAAGGAAACATTCAATTTATGCCCAACATCACCCATGTCTCCAAAGTACACAATCCCGAGTCCCTGATAGTAACTCCTCTGTGGGTTTCTGAGAAACTGGTAACAACTCAAAAACTCCCAATCCTTTACGGTAACAAGCAGAACATCTGTAGGAAGTTCGACTCTCTCCCATGGTATAAACGCTTTGGGGAGCTCGCTTAATTTTGGAAGATTTTTACTCAGTTGTGGTGGTTCAGCGTAATCGACATGATCACGAGCAGAAGTCCCGTGGGATAACTCGCCCACTTCCATCTCCTCCGACATGTTGAGAATCATCTATCCCAGGAGCACCCGCGCCTCTGGCGCAGTCTTCACAGTACGTAATAAACAGTGCTTTAGCAGTAGTTAAAATAAGGCCTGAAAAAAGTTATGGGATTGAACCCATGACCTTTGCACAACCGGTGCAGCGCTCTACCAACTGAGCCAACAAACCAACTGGGAGCTTATGCCAATTGATGAGCACGCGAAGTGATGAATCAACGACTGTAAATATGTGGAATTCATATATGTGAACTGCGGTTTAAAAAATGAATATAAAAGCGATCCTTGCAGTAATGAACACTGCTTAATAGAATGAACACAGCTTATTTCTTTAATCGCAGTTCACAAGTATGATTTTCATATATTATCAATCAAAGACTTAATTTTATATTCCAAAACAAAGAAGCAAACAAACATGCAGAAGTTCATCCAAATTGTTAACAATTTTATGAGATTTCTGATCTGAAATAATAGTAACAACAATAATAATGAAAATAATAATAATAATAATAATAATGATAATAATAATGATGATGATGATAACAACAATAACAATCATCATCATAATCATCATAATAATAATAATAATAATAATAATGATGATGATTTTTGCGATGACCGGGCTCCAGTAACTGAGTAAGGATGATGATAATGTAACTAAACGAGCAGAATTTCATTATTTCGGCGCGAAATTTTTTGTTGCCAACGGGAAACTATGAGGCCTTGGGTAACGCAAGCCGGTGATACGTATTTAAGGGGTTTACCGCTGACATCATTGATTGGTGAGAAATTCGATCAGTAACTTACCTCCAGTTACTAAAAAATTCTAAGAAAGATTGGAGAGGTACGGGGGGGGTGCGGGGTGAACATCAAATAAATTACCTGGATACGAAGCAAATTTGAATTTTATTGCAATCAACCTGCGATTAACAACTTATCGCTTATTATTTGAAGAACTTTTAAAACCACCATCTAACCTCTTGTCAAGGATAAATCCTTCATTTGAATATTTTAAACAGATGGAGGAGTGCGGGTAGGCGCTTTAAAAATATCTGCATACGATGTTAGCAAAAACTGCAAGTTTTCTTGCACTTTTTCTTGAAGTATGGTTTGTATATATTACACTTGTTACGAGATTTGTAATATTCACAGAAATACTTGCTGCGACGATGATCCTTACAGCTGGATGTGGAGGGACGACTGTTGGAGCACTCTGCAGGATCACCTCTCCTACAATGTAGACATATGTTATTTACCGGGCAGGAGGTCCGTATGGGAAAAAAAATATGCCCTAGGTCTTGGGTACAGCCCGAGGGTGTAATCACGACTAAGGGCGCAGTTTTTTTCCTATACGGACCGATGTAAACCGGTAGATATATATATTTTTTGTTTACTGGTTCGCTTTTCTTTTTTTTTTTTGGGCGCGATCCGGACCGCGGTCCGTTGTGCACTAAGCTGGACCAGTTACGAGCACTTAATTATCCAATCACATTCGGCCCGCTGAGATACTTAAAATTAAGGAACATATGCGCCTTTGCGACTTGCTTGTACTAACAACGCTACGAGTAACGTACAGCCGTCAGAATTGTTCCGTTCGATTTTTCATACTCTTTTTACAAGAAAACTTGCTTAAAAACAGCTGAGTACGCTTAAGTTGCAAAGGTGTGCATGAATGAAAACACGCGGCTCCTTCCTTGCTATCGTCGTTTACGCGTATGCTAACGAGGTGGAAGAAAACGCGAAGATGCATCAATTATGAAACAGCAGATTGAAACATCAAAACAAAAAAGTTGTGAAAAATAAATTTAACGTCAAAAGAACAAAAAATGACATGGCACAATGCTTTGTAACACTGTGACCTGCTTTAAGACCTACCTTCCGGGATCAACTATACGATAAACTTTGCCTTCCCTATTTGTGCTGCTAGGACGGCTTGTCGAAAGAAAGTAAAGCTCACCTGATGGAAAAAAAATTGCATTACAGTCTCTCAGATTCAGTCCCTTAAAAGGAAAAAGGTTCAGTCACCTCTGTCACCGTGTTGTTCTACATATTAGTAATAGTGATGTGATGCCAGTTGACCGCAGGTTAACCCTGAAAAATGGTTGGACAACTGATTTGACTAGAAGAATGAAGAATACATGCCTTTGAATGTAAACAGCCCCGTAAAAAACAAAATACAACGATATCAACCCAGGCTTGTGTTCACATATCTTGAGGCTGTGTACACCCAAGCGGCTACAGTAAGTGCAAACGGTGAGTGAGACTCACAAAAAGAAATAGGAAACAGAGTAGTTTTCCTCTCGCCTAGCAGGCCCTAAAACTGCGGCAGACAGATACAATTCCCTTGCGAAAATCAGCTATTTGGCTGCCCGACTGTAAATACTTTTTATTAGAAAAACAAATCCAAAACCACGGGGTAGTGTCCAGTACTATGTATTTCAATGTAAAAACATCACTCTATCTATCCACCTTGTCTCGCGACTCGAGCTGTTATAAATTTCGAGTCGATTAAAGGATTTGAAAACAAAAACAAACAACCAATGTTACCATTGGTATAAAACCTTGATTATACGGAAAAATGTAAATGCGTTTACCATGCTCGTCCTCCCCGAATGATAAGATAAACCGCTCAAATTCTCCGCTGAGATTATCAGTGCAATATTTGTCATCCCCAAAGCAGAGCTCCTCATCTTTCCATTTCCCTGTGGTCTTGTCCTCCGTCAGCGCGAAAAGTCGGCTGTAAGTAAAAGAAGAGCCCCGAAAAATAAATGATACTGATGTGAACATTTTTATTACCCAAGTAAAAATTGGCACCAGTTTATAAGGTTAATAAAACCACCCGTATGTTGCGTCCTGTATAGGTCCTCGTATAAATTTATATGTCTGGACTACATCAAGGAGTAATATCTGAAATGGTAGAAGCTGGGATGGAAAACATTCTTGTTCTTCAAAAATTCAATCGTGTCTAGCTACATGCTTAGGGCCAATGCTAGCATAATGATGGAGAAGAAAATTGTTGCTGACTTTTGACACTTGGAAAAGTACAGTTCTAAAACAGTACACTTACACGTATTTAGCGCAAGCCGGTCATTTTGGCGGGAAATTTCGCCGTCGACTTTACTCTACGTGTAAATTTTACAAAATATCAAAATAACCAAAACACATCGAAACATTTTGCTCTTCAAACATTGAAACACTTGAGAAAACACGAGCTCTCAAATTACACTTGATTTTAAATTTGCATTAAGTTGGTTGATAGCTACGACGGGCGAGAGTTGTAATGCAATTTTTCCTCATTAATGGCGAGATTTCTATCGTATCTTATTTGATGAAGGCGAAGCCAGAATTGACCACCAACCATAGGAATCGAGGACAAATGGTCTAATTGTTTGATTGTAAATCTACTGGTCGTCCAAAACCTAGCAACAACAAAGGCTCATGTTTTAATTTTGTTTTGTTTACAGCCGCACGCTGCTTAATGGGCTTATCAATAAAGGGCAAAATTACTGAGCGCTGATTGGTTGAGAGAGAGGCATTTTTTTCTTAATCGAGGGCATTTTTAGTAATCAAGAGAGGGCATGATTACCTGTTAATGATTGGCTAATCCGTTGCATAGCAACCGTTCGTTATCTTGAAATTTTGATTTTCCTTCGTATAAATTTTGCCCTTTATTGATAAACAAGTAATCCCATGAGCCCTCGTACTATTAAGGATTAATTGCACTTGAGTTTTCAAAATTTTGGAAAATTTTGAAAACTCTCGTGCAATTAATCCTTAATAGTACTTGGCCTCATGTGATTACCTATACTAATCAATTGACTCACTATTTATCACGGATTATATGGCGGGTGACAAAGCCAATCAGGTTGCAACATTTGTGATAGAATGTAAGTTTATACTGAAGAAATGTAAAATGGTTTCCGTGTTTACATAGCCTGATGTAAACACGCGTGAGGTTGGGAGAACACGAGATAAGCGTAGGAAACCACGACGCGAAGCGGAGTGGTTTCCAGCTCATCGAGTGTTCTCCCAACCTCTCAAGTGTTTACATCAGGCTATGTAAACACGGAAACCATTTTACATTTCTCTTATAAAATAACTAATGAAAGAGGAACGAAAACCGTGTTTACATACGCTCATGTAAAATGGTTTTATGGCCAATCAGAGCGCGCGTACTATTTGAATTATTTTATAATAGTTTTTGGTGGGCATCGGCCCGAAACTGAAATAGCGCGTGCGCCAAATCGTTTAAATCAAGTATTAAGATTAAGACATTTTTAATGTATATCTTTCCACCTTGACAACTTACGAGGTTACAGTGTCTCCAAATATATACTTTCCACTTAGATCCGGGTTTTTGCAGCCTCGATAAACATGGCCACCCACAATGGATTTGCCAACAGAATGGTTGTAGGCGAAAATAGGAGGAATACTACCACCTGAAAATATAATAAAGAAAGATCTTAGCAACTGAAGTAGAGCTCTTCTCCCTGTCACTCAATATAGCGCAAAGTTTTCTGATCCATGATAACGGTAAAACGCAAAGCAAGACGCAGTCTTAGTACTTACTTACTAAAGGAGACCTGCAAAGGTTTTTGTCGTAGCATTCAAATCCCTCAAAACCTCGCCATCCAAAATTTCCACCTTTCGTAATGATATCGATCTCCTCGTATTTATTCTGACCCACATCCCCGCAGAATATTCTGCCTTTTCCTTCTCCCGTCTTGCGATCTCCTCTGTCCACCGAGCAACGCCACATGTTACGAGTTCCGTAAGCGTAAATCTCCGGGCGAACCCCACGGATTCCTATGAACGGGTTATCCGGGGGAATCTTGTAGCTTTGTCGCCGCGCATCTACATCAATTCGAATGACACTTCCCAAGAGAGTCGATCTAAGGAAAGAAAGACAGAATCAAGACTTCGTCAACGAAGGTAAAATATCGACAATAAGGAACAGAAATGTTAAAAAGCGGTATGCGACGACGTGGATTGAACCCTTGTAAATCTCTTCCACCCCCCACCCCCTCAGCCCCCCACTCTTCCATCCCTTCCCCCTTTCTTTTGAACATGTTTTCCCGCGCTATTATAATCTTGCTCTTTCCTCGTCATCTAACCCTTCCCCAGATCCCTTTCCATCTGCTTGAAATTGGGTTCACTGGAAAGTCTTTCATAATGCGACAAAGTTTAACCTGTTGATTTGCCAGGAAATGACATCATCTGAACGAAAAGAACAGAGGCGAAATTCTTAAGAGGGGGCTTATCAGTTTGAGGTTAATTTACAAGGAAATGTAAGGCTATGGAGAGAGCGAGAAAGTGTCACAATTTAGATATTTGGAGTTTGAGAACTAGACCAGCATTAAACTGTTCTCGAGGACTCGATTGGACAAAGGGATGCGTGAATGAGGCTGAATCTACTCCAAACAGAAATTATATCGGTGTGATCACAGATCTCCTGTGCTTGTAGATGACTTGGTGTATCTATTTGATTACTAAGCCCCCAGGATTACACCACAACTCTGGCACGAGGTAAGTTAATTTACTCATGGTCAAATTCCGGACAACACTTTTGTGTATCTATTTGATTACTAAGCCCCCAGGATTACACCACAACTCTGGCACGAGGTAAGTTAATTTACTCATGGTCAAATTCCGGAAAACACTTTTGTCTTTACATGCAGCGCTTTTCCCTGTGCAAATACTGTCGCTTAAAAAAGTGTATGAGTGCAGATGCACTATGTTTCGGACGTGGTCTACTCGTGATTTGGGAGACGTGTCAAAGGAGTGTAACGCAAACATTAAGAGAGAAAAAAAAAACAGCATTCCTGCGCTGTTTCGCTAAAAAAAAAAAAACACACACAAACACACTCAATCAAACAAACCTGTTTAAACCATTGCCAATCTTTCCAAAGGGATCTCCACCTCGCCCGCCATCTCCAATCGTCAAATAAAGTAGACCATCGGATCCAAAAAACAGAGTCCCTCCGTTGTGATTGTCAGCAGGTTGTTCGATTTCCATAATTACTTTTTCTGACCTTCGAAGTGCTCTGTTACGATTGTAAACCGAAGCCCTAAATTCACTCAAAACCGTTCTATGATCAAACGCTCTAAAAGGAGCTTTGGAGTTTTTCCTGCTCCCAGATTTTCTACCCATTCGAGTTGAGTAATATACAAAGAACCTGTTGTTATTCCTAAACGCTGGATGGAAAACAATGCTTAGAAACCCACGCTCATCGCCGTACGAACCTGATGTTAACACTCTGTCAGTGATGTCTAAAAATGGCTGCTGCAGTAATTTTCCCTCAGCTAATATGATGCGTATCAGGCCTGGCTGTTCGGCGATAAAAAGTCTTCCAGACTTGTCATTTGCGTGCACCGCAGCCAGAGGATTTCGTAAACCACGCGCCACCTCCTCGACACACAAACAGTTTCGGTTGGAATCGAAGTTGTATTTTCTCGAAAGGATTTCACGATCCACTCTTTGTACATGCGGGTAGCAGTAGTCTGCGTCTGACAGCTGTAGTCCGTCGCAGAACGATTTCTCGGTTAACGGTGAAGAACTTTCAGGCGTAGATCGAAGTTTCCATCTGCCGTTTGACACTAAATATGTCGCTACGTCATTACACTCTTGGTAAAAAGTCTTGCAAAAATTAGAGCATAATCCTGGGGCTGCGGTCGTCGAATCGAACTTTTTATTACCTTCTGCCTCAAAAATATGGGCTGCATATTGATGACATTCGAGGCAAAGCACTGTTTTTACCAGGTTAGCGCATTTTGGCTTGCTATCCAGTGAAAATCGGGTCACCAATCTCTTATAGACGTTCGAAATCCCTTGATCGCGGTCTACAGTGCAACAGCCATATTCTGAGTAGTTTTGCGGGCAGAAAGAGAGCTGTTTTGCTACTTTAAAGGGCGCTCTAAAATCCAAGCACTGGGGATGGCTCTGTGCTTTCTTTTGGCTAAGAATCAGGGCTATGCCGCAAAGTACAGCGCCATACGGCAGCGAGCCTTTAGACAACATAACTGGGTTGTCAGATGTAAGCACTTAATCGTAATGCTAATCGGCTGGTATGTTTAGAACGTGACAGCCTTTAGGTTTGCAATTTGAGACGATATAAGAAAGATTTCCGGAGGCAGCGGGGGTACAGCACGTTGCCAGTATTCATCACAACTCAAGTATCGATCAAACAAAGAAATTAAAGACGTCAGGATTATTTAATACCTTAAGTATACAACAAAATATTGAGAAATATTTATTTCAAAACTTAACCATTTCCCTCACAAACAGGAAGACAAAAATAATTTTAAAAAACTTGCTCAGCTCAATTTCCGCCGCTCTCTCGTGTCCGGTCTTCGCTCCTCCCCGAAAATGGAACCCGCGTGTCGCTCGATAGATCACAGGATATGATTAGCCATTGTATCACATTACGTCAGAGGATAGAAGAAGATACTTGGACATCAGTGCAACGGTACAGCGGTACACCCACGAAGCTATAGAGAATTTGTGGGTCCCGAAAACGATTGGTAAACCGAGTTGCCGGCTGAAATGGAGAGTGATAAGGAAGTCAACTTTGTGGAAGTTGCAGTAATCGGAGCTGGACTAAGTGGTACGTTTTGATGCATCTTTTTAGAAAGTATTTTAAAATATGGGTAGTTGTAGTTACATTGCTCGTATTCCTAGGTTTGTTCGCTGCCCGGGTTCTTCACAAGGAGTATGGTGTCAAGGTTGTTGTTCTTGAGGCAAGAGACCGCGTTGGCGGGCGTACTTTTACTGAAACGGTGAGATGAAAAAACGTGCTAGACATATTCCATCACCTTTATCCTTCTATACATTCTATGTTGATTCATCAGCTCTGCAACTCTCTCCCGATCCCCCTAATTTCTTCTCTCTACCGTCGCCTGTAAGACCTCCTACTGCTATAAGTTTTTCCAGAGGGCAAGCTCTTGTGTTTTAGGTTTCGCCTTAACCCTTTGCTCCCTTCACCATCAGCTGCAGCTTACCATATTTATTTGATTTAACGTCACAGCATTTATTAAATTTTTCTTGATTCAAGTGCGCTATTTATTTGAGGGCAGCATTTACAGGAGGGTGGCATTTATTCAAAATCCACTTTATTTCTTGCAAACAGTGGTATGGTAACAGACCATTTTAATTTTAAAAAACAGAAACATGTTTTAGTGCTTGTCTGAAAAGTCATTTTATATATCATTCTCAATTTCACAATTTGCATGTTAATTCTACTGCAATACATAAAGTGAATAAAAATCTAATGTCGGATATTCTTTCTCAACGTTAGAACTGGTAAATTCAAAAGGATTTGTGCCTGGTTTACTCAAAATTTCTAACTGCAATTGAAGCAATGATGGTTCCGAAATTGCGTGATTCTGAAACAGGATTGCAGAATATGTAAATCAACTCCGACCAGAAGTGAACTTAAATCAGTTATGTTACATCTACCTTTCTTTCAAAAGAAAAGAACAGAATAAAATGAACAAAATTGAAACAAAAGAAATCAAACAAAAGCAAAGAAATCAACGTAATTTCACAGTCCTATTCCAACCATAAAATATTATAGAAAAACTTGTCATGTCTGTTACTTAACTGGACTCAAGGTTCTAGGGGTTTATATAGTGCATAGGTGGTTTTGCTACACATTGATGATGATCTATGGTCTTGGGATGATTATTTTCTCCAGTTTGCTGAAGGGTGTTGACTCTTATGTGGGCCTGAGGTGTCTCCTGTCTTGTCATATCTTGTCCTTGGATGAACAGCTAGTCTACTGAGGGTAACACTCTATACTCACCACTGCCTCCAGTCTTTCATCACCTGGAATTTTCCAAGCTTCTTTTTTTAATCTTGGTCAGGTGGAGGGAGGTATTGAGTACATACTGTATTAACTCTTTCACTCCCAACATCTCCTTAATGTTTGCATAAAATTGTTATATTGTTATTTTGGAGAGTTTGATATTGGATCAACTAATAATCCCCTAAATAGTATTTTTCATTATTCTCATCACATTTCCACTTGATGTTGTATTGATTATGTGGGGAGAAATTCGTTCTTGATTACTTGTGGGAGTGAAAGGGTCAAGCCTCATTTTTATGCACCTGAGGAACTGGCCAATTGGTTTGAGTATGGCAGTCTTAATCCTTTCACTCCCAAGATCTAATTAGTAATTCTCCTTACTAATTTTGCCATACTAAATTCTTATGATGTTAGTTCAGAGAATTTGGTATCGGATCTACTAATAATCCCATAATTCATATTCTTCTTTATTCTCATTACATACCTGCTTGATATTGTATTGATATTGTAAGGAGAAATTCTGCCTTAATATGATGTGGAGTGGGGTTTACAAGCCCCAGGTCTATTCATTATACTGGCATCCTCTTTTGTTCTTTTTATTCTGTGAAAGAAGAGCTCCTAAGTAATTGAGTTTACTTATATCTGACTCAATAACTCACTTATCAGAATGGCGCTAAAATTGTCAACAGACATAAATACTGGTATATTATTCTACTTTCATAGTATATCACAGAAAAGTCCTGCACATTGGTAGAAGCACTCTCAATCTTTTGATTTTAGGACCCCAGTTTTGGTTACTGTGATTTGGGTGGAGCCTATGTATGTGAAACTCAGACCAGACTGCTGAAACTTGCCCAGGAGCTAGGAGTAGAAACGTATCAAGTTTACAGTCAGGGACAATCTGTGGAACATTACTTGGTAAATAAGATGTATTTTTGATGTTCTAAGCCTGCATGTGGCTCGAACTTTACCATCTCATGAGCAATACTTGGCAACCATTTTTCCATCAAAATTTTTTAAGGGAAAACAGGGGGGTGGACCATGTAACTATTGCTTAATTACTTATAGTTATTTATAATGATGCTATTGAAAAATTTCAGGGTCAAAGAATTACTAAGCAAGGAGCCCTTCCTTCTATGGGGTCCATATTAGGTGTCTTAGATGTTAACAACTTCTGGCAGCTCCTGGACAAAATGGCCAAAAAGTTCCTTTGGAGGATCCTTGGAATGCCCCTTGTGCTTTAGAATGGGATAAGATGACTGTCAAACAGCTGATTGATCAGAAGTGTTGGACAAGGTAGAACAACAAAATATAGCTTGGTCTACACCTTTGTACAAAAACTTAAATATATTTAGCTCCTTGTTTGGATATACAGTAGTAAAAAGAAAAAAGAAAATCTTTTAGATTAATAAACTAATTTTTAATTGATACATTGCTGCAGAGAAACACCAACTCACAGACACACATCCTGTGATACTGCCCGTAACCTTAAACTCCCAAGATCTGAATATTAATTCTCCCCACTAGCTGCTAAACATTTCCTTGTAAATTAGTCTCAAGAAGTTGGTGTTAGATATCAAGATTACAATTTTTACCCAATAAGTTTGAGTATTCTTACTTGTTTGCTGGATGATGTATGGATATTATAGGGAGAACTTAAATGCTGATCAAGTCTGGAACTTAAAGGGTTAAGGTTATCCTTTATTGCCTGTATAAGCTTTAAAAATACATTTAGTTTTAGTTTTACTAGGAACATTTTGGAAACAAGCACACTGAATTAGAATTTAGAATTAATCATTACTAACCATTTAACTCCCAAGATTTTATGAGTAATTCTCCCTTCTTTCTGCTATACAATTTATATGATGTTAGTTTGGAGAATTTGGAATTGGATCAACCAAAAACCCCTTGATTGATATTTTTCTTTATTCTTATCACTTGTCTTCTTGATATCATACTGATAATGTAAGGAGAAATTCTGTCTCGGTCACTAGTGGGACTTAACTTAGGGTTAAGTTGAGAATCAATATGTTGAAAACATATGTTGAGTGTAGGGGATCCAGAGCCATCTCAAATTGAATTGTGCAGTTGACTGTAGAGTTTTTATTTGGAGATGCAGTTTTTGGAAGGGGAATAGTGAAAAGTGACAGGAAAATATTCTCCAGGTCTGAATGAAAAACTAGTAGAGGATGTTGAAATTTAGGTAGATAATTGGGTGCAGCAGGAGAACAATTCTCTTGTCACAAATGCTGAACAAACACCTTGTCACAAAATTATTGTCAGGGGCTATTTAAGTCCTTTTACTTGATTTATTGATTACTGCCCACAGGTATGGAAAGGCTGCAGCTACTGCATATGTGCAAGGAATTCTCACTTCAGAGCCACATGATATCTCTCTGTTGTTTTTCTTGTGGTATCTGCATTCTGGAGGAGGTACATGTACTCTTTAGACTTAGTTATGGTTTGGATTATTTGTCATCATACAGTCATGTAAGCATAGATTTTGAGCAGGCTCTCTGCTGAGAATACCTTAGATACTTCCAAAATTTTGCAACTTTGAAGCAGTGACAGTTAACTTATCCTTGCCAGTTTTCTTTCTCTCTGTGTTATTGCAAGAAGCATTATTGCACTTAAGAAAGATCATTGCTGTAAGGTTTTTAAAAATATTTTTCTTTTATTTCTGCAGTTAATCCAAACTTACATTGTGCTCTTTTTGGTTTACTCTTGTAAAGTGCATTTTCTGTTTTTAAGCAATGACTCAAGAAAATTCACACTCAGACTATGAAATAATGGGAAAATGGAAAATTCATAACTTTCAATTAGCAACTAGAGTGGAGACATTTACCTTTCTCTGCAGGGACAAAACGGAATATTGAATTTGAAGCAGGAGGGGGACAGGTTAGTTCATTTTTCCTATCACTGATTCAAACAGGCATTGAATGAGGTTTAGTAAGAATTAGACTGATCAGCTGTTGTACAAGATATTGTCAGTCAGACGTAAGTCAGTAGGAGACTTTTTGCAACATTCTGCAGTGATAGAAGTTCAAATGAATATGTCGCAGAGGTAGGAGTCAATGTAGGTTTGAATTTTACCTTTTATTACACTGAGAGATATCATTATTTCATGAAGATGTTTTTTTAATTTTGCTGTTAAGTAGACTAAAGTACTTTTTTTTGTTTTGAGGAACTAGGAAATGAAATTTTGTGGAGGCTCTCAGACTGTTAGTATGAAAATGGCTGAACATCTTGGTGGTGAGTTTGAAGTGAATGAGTTGAGAATGAGGCCCAGCAAATATTTGTTCCCAAACAAGGATGAAGTTAGGATGGCCAGAACTGAAAAATTTTCTTCTTCTTTAGTGTTTTTTACACCTTGACCCCATTCCAGTCCATAAAAATGCAGAAAGAAAGGAAAGAAAATCAGACACCATTTGTTACTTTACAATTTTCATTGACAAAAGATGGCATGAAGCAGCTTTGTTTTTAAACAGAGAAATTCCAAGAGGGTTGGGTAGGGGGTGGATCCTGCGCCTGTGGATAGCCAATCAGAACACTAAGAGCACAGACAGGAGTTGTAAAGGGTGGACTAACGTGTTTTTGATGAAAATCTTAACAGACCTGTTGAGTAGTTGTATCACTTTACAGAAACTTAATTTCTGTTAATACTGGCTGAACATTTCCATATGAAGGTTTGATTTGCTTTCATCAGATAGAGTGAAATTAAACAGCTGTGTTGTGCGTATTGATGAGTGTGATGATCATATTAAAGTGAAATGTGCAGATGGAACAGAATATAGGGTAAATGTACTATTGTACCTCTTGTGTACTTAGGTAGGGGGTGCGCAATCAATGCAAAAATGATAAGAGATAGTCCACATTTCAAATGTTCGTCAACAATACGAATGTTAATCCAACGTAGCATGGAATTTTGCTAAATTTAAAGTATACTTTTGATTATTGGACAAGGTAAAGGATGCTCCTGAGCTAGTAAACTGGTAAAGCTCATCCAAGTTTCTGTTGCATGAAATCCCCCCCTCTCCTCTAGCATTTTGCCCAGTTTCCCTGACAGTTTTCCAATACCCATTACCCATTTATACTCTTGGGGGTGAGGAGAGGCACAGTACAGTGTTCTTGCCCAAGAACACAACACAACAACCTCGCCAGGTCTTGAATGCAGAGCTTACAACCCAGAGCCCAGATTACTGTTCACGATACCACTGCACTTGCAACTTAAATGTTGGCTGAACAGTTTAGTAACTTGGATCCTTAACATCCTGTAATGTATTTGTCATGGTGTACAGTCTAACAACTCAGGGAAAATCTGGCTTGAGGCAGAACTGAGAGTGTTTATATCCAGAATGATAACTTGTCTGATCGTTTCTTTAATTTGTTATTTTCTGTGTGTTTGCTGGTTTAAGGCTTCATTTGTCATCAGCTCAGCTCCTCCAGCTTTGCTCGGAAAGATCAGCTTCAATCCTCCTCTTCCACCTCTAAAAAATCAGGTTTATTTATTTATTTTATTTGTTACAGTTAATGGCAATTAACGAAATAAAATAATTACCTATAATAAAGGAAATGCCATAAGGATGAAAACTAAACTAGGTTTTTTTTTTACTTATTTAAACGTTGCTTATTAGCATAAGCCATTCAGTAAAAGTTATAATAAGCCAGGTGATCATTTCTTTTTCCTTTTGGCGGTCTTATCTTACAGGTATAATTTAGCACGCTCGACACCTCTTTTTCTTAGAGGTGACTTAAGGTGTAAACAAGTAGTACTTTTCATCTTCCGCACTGAATTTATAATCAGGTAACTTATACGCACAGCACGTAGCTCTTTTAGGGGCGGTACCTTGGGTATGCCCTTTCCTCTCCGATTTTTCTGTTTATTCTGCTGTTATGTAACAGTCTTCGAGGAGTATTTCCTCTAAAATATCTTTTTAAGTATCTTTCTAATTCTGTTGATAAGTTCCTTACAATTTTTATATTACCAATCTTGTTTTAGTTATGACTAACCTTGAATGTTAGACTAAGAAATTTAAGGTAGAAAATGATTTTGTAAAGTGTAAACATCTCGAAGGTATATACTTAGTATGCGAACTCCGCTCTGCGTAGCTTAACGTGATTCGCTAGTTAAGTGTAAAAGGATGACGAAGGTTAGAGATTGACAGCTCAGTAAGCGTCACCTTTATAAGTGACCCACACTTTCCTCGAGAGATCCGAGCTAGTCCCGAGGTAATAAGTTGTATGTAAGAATGAGAAGAATAAAGAAAACTTCAACTGAACGGCGTGTGTTAGGAAATTACTTCTAACACATAATTCTTCTTTAAAGTAAGTCCATCTTTCTCTCTCAAAGGGTACCAAGCAGTATCTGAGTAAAATTGCACAGCTGAAGAGATGTCGATGTCAACGCAACCATTCAAAACTTTATTTAAAAAAGAATAACAATAAAACCTAAAATAGTTGAGAGCGACTGAAAGATACAATGTATTTGTAATTTACGTGCCCTTCAGTCATCGTGAGGTTAACGTTTCTGAAATTTGCAGGCAATTCAAAGAATTCCTATGGGATCCATTATCAAGACAATTACCTTCTATGATCGGCCATTTTGGAGAGAGAAAGGTAAAGTATTAATCCGTTTATTTGCCACAGCGAGTTTTTGTGAAGAAACTTCGATAATAAAATTAAGTTTGGCAACAGATTTTGTGGCCTATAAACTGACATACCTCGTTTGGTACTTTAAGATTTCTCCCCGATGCCCTTTTTCCAACAATTCTGTTATCAGTAATCCTTTTAAGGATTACTGATAACAGACATAAGTTGGATGGACGACTTGGAAGCTTTAATGTTTAAAAACATTAAAGCTTCAAAGTCGTCCATCCAACCTATGTCGTGGCTCTTTCCTCAACACGAAATAGTTTAGAACAGGTTTTTTATGTCTAACATAGACTATATTCCAACAGTGTTGTCTAGCCATTTTTTAAAAAGTTATAGAATCCCTGCTTTTTATTAGGTCTCGCAGGTTATTTTAATTCGGATGAAGGTCCAGTTGAAGAAGGTTACGATGATACTAAACCAGATAACAGTCACCCGGCCATTATGGGGTAAGTAATGATCTTATGGCGCCTGCCATGAGCCAGAACTTTCCCACAATACCGCTCAATTTAAAACTGGCAAGGCATTTTGTCCAAAGAGTTTGTATCAATGTTGGTATCTGAGCAATTGGGCACTTACCCCTCCCCTCACCCAACAAAAGTCAACTGATAACAAGTTAGGGTTAATGCTGGGTGAGGGGAAGGGTAGATGCGGAGTTGCTCTGGTACCAACATTGACCCCGACAGTTTTCCCTGATTTTGTGAAAGTTTGTGTTAGTGATGGTCAGATCTTCTCATTGTTTTAAATGATGGATGTGTCCGGTTTGGGCACTCTGTTCTGACCAATGGTAATCGTTCTCAGATTAGACTGCGAGTATAAACTCCTTATTTTTCATGTGGCATAGGGAGCCCATAACAGCACCAGAAATAAATGTCGAAGAGGACTTTTTTTTCAGCCCCTCGAATCCCTTCAGCTTAGTGCTGGCGATTTTCCCGAGCGTTGACTTGCTCTCTTTGAAGTTGAATGCTGGTACTATTTTTTTTCAGGTTTATACTGGCGGATAAAGCGCGACAGACAACAACTCTTACCAAAGAGGAAAGGTCATATGCCTCATATCTTATCTTCAGAGATGATATTAGATAAATAAATACTTACAGACAATGTCCCAACTCTGGGAATGACCTCACTACGTGTTTTTTGCCCAATCGTCTCATTAGAACGATCATCAGCAATAAATGCATGTCTTTGGGATATTGAACTAAGTTCTTTAACCGCTCTCATAGAGTGCATGTCCATTGAGTGTCGCAAAACCAAAACCAAAGTAATCACCACGGCCAATCAGAACAAAGGAATTATCTCAATGCGAGCCAATGAGAACTCAAAGGAAAACAAGCAAGCTGCCGGAAGCGCGGGAAAACACGAGTGACCGAGTCGCGATTGGCTTTTGTTTGCATCAGATAGGTTGGGAGGCTGGCGCGAGTTTTCTGGACCAATCACAGTGTAAAGAAAGCAAACCCTACGCAATCGTGGATTATTGTAGATATTCATTCGCTTTATAACTGACTTTTTCGCTTCACTCAGACAGAAACTAGTTTGTGAGCAATATGCCAGAATATATGATACCTCAGAGGCACTGGAGGTAGGTTGCATATTATTTTTCGTCATTTCGTCTCTTGTCATGGCATGTTTAGCGTAACGAAAGAGGTGGTTTCATTTTACCAACTGACCACACATTGTTTTCCTCTCAGCCAGTGTTGTATCGAGAGAAGAACTGGATGGCGGATGAGTTTTCTGGAGGCTGCTATGTTGGGACTTTTCCTCCTGGGGTGTTAACTGCTTACGGAAAGTAAAGTACTTGTTATTTTTACTCGCTTCATAAGTTTTTAAACGCTCACTAGGGTACAAAAACAAGTTAACATCAACACTTAAAGTTATAGATGATAGATACATAAAAGAAATAGCGCTCATTTGGCGCGAAAATATGCTTGGATAATCATCCGAGGACATTACCTGTCCCGAAATGGGAAGCTCGAGGAAAACTGTTCGCTTCGAGCTTAATGGGTTTGAAGTCAAGGTGGGGATAAATGAAAATAAAGAGATGATCAACTTAGCCGTGTCTTTTGTTTTTAATTTTTTCTGACATGAAGTCTTAATTCTCTGGTTTTTAAGAGTTTTGAGGATGCCTTTTGGTCGAGTGCATTTCGCTGGAACGATCACGGCGACACTTTGGGCCGGTTACATGGAAGGCGCGATAGAGTCTGGGGAACGCGCTGCTATGGAGGTAAAGGGCTTTATGTAATTTTAACTGAAAAGTTTTCCAGACGGGAGGTGTGGCAAATAAGTCAAACTCCTTCCTAGAGTTAAGAAACTACTCCCGCGTTGTTGTGCTGTAACCTAACGGATTCCAGATGAAGCGAATTCGAAATCATTGTGTTTCGTTCTCTGGAGGACACTGAGGGCTACGCTTGTCAGGGCAGTCAGCCGAAATGATGTTTTGGGGGAAGGAGACAGGGTGGTCAAAATTTTGTGATGGAAATGCTTTGTTCCTGTTGCTGGTACAGAAAAAAAACAACAACAACGAAACGGACAAACAGTTAACTTAACACAAAGAGCTGTTGTGTTGGGCTGCATGGTAGATGCATCTATCGCTCTGACGAAGGGCTAACGCTCGAAACGTCAGCTTTTTTACCCTTTACGGTGGCTAATTTACGTTTTCAACCCAGTTGTTAACACTAAATTACCTGCTATACTCTCCCACCTACGCAGCACCACAGTTTCTTTAGAAACTTACCCCTTTATGCATGGTAGATGCTTACGCTCTCTTGAACCATTTCAGGTGCTATGCAGACTTGGTAAGATGACAGAAAGTGAAACTAGAAAACGACTTAAGTTAGAGGTAAGCTAGCAAAATTCATGTATAGCCAGCAAAACTCAGCCCTGTTAACCCTTTACATCCAAACAACAGCACTTATACTCTTCATACTGGTCCCTATACATTTCTTGGGGTGCTGATGAGCAGAATTTGTTTTACAATCCAGACTAGAGCTTCTCTAGTTGGTGACCATTTCATTTATTCTCATGACCTTAATGTGTGATTTGGAGATGATATTTTAAAGAGAAATTAGATGCTAGTCGCTTTTAGGGGTTGAAAGGTTAATTTGCCCAAAATTACGTGACAATGCAAATCCAGCGTTTTTTCCCCCTTATTTGCCCGTCATAAATTTGTCTTTGAAAGGACTTTCATTTAAAGCGTTAAAATTATGCAATATACCAGGCGCTAAATGTGATCACACCATAATGATGTCGAAAGGTTCTGGACCCTTGGATGTTTTGCCCTGCATGGCTTGTCAACGAGTAAAGTTACTCTTACACCTCCTATATGGCCATTTGATTTATCTTTTTACGGAAATAGTTTTTTTTTGCCTTTGCCTTTGCCTTTGCCGGATCAGTGTTCAGTTTACTCGTGTATTTATTACTTTTGTTTTTCATTAGGGTTTGGAATCTAAGTTTTTAGAGTTTTCATTTATGGAGAAGCACTTACTACCATCTGTGCCCACCTTGTTGGCTTGTTCCTCTCTGCTCAGTGGGGCGGTTGTTCTCTCAATACTTTGGTGGAAATATTGTTTAAAGTAGAACTTGTCTAATTCAGTTAAATAACTGTGAAATGTTCTTCAATTTGGAGAGATTTGAGCCCATATTTGGTATTTTGTTTTAGAAGCTTAGGTCCTACTGGGATAAAAAGTTGAGAACAAAACTATCTCTACCCTTGCTGGTGTTCTATTTGTTTACCAAGAATTTTAAGTGCTGACAATTTAGCAAAGAAATCTGGAGAAAGTTTTGATGTCTCAAGGCCTGAACACCTCAGCAGTTGTCAAGTGAGGACACCAAACAAATATGTGCAATATTAATAGCCAGTGAGGGTTCAGCATGGGAGTAAACAGAACTGGCATAACGCTCGCAACGCATGACTCACAACGTATAACGCAAGTGACCGTGTCCTAGTTGGTTTTGCTTACATCTGATCAGTTGCCTAGTAGCTTAAAGTTTATTCATTGTAGTAATATTTTCAATTAACTTGGGAAATTCGATTTAAAGCCTCTGTGAAGATTCGACGAGAAATTGATTAGTGTAGATTGTAATACCCAATACTCGGACCTGTGGACAAGTTGATTTACTGTAAAAGAGGAAAAAACAGTGACTTAGAGAAAGATGTTTTTCGTCTTGTCACGAGCGTGGGACAAAGAAAAAAATTCTGAGTCCCCATGAGGAATCGAACCTCAGACCTTCGGCTTCCGCGCGCCGATACTCTAGTACTGAGCTACAGAGACTTTAAGGTGAGCGAGGTCTATTAAGAAGTTCATATGACACGCGTCCTGCATACTGCGAGGATCAGCAATGTTGATAGCGTCATGCTTGTCCCACACTCGCGACAAGACGGAAAACAACTTTCTCTATTTCTTTGCCGAGCTCAAAACTTACCATCTGCCTTATTCTATTGACAATGACTTATTTTCTAATTATTATCGTTTGTTCTTCATTGTTATTATAGTTTCTATATAGTAAGCTATGAAAAAACTTTTATTCAGTAACAAAGATTACAATTCGAATATCAGACAGGGGCTTCAATTGTCCTTTTATTTCAGTATTACAGTGAAAGTGTTTGTTTTCTTTTCCTGTCATGTAGATTGTCCCGTGGTAAAATCCCTGTCCACACTTCGTTGACGGATAAAATCGACCGTTTTCAACGCCCGTTATCGTTTACGCACAATTTTGAAACAGAAAAAAAGAACATTATCCTGTCTAATTTTGAACATTATGGAAAAGAAGCCGCGCGTCTGGACATTCCTTTGGAAGAGCTACATTGTAGAGCATGCTCACAACAGCATTCTTTTCCTTTACCTCCCCTCCCCCTTGCTACCTTCTGACCTCAACTTACTGCTAGAGAAATCGCAACTTCCCGTTCTTACCCGGCCATCTTCTCTAAGCGGCAGAAATATAGGACTTATAATTTGGTCCTCATCAAACCATATGGGACTTTTCGATACTTCGCAGGAAACGAAGAACTCGACAGCACTCGAAAATGTAAACAAAGTGAAATAATTAAAGAATATTACTCAAAAATGCTGTAAAGGACCAACCGTGTTCGAGCCAGGGTTTAAGCGCTCATTCTTAATAGGCATTCCAAAGGGGAAAGAGCTATTACTTTTATTACTTCTTTGAAAAGTCAAACAGGATAAGCTGATACTACTAGCTTCAAATGATGTCTGATCTATTTCTTTTTTTGTCGTCGAAATTAAAATCTTGCTCAGAATGCTTTCATGCCGCGTCTAAACCAATAATTCATTCAGAGATCAGTGTCTATCCATCTTACACGTACATGCTCTTGAGCATTGTAGCTTCCCTTGAATGTCAATAATGCTCTTGAATATGAAGTTTTGGTTCGTGCTTGATGTACACCTGTCTATAACCATGTTTCGATGCTTAGTAGTTCTTCACGTGCTATTCTTCAACTGGCGGACATTTTGAATTTTGTGCTGTTGTGTATCGTGGCAAAGACACATTGCTACGAATTGATTCCAATGTGCCTTTCTACAAAGGTAATGTACCCTAAGCTTGAGTCGGATAATGTAGTCTAAGCTTGAGTCAGGTTCGTTTAGTGTGGTCACGAGCCAAAACGCAAGCGCGCGAAGAAAGGCGAGGTTAGGTCGCCCCTTAACAACCAAAGCCTCTCTTGCCTGCGAAACGGCCGCCCCTTCGCTGATCTTCTCCGACTGACAGCTTCAGAGAGGTTACCTTTGAGGTTAGGCATGAGTTGCTATGGTAGTTTTTGAGGGGACCTGATGGGGTTTTTCTGAAATCTTAAAATATTTTACTCAAACTTTGATTGTATCGTAGAGACCTTTACCGCTCAATACAGGTTCCACAGAAAGGGTATCCTAACAAATCGATATAAAACGTCACTTTATGCCATAATTGACCACTTGATGTATAAAAAGCCGCTCGATGATACTACTAAGAATGGATTTCGGGAGATAAATATGGATTAAACTTTACGTGAAAGATTATTAGTTTTATCTGAGTGATTCTGCTTTTAGTGACCGTTTATTACAGGTGGAAGACAATACAAACAGGCCGTTTGCACTCGTCAAGGTGACCATGGCCGCTTAGTAGAGTTGAGTGACCGCCTAATAGAGGTGAAGATTACAATAATTAAAGGGGAAATACTTGTGAAGTTTGACAACCGACCACTTCAAACAGTGCTTAATAGCACTTAATACGGTGCTCCTTAATACAGGTTCAACTTTATCTCGTGCGTAATGAGAACTTAGTATCTGGTATACAGAAACCAGTAAAGATCTCTAAGCAATTGTGGTGTTTGGTGATAAAAGTCTTACAATGTTTAGGTATACATGTATTGGTATCTCATAGAAAGAAAAATCGCTTCCTTCCCTACAGCATCTCACCCAACCCCGATAAGCCCTGATCATAACTGACTACGATGCGATTTACTTTCAGCGAAGTGTTTCAGATGAAAAACAGCAACAAAAAAACAATCGCCAGTGTCGTATGTCTTAACATAAACGTTTAACTACGTGCAATTAAGCTAGTCAGTAGTAAAATTTCTTTCTTCTTTATTAGCAATCACATGGTGTTAATGCATCGAAAGTGATATGAACTGCGACTAAAGACATTGGGTAGTATCTATTGTTCTCGCGATATTTACTTGCAGTGGCGAAAATATAAATCTGTAATATAGCGGCGAAGCGTAAACAGGGAGGCTCTTATGGGTCGGAGATCACGCGAGCGTATTTCCTAACAAGTGCATCACCGTTATGGCTTCCGGTGACATTGCAGATTGAGAAGGAAATAAGCAACAACAAGTTCATCGTAAAATGTTTATCGAGAAAGTAGATAGACACAAATTTTTAAAAAAAAAGAAAAAAAGGATTTTATCGTAGAATCAAAACACAGTTGTGTAGAGTATCAGTAACCAGCAAGTCACCATTTTTACAAACTGTTATAGCCCAGGGTTTTCGGTTTTCTTGATCAAAGGAACAGAGAAATTCACCATCCAGGGTAAACATTTGCAGTCTTCTATTACCATTGTCACAGACGATCAGGTTATCAAAAGCATCAACAACAAGTCCACAGGGACACAGGAACTGTCCTTCACCAGACCCCTTGCTGCCAATATTAAATAGAAATAAACCTTCCTTATTGAAAACCTTGACACAGTCAGCAGTGGAATACAACACAAAGAACTTTTCTTGATGATAAAATACAGAGTTGGGTCTATGGTCATAATACGGGACACTGAAAGACTGTAGCAATTGTGCACCGTCCGAGGAAAGGACCTTAATTTTACCGTCAACGTCATTACACACGATCACGTGACCATCATCATTTGTGACAAAAACAGTCCGAGGAGTGATTACGTGCTTCGTGAACTTTTGAATAAACTGGCCATCATCAGTGATTAGAAGCATTTGTCTTGAAGGTCCATCGTTATCAATTACGATCGTATCACCATTCCTTGCGACTGCTACTGACCCAGGCTCATGAATCTTCAGAGCTGCACCAGTTGGTAATCCCGTCTCACCTCCTATCGTCCTGAGGTATTTCAAATTTTTATCAAAAACCTGAAGGCGGCCATTCAACGTATCTGCCACAATAATTTCTCCTGTTTTTTCATTCTTTGCAATACTGCGCGGTAAATGAAATTCTCCTTCTCCATTTCCACTTGACCCACACGATTTGACTACTTTGTACTGATATGGCTTCACGTTAACTCTCCAAGGACTACCAGTCAGCGGCCATCCGTTAATCACAATCGTAACGTCGTGTCGCCCAGCACTCTTTGGTTTGTAATAGACTGTGTAGTTGCCATCTTTAAGGTCTATGGTTTTTACTTCTTCTTTCCCTGTTCGAGATCTGATTGTGACGGTCACGTCTTCTTGTTTGCTATAAAACGGTTTTCCTTCTGAATCTCGTGTAGTTATTGTGAAGTTAGCCTCGGCGCCCTGCTCGGCTTCTTTTAAGCCGTTTCCTTCAGCTTGTGACTTCGAATGGTCAGTGTGATAAGATGGAATATTTTCTAAAAATGAAACGACAAACATACAACGAAAGCATTTAAGAGCAAAATTAAGAGATATAAAAACAAAGTAACTGAAGGCTTAAGCAACCTACACTAGAATTTCCCTGAACAGTTTGCTCACAAAATATCGGCTTCTTAATTTCGAAAGACTCCCCTCCGATTTGTAACATTCGACTCCCAGATTTACTAAATTTTAGTGATTACTTTCTTTCGATTCTGACCCTTTACTGATTACAAGTCGCCCCTGGATGTTCAGTGTGTTGTTATGATCGATATTGTAACGCTTAGAAAACACCTACATACGACATCGTTCCAAACGAAACTTCAACTTTACCGGGGTTGAATTTCTTATAAACCATTACAATTTCCTCAAATGTGATTGGTGCATTAAACGACGACATTGATGACGATGAGAAGGTGGAGAGGAGGAGGACTGGGTGGAGAATAGTGAAAATGATGGGGAGGAGGAGTAAAAGGAAGAGAATGCCAACGCAATTGGATGGCCATTATTCACGATTTATTCAGAACAACACGAATTGTCATCATCATAAAATATCATTTGAGCTTCTTTTCTCTTTCAATAATAACAATTTTTTTTCTTTGCTTTCGGTAAAAGTGAGTAATATAATATAAGTGTTCAATATTTGTTTTTTGGGTACTCAGTGTAGGCAATGATAAATTTAGCGTACTTATGTCGTTACAGTTATCACGATGTACTTTCAAATTTTCTAATTGCAAGAAGCACTTTAGACCTGTACCTGGATTTGTAACTTCGCTTGATGGCCTCACAGGTCCTAAAAAAGATTTTCTGCATCTGTCGTAGTCTTCTTGTCTAATAACAACTTTTAAACTGACATCTTTCAGATTAAGCTTCTGTCTCACGTCATCAGTCAGCATGCACTTCTCAGCCATTTCATCGAGGTAACCAGAACAATAATCGCTCTTCAGATTTTCAAGACTCTCCAGGGTGGGGCATTCCACTCGAATTTCTAAGGATCCAAGTCCTACTGCCTTTATACGTACATTGCACTTGTTTCTGAAACGGCCAAGAAAGTCAGCGAGTCCTTCGGTTTGAAAGAACGCGTTGTAGTTCTTGACTTCTTGTTGAAAATACTGGTTCAACTTCTCCTTTTTTACAGCATCAACATTATGGCTGGTGATTTTAACTGACATTTCATGCGATTCCGTAACGTTGCCTAAGAAAATTGACAAAAATTTCAAATCGGATATTTCACTTTACTCAGCTTCTGACGCAGACCATTGATTAATAAATTTAAAAAAAACTGGTCCGTCTAAAAAAAAAGTGAAGAAAACCATCAGCGAGAAAGGCGATTTAAACTGGAAGTAATGTTATTCATCCACTGAGGTCTTCTGCGAAAGTTGATAGCTTTAACTAGTGGTCATAAAATCTTTAAGCTTGGATCTTCCAGTTTTAGGAAGTGGTGGGTGACCCTTAAAAAAAGTCCAAAAAGGACACTGTAAATTTGATGAATTAGTGCTCAGGTGATCAGTTTTCTCAATTAACTTTCCATGACAAAACCAGACGTGACAACTCAAAAAAACGGCTGCGAAGGAGACTAAAATTTACCTGGACTAGCAACTCCTTTCGTTGGCTTCGTTGGTTCAAAAAACGACTTCCTACATGCGAAGTACTCCCCATCTTTGATAACCGTTTTCACCCTAACATCTTTCATCTGAGGGTTTTCGGTTACTTCATCAGTCAGAAGGCATCTCTCTGCAGTTTCATTGAGGTAACCTGACTCGAAGTCCGTCCACAGACATTCAAGGCCCTGCGCGGTTGCGCATTCCAATCCTATTTCTAGGCAGCTGAACCCCAATGCTTTGGTGCGCAGGTTGTAAGCATCTTCAATATGCTTAAGAAAGAGGCCCATTCCTTTCGTTGGTGAAAATGTGTTGCAGTTAAGGAACATTAAAACGTCGGCTCCAAAATTTTGGTTGGACTCCTTCAGATTTTCACCATCAGCATTGTGGGTGGTGATTTTTACTATTATCTCACGCAGTTCCATGACGGCGCCTAAAAAATCAAGAAAATCTCGATTCAAAAATTTCAAATCAACCTTTTCCCTTACTATCTTTTTTACGACCTCCAGGTAGGCGTTTAAACAGAGTAGCGTTTAAGAACAGAGCGAAAAAACTATTAGCTGTCAAAGGATTTTAGTATCACGTGATGCTTTTCATCCGATCAGGTAACTCAAATTAAAAGTAACGAGTTGTAGAAGATATATTTTTTTAGGTCTTGGTGAACTCTAAACAGAACACTTTAAGTCGTGTTTCTCAAATTATGATATACACTACTGTCGCAACTTGGGTGAAGTGGCAACCAGTTGAAGGTGTCATTATTTACCGAATAATGATCATTTGCACTTATTTCCATTCTAATCTTATGCTTTTCAGTTATGTAACTGAAGATAGCACGTTTGTCTGTTGATGCAATGAACAGCTAAAGGGAATACTTTAAATCGTGTTTCTCAAATTATAATACACACTACTGTCACAACTTGGGTATAGTGGCAACCAGTTGAAGGTGTAATTATTCACCAAATAATGATCATTTGCACTTATTTCCATTCTAATCCTGTGCTTTTCAGTTATGTAAATGAAGATAGCACGTTTTTTGTCTGTTGATGCAATGAACAGCTCAGCTCAGTGAGTCGAACATTCCCATCCGAGGTACCAATCCGAAGGTTTATGATTCGATCGACTTCTGTCAGGAGATCATTTGATTCATCTACTCAAGAGTTACACAGGATGATGGTTATCAACTATAAGGATGATTTTTTTCATCAAGTGCAACAAGCAGTTTAAGTGCAGTACGTACCTTGACTTTTACCTGCGCTTGATGGCTTCACTCGCTCAATGAAAGACCTTCTGCATGTCTCGTAGTCCTCTTCTTTAATGACAGTTGTTAGTCTCATATTTTTCAGGTTCAGTTTCTTTTTTACTTCATCGGTCAGAATGTACATCTCAGCGATTTCATTGAGGCGGCGAGAGAGGAAGTATCTCCAGAGTCTTTCAAGGCTTCCCAGGGTGACACATTCCACTCGTATTTCTAGACCTTCAAATTTTAATGCTTGAATGCTCAGGTTGTAAGTATCTTCCAAACCTTTCAGTAAAGCATTCAGTCCTTCAGTTGGAGAAAGTGTGTTTTGCTTTAGGAACATATTTATGTCTGCAGAAAATTGGTGATTGGATGTGTCTTGTTTTTTAACATCAAGATTTTGAGGCACGACTTTTAGTTTTATCTCATGTGGAGCCTCGGTATCGCCTGGAAAGAAAAAAATAAAGAAAATATTAACTATCTAGAATCCTTATCCTGTTTTCCCCTGACATGTTGTAATGTTGACGTAGTTAGTGACTAAATTAATGTTCTCGTCTTGGTTTCTGCTGGGTCACAGTGAAGCAAAGAAATCGGTAAAAGAAGCTTGATGGCCTGAGGACAAAGCAATTTCCATGCAACATGAAACTGATAAGCAGTTGAGAGTTAGATACGTACATCTCTTACAAAGGTTGAGTTTCTGCATCTGTGTTTCTCCTACTTGCGCGGCGTGGGTAACATCTCGCAAAAGCGAAAACCTGAAATGAATTGTTATCCATGCATGTTGTGAGAGATTCTGAAGGTAATACTTCAGCCGTATCACATGACGGCAAGGATTCAATATCTACAATCTCATTTCCATTCCCAGACTTCTCATTTCATTACAGTACTCGAAAGCGAGTGAAAGGTCTGGGTCCTTGGATCAAAATGATTCAGATCGTTACCTTATTTCCTGCACTTTCTTGTAAACCTCTTTGGCATTCCTGATGGTTACAACTAATTCCCTGTTGAATCCAATGTTACAAAACTCTTCTTGCAATCTATGCTTCACTTTCTCTGCTTCGAGGTCATCCACGAACTGCAACAAACTAAGATCTGTGTGACAGTAAAGCTCAACCAAAATTGAACCATCCCCGATATTCCTGACTTCAGGATCAGCTCCGTTTTCGTTTCTTTCTTCTAAGCCATTCCTTATAGCATTTTCAACGGAATGCCTTTTAGACAGATAGAATGCACCCAACGACAGGGCTCCAGCCAGCGCGACTCCTGCCAGAATGGGGCTGTCTATTTTCACTGAGACGAAAAAGCCTGATGTACTTGCTGACGCTGTCATTTCAAGCGCCGCTCTGACTCCATCTGTAGCTAGATCCGCGCCTTCACCAGCCATTACTTTTATTCCAGCCTCATCCCTGTAGCAAGGAGAAGAAAACAACGACCTTAAATTCTACCTTTAAGCCGCAAATTAACAACCATTTTGGTTTATAAATCTGCTGTTTCCTTAGAGGGGGCTTCGACCACTGAGGCTAAAGCAGCTAACTGATGCAGTTATTTATTGCCTTGGCCTCTAGTTTTGTGTGTCACGAATAGTACATTGCAGTGCATAGTTACGACGAACATACAATGAAATCAAATGTTTTTTTTAGAGAACAGTTCGACCTCGACGGTGTTTTTTGACGCCAATTGTACATATATCGCTTAATTGTTAGGGATATCTGGAATGCATTGACGTCGCAGAAGTATAAAACTTCGTGCGCTTACGAAATTAAGCTACCAGTGATATGGATAATATGCGGTACAACGAGGATATGCAATTCGACGAAACAGATTTTATCTCAACCCAATCTGCGAGATAAGTACCACCACAAAGACCAGTGCAATCAGTAGCTGAGATTCGTCAAAGTATCCCAAAAAAAGATACGTTACCCAAAGAAGATCTTGGGAGGACATGGAACGACAAAAAGTCTGAGCGAGAACACCATCTAAAAGAATGAAACAAAGCGAAAAAGTCTCTTGTATTGTGGGTTTCAAAGACATCGTTTCTTGAAAACCAGCTTAACAGATACACAAAAGAACGTGAGAGAATGCGTGGACGTATGCTTACGCTTTCATTCCTATCCAAAAGATCACAGTGGAAAAGGTAGTTGGTGAACGATTTAAACCTTTTGATTTATTTGATGGTTTGCAAACGTCGTTTAAGCCCGAGAAGATCAGCAAGATCATCGTCAAGAAGGATATGCTTATTTTGAGGACTGTGGATTTCCTAAACTCCTCTCGGAGTATTCATTTCAACCATCAGTCCTACACTCTTCAAGGCATCATTGGCTTGACTGAAACTCTCTTTACAGTTGCAGTCCCCTGGGCATTGAATACAGAGATTTCTCTGGTTCGCTTCAAATTAAACCATTTGTTATAAAGAGGAAAACTCAAGAGCCAAATATGTTGATATTTTCACTCCCAGGAGGTTCGTTGAGGTGACCCATGTGATCATTTGAATCTGCAATAATTGTCAACACAATCATATTGATTATAAAAGCAATAAAAATGTTTGCGTGGCCAAGATCAGATGAAGCGAATAAAATTGTAGATAAAGCTGAGACAAAAGCCTGGGTTAATTTTCAAAGCACGATATTCAAATGCAGACTTAAGCAAGTACAGTACGTAAGTGTCTTTCAGTGATAACAGACAGGCAACGGGTGGAGTTTATTTCAGTCGATCAGATGGAGTTCAGTCGAGCGATTTAGGATCAGACAGAAGATGCTGGGATGATGACATGAAGAAGGCACTTGGAATTGGAGGCTTTCCCCTTGAACTCACTTTGAATCGAGTAGGAAAGAAGGAGGTGTCAACAGTTCCATTTAACGAGAATGCTGTCAGCCGCTTGAATGAGAAGATTTAAGATCTTTGTCACCCCGTCCCAATAACTCGATGCAAAATTCAGATGAATATTCACAAGAATGAAAATCCAGCACTCTTTAGGCGCAGAATCAAAGAGATCGCTTGCGGGACCAAATATGAGCTACTGGCCTCAACAGCTCAATTTGGCTGCATGGTGCGCGAGAACAGGCCTTGGAATATCTCGTGAAGTGTTTGATAAGGTTTCAGAACAGAACGTTCAATCAGATACAGATTATGCCGCGCTATCGTTCAAACGAATATGTGCAGAATTTGGAATTTCATCAGGTATAGGCTTCCGCTTCGAAGAAGGTGATAATCACGGTCTCGGATCTGTTTTCATTTATGTATTAATAACAAATTCAGAGATAAGGGTGGAAAAGCCATCAAAGGCAATCTGACTCATTTCATTCGGAATGACAACAAAAATGTTGAAAATCAGTTGGACTTTTTCATGGCAAATCAGTCAGAAGGTCTGACGCAAGCCGGGATGGCGAGATTGAATCAATCGATTAAGGCATTAATTCGTTTATTGCATTTTTGGTGTACAAGTCAATGTCAGATTTTCAATCTTGGGTTCACCAGGAGACGCTAAGGAAGCTCAACGTGAGTTCTTCGTATTGGTAGAAGATGCGATCAGAAAGCCAGACATCTCAAAGAGCGTTCCGGCGAAAGGGCATGTCACTCATCTCAAGTCAATCTTAGTAGATAAGGGATCAGAAATGATTATCAATGAGAGCATCAATGTTCCAAGGAGGTCAGTGAAGGGACTTCCTCTATTTTACGAGCCATATGTCGCTGTTGCGAGAGACAGTGAGAAGACGTTCAATCCTGACATTACAGAAGTGAAGGTGATTGTCAATGGAATCCTAAATAAGGTTTACAGCCAAGGAATGGAGATTAGAGATATGTGGGAAGAGAACTTCAGAAGATTTGGAAAGAAAAACAGCGCGATGAATGCAAGAGACTTTTGGGCCGGAGACAGATTCGGTCTATTCATCGATCTCAGGAGTATGAGAGATAATAATCTTAGTGCAGTTTGATCGTTCGGGTGAGCGTAGCCCTGAAAAGGACTGTTGTCGGTAGTGGTGACTGAAGTTTCGACAACCTGTGCAGAAGTCATCATCAGAGTCAAGTGAATAATTGTTGTCAGTCGAACGTTCTAAGTCCGGTTTGTATAAACTGATTGGTCAGTTTTGCCGTGTTCAGCTCTCAATTAACAGGAAAGCGTCCGGCTCAGGGAATGTCAGTTAAATGTCACATCTTCATCCTCTCATCAACCGTGAGCATGAAAGCTTGACTTATTAATTAGATAACTTCACATTTACAAAGACACAATTTTGACAGAAGAGCAAATCAAGGCACACCACGACTTCTTTGCGAGAAGATACAACATTGATATTTGAAAATCTTCACACAAACAATCGATTCAACACCCTTTCAGCGACACTGATGGCGCAACAAGAGGTCATTAAAGATGATAATATTCACACCCTCTTCAGAACTCATGAATGACACATTGTCAAAAATCTGAAGAGGGAGTGAAATTATTCAATGCCTGTAAATAAAATAAGTTACCTATAAAATCAAGGCTGTCTCCAAACTGCTCAAAAAACGGGTTTTTTGAAATCAAGGTTGATTTCAAGTCAACCTTGATTTTTTAGGTTAAATTCATGATTTTTGAAATCAAGGTTGATTTCAAAATGCGCCAGAAATTCTGTCTTTTGTTTTACCCTTTGTTTAACTTCGAATAATGTGCTAGATTTATAACAAAGGAGGGATTCCGATTGATGTTGGTGACATTACGTGGTTTGTGAAGAAAAAGGAAAAAGTTTTTGATCCGCTGGGTACCTCTTTAGAAGGCGAACAAGATCATGAAATATCAGGTTCAATAAAGTTGTTGTCGTAAAAGTTTACGGCTGGCTACCAGCAGCAAAACTTGAATCGTTTGCATTCATTCGTCTGTAAAGTTAAGTGAAATCATTTGCAGTTTCCTGGAACAGGAGACGATTTCCTATTGTTTTACCAGGATGATTTTAGGTTCATAGGATGAGTGAAGAAAATCAGATTCCATTCTGCCGTTTGCGGTTAACGTCAAGCGTAAAAACATATTTGTTTACAAGCAAGCAAGACCGCCGCTACTTTTTTGCAATATGACTCGTTCTATTTACTTGAATGTGTGAATGTAAAAGTACGACTAAGCGAAACCATTTACCTTTTATCTGAAATGTTGAGTGGTTCACTACCAACAAAAATGTACATCACTCCGCTCATCGTCAACACGGCGCCGTGCTCCACTCTTATCAATTACCCAATAAACTAAAACGAGCGTCTGTCAAAGTTGTCGTGACGATCATTATCACATAACGCGTGAATAAAATAAATTTGAAATCTTAACCTTGGGAGAAGATCGGCACAGCTCTTTCCTCGGGAACCAGAATTCTTTTCCCCAGAATTATAATTCTCCTCTGAGGACGAAGAATCTGAAATAATAAATTGGTCTCTGAAAAGACATGAATCTTTCAGAAAGCATTTAATTACTCTTCAAAACAATTGAACTTAAGAGTGACCGATGGAAGTAAAGTGAGAGAAAAGAAAGAAAGTTATCAATCTCCAACTCACACTCATCTATAAAATCAAGTTGTTGTATTTTGTACTTGAATGTTTCCCAGACTTATTGCCTGCCATCACGTTACTAACGCTTCTTTCATTCAACGGGTCAGACACACTAAGAGTCAAAGACAAAAACTTCCAACTTCACTGGCTTACTTACCGTTCCAGGTGCATGGAATGTTGGAAAAGTTATTCCATAGATATTTCTTTTTAAAAATTATCTTACGAGTAAAAAACACAGTTCAGAATAGAGGTGTGAGAATGAGTATAATTCTTCGCCGATCCGCCGGCAGCGATATAAACATCACGTCAGGTTAGAACAGACAATTTCATTAGGTTTGGATATCGACATTGACTGGCCTGCTTTGTGATCAAAGACAACATCTTGATAGTTACCTGTAATCGTAGCTAGCATTAACTTTAGTGATAAGGAGTGCCTCTGAGTACAGGTGAGACTGCGAAGCGTTTCGCTCAATTTGACTCAAAGAAATCTTCCAGAGGGTGGAAGTAAAGAAAATCTGAAATTCTAATCTGGATGGATACCAAGTGTGTATCAAATATCACGCTATGACGTCGGTATGATCTGACTTATTTCCAGTGCCTCTCTCTCTCTCTTCTCCGCGCTCCTGTCGCGCGCGTCCTTTTGCTCGCACGAATCCTGTCCATTGGTTGTTAAGATAGACCTTAGGCAATAATTTAATACCAGCCTGCCATGAAATTTTCACTAAGTAGTTAGGTATTAGATACATTAACTTCGAAAATGAATTGGAAACTGATCATCATTTCCAAACTTCACTAGAACGCTTTTTTCATTATTATTGTCGTTTGTTCTTTATGTTTATTATAGTTTCTAAATAGTTAGCTTTAAACAAACTCTTATTCAGTTACAAAGATTAAAGTTGGAATATCGGACAGGGGCTTCAATTGTCCTAGTAGCGGTGAAAAATCGATATATTATATTCCAGTATTATAATGAAAGTGTTTGTTTTCTCTTCCTGTCATTAAAAATGTCCTTTAAAAGATAAAAGGTTAGAATTTTTACTGAATTGCATCGCGCTGCAGGTGAAGACTTTTGAGATAACAAGTGTCTGGTGAATGACGAGGGTTTTATTAGATACGAAATATGAATACAGTGTGCCAATAGAACGGGGGAGTTGACTTTTTTTCTGTTGTCCTGAGGTAAACTCCCTGTCCACACTTCTTTAACAGATCAAAACGACTGTTTTCAACGCCCGTTATCGTTCTCCCACAATTTTGAAACAGAAAAAGTTTTATCCAGTCTAATTTTGAACAATATTGAAAAGGAGCCACGCTTCTGGACAGTCCTTTGGAAGAGGTGCATTGTAGAGCATGTTCACAAAAGCATTCTTTTCCCTTCCCTTCCCTTCCCTTCCCTCCCCTCCCTCTTCTATCTTCTGACCTCAACTTGCTGCTGTAAAAATTGCTACATCCCGTCCTAACCCATATTCTCTAAGCGGTAGAACAACAGGACTTACAATTTAGTCCTCATAAAAACCACATGGGACTTTTCCATACCTCGCAGGAAAAGAAGAACTCGACAGCACTCGAAAATGTAAACAAAGTGAAATAATTCAAGAATATTACTCAAAAAATGCAGTAGAGTACCACCCGTGTTCGAGCCAGGGTTTAAGAGCTCATTCTTATTATGCATTCAAAAGCGGGAAAGAGCTATTACTTTTATTACTTTATTGAAAATTCAAAGAGGATAGGCTGATACAATCAGCTTCAAATTATTTCTGAACTACTTTTCTTGTCATCGAAATTAAAATCTTGCTCAGAATGCTTTCATGGCTCGTCTAAACCATTGATTCATTCAGAGATCAGTGTCCATCAATCTTACATGTACATGTTCTTGAGCATTGTAGCTTCCCTTCAATATCAATAATGCTCTTAAATATGAAGTTTTGGGTCGTGCTTGATGTACACCTGTTTGTCACTAATGATGTTTCTATGCTTAATAGTACTTCACGTGCTGTTCTTCAACTGGCTGAAAATTTGAATTTTGTTCTGTTATGTATCATGGCAAAGAAACATTGCTACGATCTGAATTCCAATGTGCCTTTCTACAAAGATAATGTACCCTAGATGCGTCTAAGTTTGAGACAGGCTCGTTTAGTGTGGTCACGAGCCAAAACGCAAGTGCGTGAAAAAAGGCGAGGTTAGGTCGCCCCATTAAAAACCAAAGCCTCCGTTGCCAGCAAAACGGCCGCCCCTTCGCTGGTCTTCTTCGACTGACAGCTTGAAAGAGGCTATGTTTGATGTTAGGCATGAGTTGCTATGGTAGTTTTTGAGGGGACCTATAGGGTTTTTCTGAAATTTTAAAATATTTTACTCAAACTTTTATTATATCATAGAGGCCCTTACCACTTAATACAGGTTCCACAGAAAAGGGTATCATAACGAAACGATATAAAACGTCATTTTATACCATAATTGGCCACTTAATGTACAAAAAGTCGCTCAATGATGCTTTTAACATTGATTTCGGGAGATAAATATGGACTAAATTTTCGGACCAATATCAGTATCTGGGCAACTGCCCACCTACCCTCCCCTGACCCAACATTGATCTCATTAAGGTGACCACGGCCGTTTAACCCTTTAACAGCCGAGATCTCATCAGTAATTCTCCTTACTCTCTGCCAAATGATTCTCACTATGTTAGTTTGGAGAGTTTTGTATCGGTTCAATTAGTTATCCCAAAATTGATATTTTTTTCTTTCTTTTCATTACTTGTCTGCATAATATTTTATGGATATAATGAGGAGAAATTCTGTCTTGGTCACTCATGTTAGTGAAAGGGTTAATAGTGTTAAGTGAACGGCCAATAGAGGTGAAGATTATAGTGATTAAGCTGGTAAATATTTCTGTAGTTTGATAACCGACCGCTTCAAACAGTGTATAACAGCGCTTACTACGGTGCTGCTTAACCCTTTAACTGTCAAGATCTGACTGTCAATTCTCCCCTCTAGCTGTTACACATTTCCTTGTAAATTAGTTACAAGAATTTCTAAGTTACAGGGTCAATACAGATTCGACTGTATCTGGTTTGTAATGAGATCTTGGTATCTGGTTTACAGAAACAGGTAAAAATCTCTAAGTAATTTTGGTGAGTAAGTTTGGTGATAAAGCTTGGAAATGTTTAGGAATACATGAAATGGTATCTCATGGAGAGGAAAATTGCTCACATCAGTATCTCTACAGCATCTCACCCAATCCCGATCAGCCCTGATCATAACTGCATGATTACGATGCGATTTAATTCCGATGAAAAAATATATCTGAAATATACGTTTAACTACGTTCAATTAAATTAGTATAATTTGTAAAATTTATTTCCTCTTTATTATCAATCACACGTTGTTTAATGCATCGAAAGTAATATGAACGGCGACTAAAGATATTTGGCAGAATATCTATTGTTCTCGCGATATTTACTTGTAGTGGTGAAAATACAGATCTGTAGTATTAGCGGCGAAGCTTAAAGAGGGAGGCCCTCATTGGTCGAAGATCACGCAAGTGTATCTGCTGACAAGTGCGTTACTGTTATGGCTTCCGGTGACATTGCAGGTTGAAAAGGAAATAATTAAGCAACAACAAGTTCATCGTAGAATGTTCATCGAGAAAGTGGACAAATAAAAATTTTTAAAAAAGGAAAAAAAGGATTTCATCGTAGAATCAAAACACTGTTGTGTAGAGTATCAGTAACCAGTAAGTCACCATTTCTAGAAAATGTTATAGCGCTGGGTTCTCGGTTTCCTTGATCAAAGGAACAGAGAAATTCACCATCCAGAGTAAACATTTGCAGTCTTCTATTACCATTGTCACAGACGATCAGGTTATCAAAAGCATCAACAACAAGGTCCCTGGGATACTTCAACTGTCCTTCACCAGACCCCTTGCTGCCAATAGTAAATAGAAATAAACCCTCCATATTGAAAACCTTGACACAGTTAGCAATGGGATACGACACAAAGACTTTTTCCTGATGACAAAATACACAGCTGGGTATATCGTCGTAATACGGGGCACTGAAACACTGTAGCAATTGTGCACCGTCTGAGGAAAGGATCTTAATTATACCGTCAGCTTCATCACACACGATCACGTTACCATTATCATTTGTAACAAAAACAGTCCGAGGACTGATTACTAGCTCCGTGAACTTTTGGATAAACTGGCCATCATCAGTGATTAGAAGCATTTGTTTTGAAAGCCCAGCCTTATCAATGACGATCAAATCACCATTCCTTGAGACTGCTACTGACCAAGGTTCATGAATCTTCACAGCTGCACCAGTTGGTGATCCCGTCTCACCTCCTATCGTCCTGAGGTATTTCAGATTTTCATCAAAAACCTGAAGGCGGCCATTCAACCTATCTGCCACAATAATTTCTCCTGTTTTTTCATTCTTTGCAATACTGCGCGGTAATTGAAATTCTCCCTCTCCAAGTCCACTTGACCCACACGACTTGACTACTTTGTACTGATGTGGCTTCACGTTAACTCTCCAAGGACTACCAGTCAGCGGCCTTCCGTTAATCACAATCGTAACGTCGTGTCGCCCAGCACTCTTTGGTTTGTAATAGACTGTGTAGTTGCCATCTTTAAGGTCTACGGTTTTTACTTCTTCTTTCCCTGTTCGAGATCTGATTGTGACGGTCACGTGTTCTTGTTTGCTGTAAAACTGTTTTCCTTCTGAATCTCGTGTAGTTATTGTGAAGTTAGCCTCGGCGCCCTGCTCGGCTTCTTTTAAGCCGTTTCCTTCAGCTTGTGACTTCGAATGGTCAGTGTGATAAGATGGAATATTTTCTAAAAATGAAAAGACAAACATACAACCAAAACATATAAGAGCAAAATTAAGAGATATAAAAACAAAGTAACTGAAGGCTTAAGCAACCTACACTAGAATTTCCCTGAACAGTTTGCTCACAAAGTATCGGCTTCCTAATTTCGAAAGACTCCCCTCCGATTTGTAACATTCGACTCCCAGATTTACTAAATTTTAATGATTACTTTCTTTCGATTCTGACCCTTTAATGATTACAAGTCGCCCCTGGATATTCAGTGTGTTGTTATGATCGATATTGTAACGCTTAGTAACACCTACATGCGACATCGTTCCAAATGAAACTTCAACTTTACCGGGGTTGAATTTCTTATAAAATCATAACCATTTCAATTTCCTCAAATGTGATTGGTGCATTAAACGACGACAATGATGACGATAAGAAGGAGGAGAGGGAGGAGGACCGGGAGGAGAATAGTGTTCTGAGAAAACTTTTCTGTCTAGGAATATAGTTAAGAAAACCATCAACGAGAAAGGCGATTTAAACTGGCTGTAATGTTTTTCATCCACCGAGGTCTTCTGCGAAAGTTGATAGCTTTAACTAGTGGTCATAAAATCTTTAAGCTTGGATTTTCCAGTTTGCGGGAGTGGTGGGTGACCCTTAAAAAATTCCAAAAAGGACGCTGTAAATTTGATGAATTAGTGCTCATGTGGTCAGTTTTCTTAATGAACTTTCCATGACAAAACCAGACGTGACATCTCAAAAAAACGGATGCGAAGGAGACTAAAATTTACCTGGACTAGCAACTCCTTTCCTTGGCTTCGTTGGTTCAAAAAAAAAAATTCCTACTTGCGAAGTACTCACCATATTTGATAACCGTTTTCACTGTAATATCTTTCATCTGAGGGTGTTCGGTTATTTCATCAGTCAGAAGGCATCTCTCTGCAGTTTCACTGAGGTGACCTGACTCGTAGTCCGTCCGCAGACGTTTAAGGCCTTCTGCGTTTGCGCATTCCAATCCTATTTCTAGGCAGCTGAACCCCAATGCTTTGGTGCGTAGGTTGTAAGCATCTTCAATATACTTAAGAAAGTCGCTCATTCCTTTCGTTGGTGAAAATGTGTTGCAATGAAGGAACAGTAAAACGTTGGCTCCAAAATTTTGGTTGGACTCCTTCCGATTTTCACTGCCAACATTATGGGTGCTGATTTTAACTGTTATCTCACGCGGTTCCTTAACGGCACCTAAAAAATCAAGAAAATCTCGATTCAACTATTTACAATCAACCTTTTCCCTTCCTTACAACCTCTCGGGCAGGCTTTTAAACAGAGTTTCGTTCAAGAACAGAGCTTAAATTAAAAGTAACGAGATGTAGAAGATATATTTATTTAGGTCTTGATGAACTCTAAACAGAACACTTTAAATCGTGTTTCTCAAATTATGATATACACTACTCTCGCAACTTGGGTGTAGTGGCAACCAGTTCAGTTTTTGTGAAGGTGTAATTATTTACCGAATAATGATCATTTACACTTATTTCCATTATAATCCTGTGCTTTTCAATTATGGAAATGAGGATAGCAAGTTTCTTTATCTGTTGATATAATGTACAGCTCAGCTCAGTGAGTCCTAGATTCCCATCCGAGGTACTAATCCGAAGGTTTAGGATTCGATCGACTTCTGTGAGGAGATCGTCTGATTCAAATACTCAAGAGTTACATAGGATGATGGTTATCAACTATGAGGATGAATTTTTTTTATCAAGTGCAACGAGCAGTTTTGGTGCTGTTCGTACCTTGACTTTTCACTGCGCTTGATGGCTTCATTCGCCCAATGAAAGACCTTCGGCATGTCTCTATTTTTCAGGTTCAGTTTCTTTTTTACTTCATCAGTCAGAATGCACATCTCAGCGATTTCATTGAGGCGGCGAGAGAGGAAGTATCTCCAGAGTCTTTCAAGGCTTCCCAGGGTGACACATTCCACTCGTATTTCTAGACCTTCAAATTTTAATACTTGAATGCTCAGGTTGTAAGTATCTTCCAAACCTTTCAAGAAAACATTCAGTCCTTCAGTTGGAGAAAATGTGTTTTGCTTCAGGAACATATTTATGTGTGAAGAAAATTGGTGACTGAACGTGTCTTGTTTTTTAACATCAAGGTTTTGAGGCACGACTCTTAGTTTGATCCTGTGTGGAGCCCCAGGATCGCCTGGGAAGAAAAAAATAAATAAAAAAAATTAATTATCAAAAATCCTTCTCCCAATTTCCCCTGACATCATTTCTAATGTTGACGTAATCAGTGACTAAATTCTCGTCTTGATCTCTGCAGGGTCACAGTGAACCAAAGAAATTGGTAAAAGAGGCTTGATGGCCTGAGGAAACTGAAGCATATTTCCATGCAACGTGGTTGAGAGTTAGATACGTACATCTTTTACCGAGGTTGAGTTTCTGCATCTGTGTTTCTCGTACTTGCGCGGCGAGGGTGACTTCTCGCGAAAGCGAAAACCTGAAATAAATTGTTATCCATGCACGTTGTAAGAGATTCTGAAGGAAATACTCCAACTGTATCACATTAACGCAAGGATCCAATATCTACAATCTCATTTCCAGTCCCAGACTTCCTATTTCATTACAGTACTCGAAAGCGAGTGAAAAGGTCTGGGTCACTGGATCAAAATGACTCAGATTGTTTCCTTATTTGCCTTTTAAGTTATCAATACTATGAATGTTGATGTAGTTGTTGAATATGTTAGTTAATATTTTATGTGAATTGTATGTTAAAAATAAAACCCAAGAAAGGGGGTACGATTTAAAAGTGATATGATATTATTTACCTAACATACAAAGAATGAGATATGTAGATAAACAGTGGATGTTGTCGATACAGTGAATGTCGATATTGTTGTTCATTGTTAACTTGATGCGTACATTATGAATATGTAAGTTGATTTCCTGTAATGATGATTGTATGTTAAAAAATAAAACCAGATAAAATGAGATTCTTTTCCGTGTAATGTACTGTGTTTGAGGAAAATTAATCCTTTCAAAAACTCGACAAAACCCAATAAAGGCATAAGATTCTTTTCAGTGGAATATTCAGATCTCAGAAGAGCACAAAGACTTATCAGCAGGAATGCTTTTGAATGTGATTCTTCAAAACGGGCAAAGTCAATCTCTGGATAAGAACGATCAATTCAATTTTGGGTGAAGGACAAAAATTCTCATGTGAAGTTTAAGAAACTGACACTCTTTTCAAACAAACGTTGGGTCTTCAGAGGAGAGCAGTAGTTGTTCTGATAAGCTTGCATAATATGAGATTCTGCTTAAATGAATATCATCTTGGGAGGGGAGCAGTGTTTCTTCTCAGAAGAATACCTTATTAACTAGTTCTTAGCAAAAGAATTTTGTTCTTTTAGGAAAAAAAACTAGTATTCTTCCAACAAGAATCAAACATACGGTACAGCTCAGAGGTACTTGGCCCTAAATGCACGCGAAAAGCGCGTTAAAAAAAAGCGCGCACACGCGCGCGAAAGAAATTCATTAGTGCGTATGAAAGAGTCTTTTGTTTTACCCTTTGTTTAACCTTGAATGGAGTGCCAGATTTCTAAACATAGGTATACGTAGCATACAAGAGTTTTTTTTCGGCTGAGCGGGTTTAGATGGGGCACTTTGTGTCCCTGATGTTTTCATTTTTGCGACAGAAAAATTGCATAACTTTCAAAAGGACGAAAATATCGCATTACTTCACCTTAAGAGAAAGAAAAAAACCTAATTTATCTGAACTCACATGGTTATTTTGTGGTCTTTATCTCTATTAATTGTCCAAATACTTCTAAGCAAAAATAAAATGCCTCGGTGCCAAACTTACTGTTTTCTCCCATGCAGTAGTTGTTTGGTCTCGTCACACAACGCCATCTATTCCCCGTTGAAGAAAGAGCGAGTTGCGTGATGAGACCAAGTAACGCTTGCGAAAGAGACTACGCTTACTGCCGTTCCCTTAACAGAGAGAAAATCAAAATTATTCGTCTACAGCTAGTTGCTTGAAAAATATGATTCCACATAATTTTACAACGAAAAGCAAACTGAAACTCTGTTGTATCTCCAATAGACCCTAACCAAAGATATATTGCGATCTCGAATCAGTGAAGGCATATTTAACAAGAGGAAATGATAAGATTTCAAAGAGAGCTCCTTAATTGGTTGTTGCCATCTGGACTTTGCCCTCTGTGTGAGAAATACGTGATAAAATGCAGGTTGCTTAGATGGAATGAACACACAACTGGATTATGTCTAAGGTAGCTAAGAGCCAATTTTATTCGTAGAAAAAGTCAAAACGCAGGATAATTGCGTGAAAAATCCCTTTCTGTAGAATTGAGTTCCATGTGAATTTCTCTTGTTGGGTAACGCGGTTGGAATACGTGATTAAATGCAGGTTGTTTACAAGGAAATGACACGTGATGGCAAAATGGAATTTGATTGGTAGAATACAATTCAAGCACGTGAAAAATTGCCTAATGTTTATGTCGTGCAATGATTGGGTATGTTCTGATCGGACTTTGAACGTTGTTTTCTTGGTACGGAAATGCAAGTTGCTTGGCTTTGAGGAGAGCGCTGCTGCGAACATATCTTTGATTAGGGTTTATTAGAGGTACCACAGAGTTTCAGTTTTCTTTTCGTAGTCAAGTTACGCGGAATTATATTTTTGAGGTAACTATCTGGAGACGATTAATTTAGATTTTCTCCCTGTTAGAAGAACGGCAGTAAGGCCACGAGCGTGGTCCCTTTTGCAAGTTTTATTTGGACTGGTCACGCAATGCGCCCTCTCTCCAACGGGGAATAGATGGCGATGTGTGACGAGACTGCTGCGAGAAGACAACAATAAGCGTTGCACCGATGCATTTTGGGTTTGCTTAGAAGTAGTTAGACAATAAAGACAATAGACCACAAGATACCTGTGTGAGTTCAGATAAATAAGGTTTTTTTTCTTTCTCTTAAAATGAGGTAATGCGGAATTTTCTTTCTTTTGAAAGTTATGCTCTCTGTCTGTTACAAAAATGAAAACATTAGGTACACAAAGTATCCATCTCAACCCACCCGGTCAAAAAATAACTCTTGCATGCTACGCATGGCAATGTTTGAAATTGCTTGCCTGCATTGTGAAGAAAAAGGAAAAAGTGACCCGCTTGGTACCTCTTTCGAAAGGCAACAAGATCATGAAATATCAAGTACAATAAAGTTGTTGTCGTAAAAGTTTACGGCTAGCGGCCAACAGCAAGACTTAAATCGTTTGCATTCATTCGTCTGAAAAGTTATGTGAGATTATTTGCAGTTTCCTGGAACGGGAGACCTTTTCCTAATTTTCTTACTAGGATAATTTTAGATTTGCGGGATGAGTGAAGAAAATCAGATTCCATTCTGCCGTTTGCGGTTAACGTCAAGCTTAGAAACATTCGCGGGAGAAATAATGCAAGGCATTGATGGTTATGATCCTTTCAAGCTCCACGAAGACCTCCTCGCGGCTGAGAATGAGAAAGCAAGTATGATCAGAGAAGGTGTTCAGCCTGTTGATCTTTCCAAGATCAGATGCAATGCTGAAGATAAGAATAAATGAGGAGTTGACAAGGAGAATAAGCTCAACGATGTTTATGAGAACAAATATAGGATTCCATTGGATTATGAGATTCTAAAGGATGATGGAGTCTTCCTCCCAAGAGCTCTCTCTGATAAGCTTCTTTTCGAGCTCAGGCTTGCACCCGTCGGCAGTGTTGTAGTCAGATCTAATGAGGCACTAACATTAACTAACATCCAGCATGAGTATGAAGTCATTCACAGTCAAGAACTCGCTGATGAGGCCTTGTCTAACTACGAAATGGAAAGAGATCAATGTAGGAGCAAGTATCTCATCTCAAGACAATCTCAGTAGATAAGGGATCAGACACGATCATCAGTGAGAGCATCAATGTTCCAAGGAGGTCAATGAAGGGACCTCTTCTTCAATTTTACGAGCCATGTCGCTGGTGCGATAGACAGTGAGAAGACATTTAATCCTGAAATCACTGAAATCAAGGTAATTGTCAATGGAATCCCTAATAAGGTTTACCGTCGAGGAATGAAGACAAGAGATATGTGGGAAGAGGTCTTTAAAAGATTTGAAAAGGAAAACAGCGAGATGAATGCAACGGACTTTTATGCCGGAGACAGGTTTGGTCTACTCATCTATCTCAGGAGTATAAGAGACAATAATCTTCATGAAAGTGGATTGAGATTTGAGATTGGTGAATACGAAGGAAGGTGTTCAGCTCGCAATCAACAGGAATGCATCAGGCCCAGGGAATGTTAAATGTCATATCTTCATCCCCTCAGACAATAATCTTAGTATGGTGTGATCATCCGGGTGAGTGTAGTCCTAAGAAGGACTGTCGGTAGTGGTGACTGACGTTTTGACAACCTGAGCGGAAGTCATCATCAGAGTCAGGTGAATAGTTGTTGTCAGTCGAATGTTCTAAGTCCGGTTTGTATAAACTGATTGGTCAGTTTTGCCGTGTTCAGCTCTCAATTAACAGGAAAGCGTCCGGCTCAGGGAATGTCAGTTAAATGTCACATCAGTCATCCTCTCAGATGCTCAGCTCAACATCATCCAACGTGAGCTTGAAAGCGTGACTTATTAATGAAATAACTTCTCATCAAATACACAATTTTAACAAAAGAACAAATCAAGGCACATCACGACTTCTCAGTGAGAAGATACAACATTGATATTGAAAATCTTCACACAAACAATCAACACTCTTTCAACGTGCTGATGACGCGACAAGAGAATCATTAGAGATGATAATATTCACACCCTCTTCAGAACTCACGAGTGACACATGTTCAATAATCTGAATAGTGTGTGAAATTATTCAATATCTGTGAATAATTCAAGTTGCCTTTAAAATCAAGGTTGTCTCCAAAATGCTCAAAAAACTGTTTATTTGAAATCAAGGTTGATTTCAAGTCGACCTTGATTTCAAGGTTAAATTCATGATTTGCCTTTAAATCAAAGTTGCTTTTAAATGCGCCAAAAACCCCATTTTCTATCTACTGTCTTTTGTTTTACCCTTTATTTGATTTTGAATAATGTAATTGATTTAGAACAAAGGAGGGATTCCGATCGATGTTGGTGACATTACGTGGTTTTGTTCCGAAACGTTCTGTGCCAGTTCATTCTTGAAATGGCTTGCCCACTGCTAGGTACCTCTTTAGAAAGCGAACAAGATCATGAAATATTTGGTTCAATTAAGTTGTTGTCGTAAATGTTTACGGTTGGCTGCTATCAGCAGAACTTGTATCGTTTACATTCCTTCGTCTGTAAAGTTATGTGAAATTATTTGCAGTTTCCTGAAACAGGACACAATTTCCTACTGTTTTACCAGGATGATTTTAGGTTCACAGGATGAGTGAAGAAAATCAGATTCCATTCTACCGTTTGCGGTTAGCATCAAGTTTAAAAACATATTTGTTTACAAGTAGGCAAGGCCGCCCGGCTACTTTTCGAACAACTTGATTCGTTCTTGAATCTTAAATGTGAATGTAACAGTACGACTAAGCGAAACCATTTTACTGTTATCTGAAATGTTGAGGGATTCATTACTAACAAAAATTTACATAACTCCGCTCACCGTCAACACGGCGCCGTTATCAATTACATAAGTAAACTACAACGAGCGTCTGTCAAAATTGTCATGACGATCATCATCACATAACGCGTAAATGAAACGGATAAGAAATCTTAACCTTGGGAGAAGATCGGCACAGCTCTTTCCTCAAGAAACAGATTTCTTCTCCTCAGAATTGTGATTCTCCTCTGAGAACGAAGAATCTGGAATAGCAAATTCTTCTCTGAAGAGACATGAATCTTTCAGAAAGAATTTAAGTTCTCTTCAAAAGAATTGAAATTCAGAGTGATCGATGAAAGTAAAGTGAGAGAAAAGAAAGAAAGTTATCAATGTACAACTCATACTCATCTATAAAATCAAGTTGCTGTATTTTGTACTTGAATATTTCCTAGACTAATTGCCTGCAATCAAGTTACCAACACCTCTTTCATCCAACGGGTGAGACACGCTAATTCATGGATTGCAGTGTACTCTAGCTTAGCTTTCGTCAAATGTACATTTCACGCATCGAAATATATGCACGATAGAGAATAGAATGAGGAGATCTTCCCAAAACCAATCGGAAATTAGTTAGTAAATAACGGTGTTGTAGACCTAAAAAGGGATTTAGTCTGAAAATTAATTCACACCTCTGTCCGTCGTTATCCACTCCAAAATTTGAGGAATATAGATCGATAACGGCGTAATAGTTAACGGCGCACTTTCTTCCAGACGGTATATATACATACTAAGAGATTTTACGCTGTTAGTTAACGCTTAAAATCTTATAGTATGCACACCGACGCAGATAGTGGCATAAAATTGTACAGTCAGAAGACTGTGTTAGTCACATGTTAATTAAAACCGTTATCTAATTACCGTAAAATTTATCATTACTTGCAGCTGTAGCTTCAGCCAAGTTTCGTCCACGATAATAAGAGTGAAAGATAAAAACTTCCAATGTCACTGGTTTACATACCGTTTTAGGTAATGGAATGTTGGAAAAGTTTTCCATAGATATTCCTTTTTAAAAATTATCTTACGAGTAACAAACACAGTTCCGAATAGAGGTGTGAGAATGAGTATAGGTTTGGATAACGAAATTGACTGGTCTGCTTTGAGATCAAAGACAACATCTTGATAAAGTTACCTGAAATCGTAGCCAGCAACAACTTAAGTGGTAAGGAATGACTCTGGGTACAGGTGAAAAGCGAAGCGTTTGGCTCAACCTGGCTCGATGAATCTTCCAGGGACGTAAGTACAGAAGATCTGAATTCCTAATATGGGTGGATACCAAGTGTGTATTTAAAAATATCACGCTATGACGTCAGTATGACCTTACTTATTTTCAGTGCCCCTCTGTCTTCTCCGCGCTCCTCTCGCGCGCGTCCTTTTGCTCGCAAGAATCCTGCCCATTGGGTGTTATTTTAGGCCTTACGCAATAATTTATTACTGGCCTGAAAATAGATAAACTGACATAAAATGTTCATTAAACTGTTAGGTATTAAATACGTTAGCCTCGAAAATGAATTGGAAACTGTTCATCATTTTTACCCTTCATTTCAACCCTTAATTACTTTTCCCGATTTTTTTCTGTGTTTTTCCTTCCGCTTCTACTCCTCTCCCTGACTTGTGGTTAATTGTCTCACTGAGTAACTTCCGTACTTGACCGGATAAATGGATGAAAAGTGAAAAAAATAATAAAAATGAAAGAACATTAATAAGGAGAAAATGAACCCCTAAGTCACTTCACTATTATAGTACATACATGGACTAGAGAAAAATATAAAAGCACATGAAAACTTTCCGAATAGAATAGCCTTTAAGATCATATTTCCAGCTATTATCTTCTCTTCCTCACAAATTTATCACTTTATGGGGTATGCAAAAATGTACTTGAAAATCACATTTTGAGATCTAAAAAAGGCAATTGAAAAACTAGATTATCAATTTGATATGCCAGAGATAAGTAAAATACAAATTCCTTTCAAAATGAATGAAATGCAAAGTTAGTCATCAGCTTCACACTAGATATTTATTCACTATAAATTGCTGGATTTATGGGTTTTATCCCCTCTCCCCCTAGTTCATTCTTGGTTTTTAAAATATCTTGTAAAGTATTAACTTTTTACAAGATATAATCAAACTCTCATCCCATTTCCTTAATTTTTATTTTCATTGCAGTTCAAAATTATATAAATTGCATGTTCATTATGCTATCACAAGTAAGGTAATATGCAGGACTTTTATTTTTATTAAAATATTCATCAATATGTAGACATACAACAGTGAAAGGAAAATAAACTGGTTGCTTGAAATCGATGCTTTACTCTTACATGTTCAGTTACTTAAAATTGAGTCCTAATTCTTCTCACTCAGTGCCACAACATTTCCTGATCATACCACTAGTTAAATAAGATTTGGTTTCACTTCAACAGAGTATAACCTGTAATTAAAATGAATTGCTTAGCAACCAGCATCAAAGAAATTGTTTTAAAATTTGACTCTCAGGAATGATCAGTATGACAATTCTCCTAAACATAAAGGTAATGAGAATGAACAAAGAGATCCAAGATGGGGATGTGGCATTGATAAAGCACTCTCTTCTCAGGAATAACCAGAAAAATTATATCCACTGGTCTTAAATTCTCTCATCTAATAACAATTAACCTTCAAATTAACATGTGTTTTAAAGCTACAATGAAAAGCCCCACGCTGATTACCTCAGAAGGACAAAGGTCAAATTTAAAATAAACATTATACAGTGTCACACAAAATAAAATAAACAGTTGAGTCTTGCAGTGATAATTAAAAAGAACAACTAATTCTTAAATCATAATTAATATAAGAAAATTTATATTCAGTTGCTTTCACTTCCCTCATTTCTGTTTAGTAACAACCATTGTTGACAATACTTTTCAAAACCGTTAAATTACAAGATTTCAATGATACTCATTCACTCTCCTGCCAATTGAAAGAATACACTTCTTACCAAACTTAATAAAATATTTCAGTTTTGATAAAATTTCTCTCCTAGTAAGACAACAATTCAAATCTTGAAGGATTTTTTCCATTCTCTCCACAATAAAAAACAACCTGCTAAACTCCAAAGCAAGTTTCTTACTACAGCCCACAGCACCATTTGAAAATGACAACCTAATTGCCAGCCCCTCTAATGCTAAATGTGCTTGGAATTTAAAATTGAACACTTTCTTTAACAGATGGACAGCATTATTCTCACAAAGCTTCTTGAGCTGCTGCTCTGTACAGCTTGTCTTTTTTAGTTCTGGTCTTAGGGGAAAGCATTTAGAATAAATGTTAAGATCATGTTCTATCTTGTCAAGTTTTCTGTGGATCTGACATATCAAACTTGAAGCTCTAGCAACCCGACTTGTAACTGCAATATGCTGATAAGACACACTGTTTACACATTTTGTGGCCAGCTGAATTTTTGTCAGTTGAACAAGTCTACACTGTGAGTGATTAATAGTAGACACTGACCAGTCTTGTAAACAAGACCAACAGAATTCCTTGCGACAGAAGATGCATGTCATATGATTACAACCAAGACCCTTTTCTACAGGGTAATAACAGGAGGGACAGCGCTTCACTTGTACACTGGTAATCAGCTCTTTTTCCTTCCTTGTCGCAAATCGAGCATAAGATGCATTCTTCTGCCTGAACTCCCGAGCTTCCTCACAGGTAGCTGGCCAATGAGCATCTTCCTGGCACTTGAAACACCACATGGTACCACAGACACATGCCACTGGCATAGGCTGGACACTACCACTGTATTCTGCATAACAAGTCTTGGAGGAGTCTTGAATTGTTGTTGCATTGACAACCAACTTGCACCGGTCTGCAGGGCACCATTTCCATTTGGGGCTCATCTCCAGCATGGTGTCCACCCTCTTTGCCAGAAGCCGTTCAAACAGAGATGGCACAAGGGACATCAAGGTAACGTCATCAACTGCTATGCTACACTCATGCCCAGGGCACCTCAGTTTCATTTGGCCCAGATCAAATTGGGTCTTCAAATGGACTTTCCAACAACTGTTACAGAACTTATGGCCACAGCCATTCAAGGACAGAAATGGAATGATGCCATCATGCTCTGAAACACAACATTTTCTTGATTCTCAAGACCTGATCATATTATCTAACTGGTTAAGTTGAAGCAATGAATGCAAACACTAAAGCTGAGCTCTAAAACATGATAGGAAACCACTGAGTAGCTAGACAATGTTTTCTAAGGACTAAGGGTTGTATTGAACCTTTAACTCCCATGAGTGACCAAGACAGAATTTCTCTTTAAAATATCAAAACAATATCAACCAGATGAGTGATGAGAATAAAGAAAAATATCAATTTGGGGATAATCAGTTGATCGAATGATAAATTCTTTGAACTAATATTATAAGAATTGTATGGTTGACAGTAAGGAGAATTACTAATTTGATCTGGGAGTTAAAGGGTTAAAAAGGTTTCATGCAAGAATATCAACCCTGTTGGGAAAAATGCTATCTTGGTACCATTTTTTATAAAGCATTAAAACTATTCCAACCTCATAAATGACATTTTCCTAATTTTTGGTCATCCTGTTTAAAAATTCCCCTTTCATTCCCTTCCTTTAAGAAATTCAGCCAATTAGGGAAATTGTGCATAGGGAAAGTATATAAGCAAAGTAAAGTGAACAAAAAAAAACATTGATGATACAAATCAAGTAATAATCAATATAGCTCATATCAGATTCTGAAATATGTGATAAATTATTCTTTCAAAAACAATTCTTTTAAAATCACTACTGAAAAAGTTTTCAGATAAACACAGATCAAGAAGGCAGGAGGGTAATCAAAATAATGCTTAAATGATACATGCTGGACCTTCCAAAAATAGTCTAATTTATCAGTCACATATACCTGAAAGCTTATCTTTGTCTTGAACCTCTTGGAAACAGATTCCACAAGATTCCATCATCACAGGATTGCTATCCAAAGGAACAGCGGCAGTGGATGTCCCTGGGTGGCATGTGACCTCTGAGAGACATTTCTTTATTTGACGTTTGGCTGTATGAGATGAGAATGTCTTTGATGTCCATCCACACAGATCTTGGAAAACATCCAGTGACAGCCTCGGTTTCCGTGGCTCTTTGCAATGCACCTTCACACTTATGTTCTTTGCCAGCTCTGAATGAAAACTAATGGCCATGTCTATGATTTCTTGCATGGTCCAAATTTTCTGATCAGTTTGCATCATACTGATCTGGGAAATAAAATCCTTGACAGTTTTTTCATAAGCATCATTGTCTTTGTAAACAGCCATACTCATTACAGCTTTTACTTCACCTGAGTGGCACCTTGCATGGTCCTTAAGTATTCTGAAAGCGATAAAGACTTCATCACCAGTGGTCAGGGGTATAAGCGATGTTAAACTGAGGGCAAAAGTTCTGGGGAAACTAGAACCCTCCTTGTACATGTGAGGCCACTGTTGTGCAAGGGTCTCTGGCATAATTTCTTGCTTTCTCATTGTAAGGACAATGCCTTCATCAGTGTCTGAACTAGAACATTCCACTAGATCAGAACAGGTTTTAAGTAGTGGTACAGACTCATTGGCTGCTTTGCTACTTGAAACTGAAGAGACAGCTGGGTTTCTTGCACGACGACGCCTTTGCTTACCCACTTCAGGATTTTGATTGTTCTTGTTTGACTGTTTATGTTCTTCTCTGGAATCTAAAAGGGAAGATCCTGCCTTGATTTCCTCCAAGTACTCCAAATGCATTTGGTGCATTTCCATATCATCACTAACAAGGAAATGCCTCTTTGTCTGTACTGAATCAATTTGTCTCTCCCTCCAATTTTTGTTCAGAGAAGACCTTTCTTTGCCATAAAGTGTTTGTGGAACTGATGTAGAGTTTTTCATGAGCGTGTTCAGGTCAAGGCTTGAAGATCTGTCCAATTTCCCTCTAAAATCCTCCTCAAATTCACTGTCAAAGTCAGTTTCAACCAGATCGTCATCATAATCTTCATCATAATCTTCAAGTAAGCAATAAGTGGCGGAAGAAAAGTTCTTCCTTTTTCCATGATGACCAGAGGGTTTCTTGGGCTGTTTCGACCATGATGCTGAGGGATTCGGGTAGGTTACCTCAAACCGAGATTTGATCTCCTCGTCGTCTCGAAGTAAATCTTTTGAGTGTGCTAACTTACGTCTGGGTTTGCGCGACGTGCCATTTTTGGAATTAAACACAGAAATGCAGTCTGCTCGAGTATGTTTCCTGCCGCTTGCGCTCGCAAAGCGCTCGACCAACACAAGTTCTTCATCGAATCCAGCGCTAACACAGCTGGTCTTGATTACTTCCGGAAGAAGCCAACGATTGTGTTTTCCCAGTGAGTAGGTAATCGCTTCTTCTACACGTTGATTTTCTTCCTGGAGCGAACTGACGCCTGAAGAGTGTATCAGAAGTCCTTCGACTCTTCCACCTTTGATCTGAGAAAACTTAGATCGAAAAGTTCGTCCTGTACGGCCTGATTTTCCACGTTTCCCCTCCATAGTTGAATGTCCTTCTTCTCAACCGTTGTCTATGAACTGATTATCTTTTAGAGTAAAGGGAAACAACTCAAACCTGATAAATAAGTCAAACATTTCTCTTTTATAGACGATCAATGTAGCCATTGCAGTATACGTCTCTGCGATGGTGTAATTCGGTGTTGTCCCTATAAACTCATCTATGATTGGCTAACAAATTTATCGTCCAATAATCTTATGCGTACTAATATGACTCCTTGCTCAGAATCCTATTTTTAGTAACATTCTTCTAAGAACACCGTTACGTGACATTTGATAGTGACATACTTGATTCAGTTGAGTTTGAAACTTATTGAAACAAATAAAAACATGAAAAATATACAAATACGTAGACATGAATCAACACACAAAAATACGTACGTAAGTCAATTAAGGACAAATGACTAATCAAAATAGAAACGAAAGAAAAAAATAAATGAATTTAGGTAGAAATATAATTGCAATTTATTTTGAATTTTCAAAGCATAATCGAATAGAATTCAATTTGGACCCTGCAACACTCGGGTTTTTTCGTTTTAGTTAACAAAAGTATAATTTCAGAGAGTGGTTCAACTCTAGCAAACTGAAGCGAAACGAAATCAAAACTTGTGTAATTCGTAATCCCCGCCAGCTTTCCTGAGCTATGTAAGGAAATTAAATCAATCGCTCACAGGGAAAACCTGGAATGTGCTAAAATATTTTTAAGAGTATTCTAGATACTAGTGAGCCAAATTTTGTTTTGATGCTGTACAAAACGTTTAGAGCTAAAAATAAATCACGAGTTGATAATACGAATCTTCTGATTGGATAATAAGTCAGCAGCCAATCGGAAACTTGCTTTCATCGAATCTTCACTTATTGTTTTCTTCTTACAGGGAAGTTGCACCATAGTTGCACTCACTAGTGTGAATTTTGCTTAGTAATGGATTTTTGGAAGTATAAAAAGGGTTCGATTTACTCTAATAACCATTCAATATTCAGAGAAAACGGTTAGATGTTAGAAGAAAAAGGAAAAATGGTTTGGAAATTTGGAAAATTCGGTGTCAACAATGGACGAACCGTACGTTCGCGAAGTTCTCGGTCCAAAAGATCTGAGGGTCTTCTTATTCACACCACAGCTTTCCCTGAAGGAAGCCAAGATAAAACAGAGGTCACCACTTATTCGCTAGGCAAGCAAAATCGCTGGCTTCTTCCAGAAGTAATCAAGACAACTAACTCTGCGGAGTTCGAGAAGGACGAGGTTGTTTTAGTGGAAGGATTCACCAATGATGGAAAAGATCGTCCGGATTGTTTGTCAGTTTATAGCTCAAAGGATAACAAAACTCGAAAATCCAAGGGCAGATTGGCTCGAGCTAAAGATCTACTGGTTGACGTTGAATATGCGAGCACACGCTTTGAGGTGAGTTACCCCACTCCCTTGAGACCATGGCAGATAGAGAAACATAAAAAGAGATCAGGGGTACGTTTCGAAACACGCAAGAAGAATTCTCGTTTCGATTGGAGTCAAGAGGAAGACTTCGAGGAGGTACATGAGGAAGATCTATCTCTCCACTGTATCGAGGAGGATCTCAGTGAACACTGTCACTCAAACAGCTTTACTAAATCTATCACAATGGATTTTGATTCACTTTTGAGAACATCCCCTAAAAGGAAATCGAATCTCATCGAAAAGATTAAGACCTCACAGCAAATAAAAAATACCATTAAAAGCACAAGACTTTTCTCACCTAAAAAGCAGTGCATTTTATGTGGATGATACGTATAATGCACATCAAGAACTTCTGACTCAAATCAGAGAGATGTCTGCATATAATAATGATTTTCGTGTTCCTAACTCCTATGATGCCATTATGAATGACTGGGGTTATGATGTTAATATGGTTGACTGGGGTCATGAAGCTAATATTGATGACTGGGGTCATGATGCCAATGTAGATGACTGGGGTCATGATGCTAATGTGGATGACTGGGGTCATGATGCTAATGTGGATGATTGGGGTCATGATGCTCATATGGATGACAGGGGTCCTGTTACTAATATTGATGATAGGGGTGCTGTGGCTAATATGGACGACAGGGGTGCTGTTGCTAATATGGATGACAGAGATCCTGTTCCTAATATGGATGAGTGGGGTCATGATGCTAATGTGGATGACTGGGGTCATGATGCTAACATGGATGATCAGGGCTGGAATTATGATTGGCGGGCACCAGTAAGAGGTGGCATGCACAGAGGAAGAGGGCGAGGAAGAGGGCGTGGAGGAGGACGAGGAAGAGGTAATTGGAGACATGGAAGACGAGGAGGTTTCCGACGATTCAATCAGGTTGATCCTAACTTGTCTTTAGAATTAAACAATCCATCTTCAATTGGGAACAGTCATGGTAGTCAACACCAAGTACCTAGCACAGATATGACACCAAGATCTGACCTGCCTGGAAAATGTTTGGAACCTTCATCAACAGATGTAATCCACCAGTACATTGCTCTTGTTCTTTCCTCAGAACAAACTAATCCTGCTCATCTAGAGGAAATGTGGGGTGAGAAGTACCTTGAAGCAGAGAGTGTTCCAAGGGCATTTGCACTTAAGGTTACACCACTAACATCTCAGGACATCAATGGAGAAGTTTTTGTTCTTTTCCGACAGGGTCACTGGCTGACTAACTGGTTTGCATCTGTCACTTGCAGTGAAGAACACATACATAAATCAGTGCTAACAGAGTTCATTTCTGAAATCAGGCTGAAGAGTGTCAGAAAGGATGTCTGTGGCCTTACTCTAGAGGATATTGTGAACACTGCTAGAAACTGCTTCTGCCTAAACACCAACAGTAAAGCAGACACAGCAGAACCCAGGCTACCCAAACTGTCTTTTGATGTCTTTGCAGACCTGCTTGGTTGGAAGTCTAAGGCCTTTACATTGGCGAAAGCACGTCAAGAGATAAAGATGTCCCTGGGGAAAGAAAAGTTCTTGTCAGAAAACCCTGAACCTCTGTTTAGTACTGAAATGGAGTGTGGGATATGTTTTATGGAACTCAGCTGTAATGGTAAGTAACTCAAAGAGTAATTGATAACAACTGAAATGAGTTTCTGATGCTCAGACAAGGTCTGAATTGTAATTTATGCTTGGTATTTTTTTGTTCTTTGCTTTTAGGGAAAAAAGAACAAATTAAATCTTTTCTTTGGCTTTTAAATTGTATTGTTGGCTTGCATTTTTCCATCAAATGAATCAGAAATGTATATCCTTCCTTAATTAAGTTATTTCTTTAATTGCTTGATTACTTAAGTTAAGTTCAAACATTTTCAAACTTTTTTTAAAGACTTTCCACAAAGGTTTCAATTAAGCATGGTAAATCCAATACTTAATAGTTGTCACAATATCTAAAAAAAAGTATTGCCTTAGCTGCAATTTTACTCAATTATGAAAATTGGAAATACTTACCTAGGTGTAAAGCACCAGCACCACAGTATTTGCCTGTGAAAATGCAATGTAAAATATAGGCATTTACTTGTACTGGTAAGTTACCATTATGACTAGTGATTACAAGATTGAAGGTTCTTAAACTTTCTCCATTAGATACTGATGTCTCCTCTACAACTTTGAGCACCTGTGGTCACACATTCTGTAACAGTTGCTGGAGGACTCACTTAAAGACCCAGATTGATCTTGGCCAAATAAACCTGAGGTGCCCTGGGTATGAGTGTAGCACAACAGTTGATGATGTCACCTTAATGTTACTTGCACCATCACTTTATGGACGGCATATGGCAAAAAGGGTGGACACCATACTGGAAATATGCCCCAAGTGGAAATGGTGCCCAGCAGACCAGTGCAAGTTGGTTGTCAAGGCAACAATAGCAAAGGACTCCTCCAAGGTCTGTAGCTCTGAGCACAGTGGTAGTGTCCAGCCTTTGCCAGTGGCATGCCTCTGTGGTAACACATGGTGTTTCAAGTGCCAGGAAGATGCTCATTGGCCAGCTACTTGTGAGGAAGCCCAGGTGTTCAGAAAGAAACATGAACAGTATGCTAAGATGGTTGAAAACAGCAAAAAAGAGACCCTGATTACTAGTGTAGGGGTTAAAAACTGCCCGTTTTGCAATTACCCAATACAGAAAGGTCTTGGATGTAATCACATGGTCTGTGGTCTCTGTGGTAAAGAATTCTGTTGGTATTGCCTGCAGATCTGGTCTTCCCATGGTGATGTTTGCAAGGGGGCTGTTGCATTGCGAGAAGTGGTGATACCAGTGAATAAAAAACACCTGAGATCATATGAACACCATGCTGTGATGTGTCACTTGGCCAGGTCACCAGTCCAGATACAACAAACTTACAAAAAACTGGATAACCTTGAAAAACGACAACAGTTTTATGAGTCATGCTCATATAGATTTGACTCCAAAAAACCTTGGCCTAGTTCTACAAAAAGGCGTATGAGGGATCTATGTGATAGTGATATGTCACAAGATTTGCCACAAGTGTTTGGTTTTAAATTCCAGGCCCTTCTTGCCCTTGAAGGTTTGGCAATGGTGTTGAGCTTCAAGAGAGACTCTCCAAACAAGAGGGTAGCACTGGAATTTGAAAGACTGTTATTCATTGTGGAGAGATTGAATGACTTACTCCAAGACTTTGAGAAAGGTCTCAAACTTGAGACTTTGGAAAGAATGAAAAATTTAGTAGCATGTGGCAAGAAATGTCTATGTGTTTTATATAGAAATACAAAAAGTGCATAATTTCTTCTTGATGTAAAATTAGGCTTTCTGAAAATCTTGCTTTCTTATTTCCTTTTTTGGCATTCATTTAGTGTTTATCCTCTGGTAAAGTTTTCTCTATTTTAGAAAGCTGTGAACTGCCAGAAAAATGTAAAGTTTGTGGACTTATCCATACCTTAAGAGTTTTCCATCATTTTCAATTCTTGGAAATTGCTTCTTACTTGAATTGCATGTAAATAGAAATGTTTATAAAGGTTAGTTTGATCAAATAACTAAATAAATTAAATTATTATAATGAAAATGAAAGAGTTTCTTTTTTTTATGTAGAAGTGAACATGATGTACATAAGTATACTCTTCCCTCTAGTTTCTTGAAGTATGGAAGCCTAATTTTTTTAGGATGAAAGCACATCTGAAACTCATTCAGCACTCAAAGTATTTTCAGAGATGACTTTCCATTATGTAATAACATTGCAGAGTTTATGCCTCACAAAAAAATTCTGTGAAATCTTGGAACATTTTTCTTCCTCTTTATGCAAATAGCACTGATTGTTATTGTGTTACTGGTAACCAACATTTCAAATCTCTCGGAAAGTAAGAAGTCGAGGGCTGGGCCGGGAGAGGAGTATCGTTACAAGGTCAGTATCTGAGCAAATGCGCACGTATCCCTCACCTTATCCCACAACAGTCAACTGATTTGTCGTCGTTCCCCCCCCCTTGCTCTACAATTTCAAAGTGACAGGGTAAATTTCTCGATCGAAAACGCTTTAGCCACTAAGCAGTGGATGAAGGCAAATGAGCAGTCAATTATTTTTAAGAAGCTTTAAAATGGTCGGTAATAAAATATAACATCCGACAAATTTTGTGGCTCCTCGTATGTATAGATAAACGAAATTACGAATTACGCCGTTATTTCAACGCCGCTTTCCCACTCACTCCCATCCCCATGGACTTCTTTTGTGATTTTTTGGGTAAGGTCATCCAAACAAATTAAACATATGCGGCCGATTCGCAGTCAAGCCGCGGGTAATCTTGCCTGAAACGCAGGTGTACCCGGTAACTCAATTATTTTTCTTGAGCTTTGACTAAGCTCAAACAGTTCATTATTTGACCTTTTCTTCAAATCTCATGATGAACGCACTTCGCACTTTGGCCATCACGAGTTTGATGACTTACAATGAAAGTATTGCCGAAGACAAGACTCACCGGAAAGGACCGGAAGTTGACCTAACACTTCTATTGTTCGTGGGCTCATGATCTGTCACAGGTCTTTCGTACCTCAGACAGTGATTCATCGTTCGTTGGAAAGCTAGCTGCAAAGGAATTCTCTTACTGAGATGCGATGTTCTCGCTTTTATGCCTTCTGTATCTGTCGTTGATAAGTGTGTTTGTTGCACTCATCACCTATATTATTTTCTTCCGCAAGGTAAGCAAATTTAAAATTGTTTTAAAAAGAGAATTTTAGACGGTCGAAGAGCAAGATCAGCTGAGCGCTGACAATGATACGGTAATTATACTTGTTCATGTGGCGTTTACCTAAACTGATCTTTTTCCTTGCACTTTTCAGGGATCTATTCATGATAAAACTTCTGCACAGGAAAAAATAAAGTTCATCAAAAAGGTACCTGTTTTTTTGTTTTCTTTTTTTCTGGGGGTGAGAGATTTGTTTACTACTCGATCTGGTTCGATATTTTAACCCAGTACGCGGTTCTACAGTGTATTTTATTCGTCAGCATATCAAGTGTCAAGCGCTCAACCATCTAAAACCCTCAGGTTATGTTTGATAATTCAAAGAGACGTTCACGTGAAAAACAATAGAGCTTATGTCACTGTCAATGAATTTCTACGTGAAGGAAACTTAATTCATGGCTCGTTCAGGATACGTAAATGTGAGCTTTAACAGGCTGATGTTGCAAATTAGTTACAGTCATAAATTATTAAGCCTTAAGGACAATATTACATCAATCGATCAATCGGTTTAGATTATCTAAATTTCACAAAACAAGCATCCAGAACAAAGAACAGTGGTGTAATATTTGAGCATGTAAATAGTAAATAAACTTGAAGTGGTTCCACAGTCATTAATTCGCCCAGACTTCAGCTGTGTTTCTTTGTCACATTAATTCATTAATGATCTGTACTTTTATATGACTTTTACTGACTTCTACAATATTCATAGAATTGGTAAACTTTTAGTGGAGTGGTAATATGATCCTCAGTGTTGTGGGTCTGAAAATAATTAAAGAATTTCAGTCTATTGCTTAGGGTTATTAATAAATTAATCTTTTTTTTTGTTTGGGAATGTTTGTGATAAAAGGCCCTTGTATCTTATTAACAATAGATAGAAAAAAGGAGTTGTTGATTTTGCCATGTTTTGAATTTACTTGCACTGATTGTTCTATGGTAAACAAGGTGTGAAAACACCAAATATGGATATACTAAAAAAATTGCTCCATAAATTTTGCTAAATGTTGATAAATCTTTTTGTTAGTTATATTTTGGAAGCTATGAGTATAAAATTATTTTCAGTTAGTTATGATTATTTCTGATATTGTTTTTAGAAAATATTCCAGTCACAGAGCTTAGATATTGCTTTCAGGTTTGAATGGGTCATATTTTTAGAAATTATGACAATTTTTTGTTGCCACACTAATCTTTATAATGATATGATACTTGGATCTAGTGATTCAGCAAGCTCAGTTTTGTGGATAATTTTTGAAGAACATGTGGTCTTACTCATGAGAAACATGAGAGACTTTAATCATAAATTTATGGCTTCAAAGTAACATTTTTCTGACCATAGGTTGGCATGTTAACAAGTCATCGTTCATCATTCATTTCTCATAGTCTTGTTTTTTTTAAATCATTTTCCTAGCATGTTCCTCCCAAGGCCTCCAAAGGCTGGCAGCTGAAGTCTGTTGACAGTGGTTTGAGAATCTGGCAAAAGGACTTGGGAGGAAGTGCCCCTCCCTGGATGTCAAGAATAATTTATGCATGTTCTGGAATCATTCCTGCATCCAAGCAGGTAGCTATTTAATATATACAATTAGTACCTGTATGTAAAATAATTTTTACAATTGTTTATAGACTGTGTGATTTTATGAGTTACTCTTCAGTCTTATATTAGTATGTGTTAAATGAATTTTACAGAAAGGCAAGGTAGGGTGATATTTCTAGTGTTCCATTTTAAATTTGGTACACCTATGTGAACCTCTCCGTACAGAGAATTGAACATGTAGGAGAGTTTAAGTACCTGGGAAAGGAGTCCTAATTATAAACTGAGACTGGTACATTACTGACAGTAGCCATTATTAAATATCAATATTTTCTTGAGATATTATGTAATGTTATTGTTTGATGAGAGGAAGTTACATGCAGACAATAAATCTTTTATAATTTTTTATTATAAGTTTGTTATTTTGTCAAAGAATTTATCTAACTACATGTGGCTCTCTTGAATGTTACTGTATAGGAGGTGATGAAAGTCTTAAAACAGCCTTTTCTTTTGTTGGAGTGGGATCCTTCAGTAAAGACTGTGTCGCAGGTTACAACCGGCAATAATCAGGATGTTGTGTCAGTTTCTTTTAACTGCAGCAGTTTTTTGGCAAGAGCTGTGCTTCAGTTGAGGGAAATGTTTGGTGGAGAGACAAAAGCAGTTTATTCAAGGCAAGTAAATTCTGAAAGTTTCAGTATCCTTTTATGTACAGGTGAACATAGTCTGTAACTGAAAAAGATTCTTGACTTGTAATCAGCTTGCTATCGTTTCAAACCCTTTTCCACACAAGATCTGATTGTGAATTCTCCCTTCTTGCATCTACGAATCTCCTTATAAATTAGTTGCAATAATTTGGTGTTTGATCAAGATATCAACTTCTACTGGATAAGTCTGAGTATTCTCATTACCTGTTTGCTGGATAATTTATGGATATTTTAGGGAGGAGTAATATTTTGCCACTTATGGGAGTTAAAGGGCTAAATGATCTCATGATCTTTCTGTTTGTCATTTTTAATTTGTGTTTAATATATATCATAGGCACTGGGATACAGACTTGAAAACAAAGTCTGAAGCATGGTTTGTTAGCTCATTTGTTGAACAAGTCATTCCAGCAGAAGGCTCCTTGTTGTCATGCTTCTTAGTGTCATCTATGGACAATGGTAAGATGTCAATAATAAAATTAACCTTTCCACATATAGTTGATGTGTATATTGTAAGAGACATGGTGGTTTTTACATTTAGGCACACTGAACTCTGGGAGGAGGAGTCCTGGGTCCAACCCTAGCATGGGTTACTGAGTTATTTTTCTGGGTGCCAGACACTTTACCCTGATGAGATCTCTTTCCATCCAGGAGTTATATAAATGGGTAATGCCAAATTGTCATGGAATCTTGACAAAATGCCAGACGTCTTACTCTGACTTCGTTGATCATGTAAATTCATGACATAAAGGAACCAATTAGATTTAAAATTAGTTGTGATTGTTGTAATTTGGTTCAAAATTCTTTTGTTTTCAGGAGATGATGAGCCAAATGAAAGTCTAGTCTCCTTAATTGTGGCACCTGTATCAGAACATTTTGCATTAATACCACAATTGACAGTATCTCGGATAGCAGGACTACAGGATTTCTTTACTCATTACAAACCTGATCAGTCTCATGCTAATTCTGTTGGATCAGAACCCAGCAACATAAGTTTGTCTGGGAATGACAATCATGTCACACAACTAGAATCCATTAACCAAACAGGTGAGTCATGTCAGTAGTGTTTACAATAATATCTGTGTGACTTGATTGTGATTTATATACTATTCCAGGATTAAACATGTGTGATACAGGTGGTTTGATTCAATTACTGAATGGTCTCATGTGACAAAGGTGGTTTAATGCAATTATTGAGTGGTCTCATGTCAGACAAAGGGATAAGTTCACCTCATGCCATTTGATCACTTAAAAAGTAGTATCTTGTCAGAACTTCTTTATCAGGCTGATAAACTTATAGAGCCCTACTAACAACACAGTTATAGTATGTAATCACAGTATTTTTAAATGCATTAAGCTTAGGTGACATGTAAAGTACTGATAAACAGTTCTTGTGTTCTCTTAGCATCAGGATTAGGTAATGACACTGATAAAATGATGAAAAATGTTGCCTTTTTCTTTATACAAGTGTTGTCAATGAATATTTTGTTTAACTATTATTGAGAGTGGCAGTCTCATTGATCTGTGCATCCAGACTGATGAGCACAAGATTGATTAATTCAGTCAGTCGCACCTTCTGTCTGGTGTCCTTAGGATTTGTGAGGCGTGAGTGGCCCAGTGGTCAGAGCGCTGGACTCTGGGTCGGACGGCCCGGGTTCGAGTCCTGGATGGGGCACTACATTGTGGCCTTAAGCAAGTCGCTTCACCCACCTTGCTTCGTCTTCTCGGATTAGACGTTAAGCCGGAGGTCCCGTCTCCTGCAGGGTTTGGGGTAGGAAACGTTAATTTCCCACGCACGAGATTACTGTGTGATGGATGTCCTCCCCTGGGTTGGGTTGGGTGGGTTTGTAACTTGTAAGGCGCATCTGAATATATTCATATAGATATTTGCACCGAATAAGTATTTATTAAATTAAATTAATTAAAGAAACACTTTCAGTTCTTAAAAGCTTTGTTATGACATATGGTTAACATGTGCATTTTAAGACACATCTCAGTGTGGATGTATGGTAAATGGTGCAGTTTACATGACATTGTACACTTAATTTTACTCCTGTTGGCCAGGGTAAAGAATATCATAAATTATGTGTCACCATTTAAATTAGGATCTAAACATGCAACCAGAGGTTTGCTTTGATTGTATTGAAATTTTAATTAATTCCCAGTGACTGTTATAAGATAGCTAATTAATGACACCACTGAGGTCATTAAAATTTCATATTAGTTAAGACCAGACTTTCTTCTTCCAGGTGTTGGTGATTTACTGGGTGGAGCAGTTGACCTGACTGATGATAACAAAATGATAAAAAGGGTATGTGACGGTACAAGGTAACATGTCAAATTTTACCTTGATACCAGCCTTAGTAACTTTTGCCATGATACAAGATACAGTGTAAACCCACTTCTCCCTCATGCCTGTCACATGTATCAGTGCTAGTTCACCACGGTTGGTGTCAGTACCAGTGCTGTTAAGTCTGTTCATTTTCTCATGAAATCGTACAGCATGAGATTCATGACACCAAAGGACAATCACTTGTCATGTTATCATTTTTAGCAACTAGTGGACTTGAGCAGGTAGGACATGCCTAATTTATGTCTTGAGATGGAGAGATATAAAGACAGATTTGTAAATGTGACACAAAAAGAAGGAGTCGTTAGGGTTAAGGAACTAAATATAAGTCTTTCCTGCACCCTCGTTTTAATAGAAGTTTTCCTTTCAACATTAAATAGTAATATCACATTTAATTGTGTGATTGTGATTTAATTTTGTTAAGTTAATAAACTGGAGAAGCTTCAATTAGTTTTTTTTTAATTTTGTAAAACTTGCTTATCATGTTATATTTCTTCTGAAAAAATTAACAGGGAAAAGAAAGTGTTGTTAGTGACTCACATCTTCCAGAATTCCTCAGAAGGTGATAATCCTTTTTCATTTTCATTTTGAAGGGAGTGTTTAGTAAATAGTTGAAACAAAAGAGAGATTTCATTTGAGTTATAATCTAGCTAGCACTAATAAGACACCTGCACTGCAAGCTATTACCACACTTTTGTCTATGAATCCTCCCCACCACCTCTCTTCAAAAGTTGACATAAATCTTAGTCATACTCTTTCTTTGGCATATTTGTTGTGGTTTTGTAAACTTTTATTGAAAACCACAGAAAAATTTCCACCACACTATTTTCACACATTGCTTTTAGAATTACACATTAATTTTAATGGAATGATATATCTTTTTCTTATCAGGAATTGTTAAATGTCAATTTTCAAAGATTGAGTCTGCTTTCTCTTTGTAATTCTTTAAATAATCAATTCTTTGAATAATTTGATGAAATTTGTCTTATTTTCCTGTGCCAGTGAGAGTTTGGAGGGAATGCTCCAAAAAGTGATGGACATCTACCAGGTCACTGAAGGAACTGACAACTGGATTTCTCAAGGGAGTACAAAGTATGTTGAAAACTGTTTTGATTGATGTGCACATGCCATAGTATACAACACATTATAATAAAGCTCAGATATAACACATACTGTCATTGGTTGAAAGAGCGTGCTCTATGAGAGTATAGAGCATAGAACTGAGCTAAAGCTGTCACGCCATCTGCCAAATCGTACTATGTCTGACCTTTTCCAGGACTTCTTTCTAGCTTTTCTTTCGTTAATTGAAAGTGAAATTTCGGAACAAGACCTACACTTCTTTCGTGCTCTAGCTGCTTCCTGAGTGCTTTACAGCAGAACAGAGCACAGTTAATTCAAGTGTGGTACCATCTTCTAAGGAGTTAAATTGCATAAAAATGGTTGATTTCAGTTAAAATTAAATGACAGGTGTTTACTTCAAGTGTCCTTTGTACAGATCTGTCTGTTTTGGAGAGGATAGGATATTTCATTTTGTTGATAAAAGCATTCATCAGCAGTGGTGATAAATCATGCAAGGGCTTTTGTTTCTCGCGGGCATGAAGAGAATAATGAAATTTACTGATACTAGCTAGGGAAAGGCCATAAAGAATATTTTCTATGTGTAGACTAAAATGAGTGTTATAATATACATTAACCCTTTGCAACACTCCTTAAGGAAAGGATATTGTGAATATCCGCTCTATTCTCTGCAGAGTGACAAGTAGGAAGCTATTTTATGGACTCCGAGATGACATACTTTACTTGTGAAACTACTCCTGCTGCTTAATATTTAATCAAGGATTTACTCATCTTATGTTTCTTAAGGGGTCTGGATATTCTAAAACGACCACCTATGGCAGGAGAGCGACCTTGGGACTGCTATAAAGCAACTTCAGTGATAAATGTGCCACTTGACTACATTTTGGCCTACATTTACGAACTGGATTTTAGAGGGGAGTGGGACGACATGTTCCTCAAAGGTATTCAATATCAGTTTCTTGTAAGCTGCCATGACTGATGTTGTACAACATTACAAACATGAGATTTCTTAACCTCATTTAACCCTTTAACTCCCAAGAGTGATCAACACATAACATCTTCCCATAATATCCATACATTATCCAGCAAAAAGGTCATGAGATTACTCAGACTTATCAGATAGAAGTTGTCATCTTGATCTAACACCACATTCTTCTAACTAATTTACAAGGAAATGTGTAGCAGCTGGAGGGGAGAATTAACATTCAGATATTGGGAGTTGAAAGGGTTGAACACCAGACCCAAAATTCAATGAAACAATGTTAATTGTCGTCCAATACCTGCTTGATAAAGCTTAATGGTACATCAGCTCAAGAAGTGGCTCTGCTTGGCTTATGTAAACGGTTGAGAATGAACTTATGTTGCCTAATTTGAAGCAAAAAAGAAAGAGGATTCTACATCAGACCAAAAATGGCAGAAATCTATTTTTTTATTGGTGGTTGTAGCACTCAGCTGAGTTCTGTGATGCTTCATATCCTCAGGCTCTTTGCCTGTGGTGAAGGTGCAGTTTTTCTAAGAAAGCACAGAGTGTTTCTTTGAAAAATGTTCAGCTGCCATCTTTTAATTTTAATGTAGAGGGAGATGGGGGGAAACAAAGACTTAAACACAACAAGCTTGTAATGCTTACTAGCCCTCTCCAACAAAAATTCCTGCACTACAGACTGAAATGCTCCAGTTTGGATTAAAGTCAAAAGGTGCTACCTGATTTTTTCCTTTTTGTTTACCTCTTGTTGCCTAAGTCTTGTAACCAAAATCATTACTTTAAGTGTTCCACATTAACCTATCACTCGCCAAAAACCAGATTTTCACTGTCCTTGCATTGTTCAATAAGTACATTCATCTCATAAATGAGACCCTAACTTTACTCTGGTGTTGACTTCTGCACTAAATTTGAAATGTCTTAAAAAAGGAAAAACAAACAACAACCAAATCGAGTCGGAATCAATTGTAAACAAGCTGTGATAGAATCACCTAGGGTCTAAAGTTTCTCAGGTAGAAAAAATCGTGCATTCCCTTGCAATCAGCATCAGTTGGGCTAATTAGTCTAGGGTACTGCATTCGGATGCCTTCATTAGCTTTCCTTTGGTTTGAATAAATGATAGTGCAGATCTAAAGCGAAAGATAAGCTCCTGTTAGGATCCTCTTCCAGCCTATTTACTTCCAGCTCTCTGATGATAAAATCTTCTCCATAAATTTCATTCCTAAGCTCTTCAGAAATGCAGGCTGGTGGCCTTGTTCCTCGGTCAACTTTATAGTAATGGCTTTCTAACATATAGTTTCCATCGCTTGCGAGAAGTGAACGCATCTTTTTCGTGTATCGTTTGCCATTATCGTTGAATGCAGGAGCAACAGCAGACAAAGATCCGCGGTCCCAAATAGCGTCAAATCTGCCACCGACATCATCTTCCGTAACACTGAACAGATTACAGCAAAAGATTGTGATATCCTTTTCGTTGCACTTGTACTTGTCCACAGGTTCGCTTTCCGCGGCCATTTTAACGATTTCCACGGTGAAACTCAGATTATTTTCTAAGAAAAAATTTTCTATTGCTTTTTTAGCAACCTCTACCCCTATTACAGCGTGTCCTTGGTCGGCTAACCATAACATATCAACTGACTTGCCGCAGAGAGGCACGAATACACGCACTTTCGCTCTTCCACCAGTGAGCTCGTCAACATACTTAATTAGATATGCGTTTACTTCTTGCCGATGCCAGCCAGTATTCCCTTCCTTCCAACGATCGGTCCAATATTCAGCTTTAGTTGAATCCTTTTCTTCAGACATTCTTCTACAGTTCTGCTGCTCCGGTGCTATTCGATTTCACGAGGAAATGTTCTGTCGTTACGTAATGGCGACGGCTTGGTAACCACGCATTTTAGAGTACCCCAGCAAGAATTCGGTCCCAGGCATTTTCGGTGTCTGCTGTCAATTTTGCCTCACCTCATATGCCACTGACTGGCATTTTACCTTCAGTCATCTTGAGACTTAACCCCATCTCATATTGGAGAACGATTGTTGGTTTAATTTGTGTTAGTACAACTGCTCTGGTGATTATAAAGGTGTGCGCGCTCTGATTGTTCGAGGATTCCCTCGTAGACGATACCATAACCGTTAAATTAAGAATCGGTTAATTGTAAGCGTGATTATATATCGAGTTATGGATGGATGAGTGACAGGAAATTTGGAGAGCATGCGACAAGCGCAAGAGTTGCTCGAGAAGTCGCACAATAAATTCTAGTGGTAACTGGCTGCCATTCTTGATAGAAGTAATCAAAATAATTTTAATGAAAGACACGAAAAGTTTTTTTTTATTTACAGAACAGTTTCGACAGCAGAATGAATTTACAACAGAATTCGAAAGTACCGGAGCAATTATATTACGGCAATTGTTCACCTTCGAATTCGGCGAATAATCGTGAAATAATCTGATGTATTACTTTTACAGGCGAAACTGTGGAAGAAATTGATCCAATTACAAAGGTAAGTTTCGGTTAAGATGATCTTTGCAAGTATCATTCATTTCGGATCAGGGATTATAAAATTTTTTTTTACGAAAATTTGACAGTTTCTTGTTGTGTCACTTGCTCTGAGCGTCACGCAATGGTTGTGTCACTTGTTTGAGCGTCACGCAATGGTGCTGAAAAAAGACAAACTTTTGGAAAGAAGCACAGGACAACAACTTGCAAATCATGCTTTTTATTCGTTAAGTGAAGTGAATTAGATATGAATGTTTTTGTTTTAACATCGTATTGCCTTAACGCGAAATTTTGCCTCGATCCTCACAACTTTTCGTCATTCTTTCAGGTCAACCGACTGGAGTACAAACCACAATGGCCAGCTAGCGGTCGGGACTTCTGTGTCATAGCTATTCTCCGAGAGATTGATGAAGGCGTAATTGCCGTGGCTTCTGAGGCGGTGTGTGCTTTAAGCGTTATTTTTTTACGTTTTATCAGCTAAATGAAACTCTTTTTATGGGAGTCCGGCAGCTTAGTGTTAAGCATGCTGAAAGGCGGAACGATTGATTCGTGTACATTGTTTTATATACTTGGACAAGACACCTTACTGTTATAGTGACCCTCTGACTCCCACGTGGTTATGAATAGGTATCCGTGCACTGAGCGAGATATCCGGTAAATCCCTATAAGGTAGTCTATAATGGGTGGGTGGTCGTGGGAGACGCCGCCGGTGGCTGGACTTCAGGTCGAAAGGGTCTGGGAACGAAATCTGGCCGGGTCTCTGTGTTGTGTTCCTGGGCAGAAAATTTCACTTCAACTTGCCACTCTCATACCAAGAAGTAGAATGGTACCAGCGAACGGCAGGAAAACCCGATGAAAAGATAAGGGTGGGGTAGGGGAAGTAGGGGGGGGGGTAACCCTGGGACGAACTAGCGTCTCTTGTGCTTTTCTCCTCCTTTGGAGTTGTTAACTTGAAATAATTTTTTTTAATGTTAAAAAGGCGGAGACATTTCAGATAGCTTACAGGGGAAAGGAAATAGAGCTACAGAGCTTGTGGATACTAAAACTTGCACGCGGGCCCTGTAACCAGTACCTGTGTATAGATGGTCGCGAATAGAAATGTAAAAGCTAGTGCACAGCTTTTTAGGCCATAAATGACATAATTTTTCTGTAATGTTCGCAGGTCGAGCATGAGAGGTGTCCCGAAAAGAAAGGAATTGTTAGGTAAATAATAACTTATAACTTTTAATACAAGGCTCGATGTCTTGTCCGTCTCTGTCACCGACAGGGCTTTTCAGGACAATAGTCCATTTTACAATTGTGTGCTTGGTTGCCAAGCCTTTGAATAGGAGTGAGGCTAAGGGTGACCTTGTTATGATACAAACCTTGCTGCTTTTCAAATGTAAATTACTTTGTTATCATGCTGACTAGATACTGGTCTCTATCTCAACAAGGTCACCTTCAGCCTCACTCCAAATCAAGGCTTGGCGACTAAGTGCACAACTGTAAAATGGCCCATTCTCACTCGGTCGATCAGACAGTTAAAGCACCAAGCATTACAAAGGTGTACAGTGGGGCCCTCCTTTTTGAGTGAATGCAATTCATAGCAAGTTACTGCGTTTGTGTCTGTTGTTTTATCCTTGTCGTGATGAAGGATAGTAAACAGTGAAGATTTTTCCGAGAGACAGAGAAGTGTCCTTAATCTCTTTCACTTCTCGAGTACAATAGTCGTCTCACTCCTCCTTTGCTTGGCCCTCTTGCTCTATATTACGGAAGAAAAGATTGCTAGAAGTCGAATGTTGATCGTGCTAACTCGTGCGATTGTTGGCCAAAACTCCCTCCAAAGTCGTCTTGCTAGTAGAGACATGCCTGGCTCTGAGAGGAAGGCGCCCGGTCTTCTAAAGGGAATGATGATGTCTTCAAATTGAGCTGTTTCAGCCTTTGTAGGCACACCAAGGGTGCAGACCTGATGGCTGCCTTTTTTCTTTATTTTACCGATAGCAGGGAAACCGCGATCAGTTTTCCCTCGAGATGACACAGGTGTCTTCTTCAGATGAAGTTATCCGCGTCTCCACGTTTAAGGCGACTCTCGCTCGCGATATTATGCTAACTTGCATGGCCGATCGCGTGAGATACAAGCAATCGCGCGTCTAATATATTAATGGTGGTGTTTGTTGTTTCAGAGCGGAGATAATCACGGGCGGTTTTGTGGTTAAAGAACTGAGTAGTGATCCTCCAAGTTACGTTGTAACGTACATGACTCGCGTTGATTTAAAAGGTAAGTAAAAGAGCTTTTTGTCTATGCAATCTTCCCAGCTATTTCCACGCGTGGACAAATGTGGGAACAGGTTTCCTTTGCACGGGAGTTCTATAACACACTCGGGGCTTTTAAAATGTCCTAACGGTTTTGAGAAAGGGTTTTGAGATCCGTGGAATTATGATTAGAACTCAATGTAACTTGTCACTATGGCTGGGAGTTTTTCAAAAAGTCGTGGAAGCTATGGTGCTACTACAGGCGGAACTGATTAAAAATCAAACATTTTGAGACCACGGGTTAAAACAAAAACTCTTTTATGATACATAGATTTAAAATTGAGGGTTCCTCTCCTTAATTTGCGAAGGTTAAGCGCTTATCGGGGGTTCTTTACGTACGTTTCAGGAAATCTACCCGCTCGTCTTGTGAACAGAGTGCTATCATCTCAGCCTCAGGCTCTCGCTATTTTACGAGATAAACTCGAGGCTTGTTATCAAGCTGAAGTGGAGGTTGACGGCTTGGACACATCACAACTTCGAAGAGAAGGCGCTGAATTATGTACGGCGTTAATGAAAGCCAAATCGTCTCAACAACCGCAGCCGGATGTTGAAAGGGAGGAGAAAGTGTCTTTACAAGGCTGGAGCTTACTTGAGACGCAAGATACCGACAGTGTGCATTCTTCTGAAATGACGGATAGGTTCGACCCAAATAATATATCGGTAAGAAGGACACAGGTTTACCCTGTAGTTTGGTTCGATAGTAGTCGAAAGAGCCTGTTCACAGTGTTCTTGGGCAAAATACGTTGATCACACGGTGCCTATCTCCACCCACAAGAATGAATGGGTATCGAAAACCTACAAGGTAACTCCTCGATAGACTGGCAACCTGTCCAGAGGGGGGGGAGTAGCCAGTGGCGGATCCAGAGCTTGAGTTAAGTTGGGGTCCAGTTTTTTTGTCGCTTACCCTGCCGACCTTTCTTCCTTTTACGATTCTTTCTTTCTTTTTTTTGTTCTCGGATTTGTTGTGGTCGTATTGGTATTGTTTCGACGGTGAGACGAGGTGAAGGAACGTGCTAGAAGAAACTAAGGAGTTCTGCATAGCTTTAAACTAATTATGGCTGGCTCTAAATGCTTTTCTTTTCTGTATCATTACCACTATTGTTAACGACCACCAATCGGTTTGGATTAATCTTAAGTCTAGTTTTCTACATGATCACTTTGATCGAAATTACGGCCAAAATTTTCGAGACGATTAAGGCGACCTGGGCAATCCTACGGAACAAGGCCCAGGTACGAGCTCGGCTCAACCCTGCGTACTTCGATCTTCGCGATTGTCTCGGCCGCTATTGATCTTAAGGCCTAGTTTCCATAAAATCATCTCGATCGCTCGAGCCTGAGGCGATCGTACGTAGTACACTGTAAACAAGCTTGCTAACGTTGACAACTCTTAATGTAACTTTTCATTTTTACACATCAGCAAGACTCAGGGGAAATGTTTCCAATTACAGACGAACAAACGAAGTTGTCACACGGTAAGAGACAGATACAGGTCATTTTTTCAGTATGTTGAATTCATAACGCTTAGGAGTGACCCTTCCAAAGAGTCCAGAAGAATTCGGTAAAAGTGGAGCGGACAGATCTCAAATTTTTTGCCGATACAATCTTTTTAAATTTTAATCAGCTTTCTTTGAGCATGCTTTGAGTTTCCTGTTTTTTTTTGCTTGCAATTTAAACCGATATTGCATTGATTTATATGCTTTCATGATATGCCTCCATGACTACTTTGTAGATGATTGTAAAAAATGCTAAGAATAGAAAAGTATTCATTCTCACCACATTGTTTTGCTTTGACAGTGGACAGACATCAATTGGATTATCGAACGCTTAGCAATCAAGCGGCTGCCAACCTTCTAGGGGAGGTAATAACTATGTTATTCAAAAGATATGATTGCACTCCAACTCCATACCCAAGCATCTTTTGCGTCAACCATACTTTTTATACTTTCCATCGTAACCACATTAAGATCTTCCCCTTGAGGTGATGGAAGTCCTGGGCCTCGCCCTAGTATTAGTTATACGAGATGACAAACCCATAGGGTTACGCTCATTGAATACTTCAAACTGAAAAGAGTCCTTACTGAGTTTGTTTTGAGCTGAGGAAACCTCATATATACTTGGCAGATGCGCAAGATTTTGAGGACGTTTCTCAAAAAAGTAGGTTCGAGTCATACAGTTTTTTCAGTTAGAACGCGTTTTTGCCAATTTCTCCTCTTTCGTTGTCAAAAATATTAAGGATGAGAAAGTTTTTAGTGTCTTTTACTGTAAGTGGATAATAGTTTAGAGACCGGAGCTCGAGTTAGAGCATTTAGTATTAATTGAGTTGATAACGTAAATTGGCCACCGTGACGAGTTTAGAAGCTGACGTTTCGAGTGTTAACCATTCGTCAGCTCGAAACGTCAGCTTTTAAACTCTTTACAGTGGCCAATTTACGTTATAAACTCAGTTGATAGTACTAAGTTACTCTGTTACACGCTCGCACCGACGCAGTTTCTTTAGAAAATTACCCCCTTTATTCATTATAAAACTGTTGTCAAAGGTTTAGCATATTAACAAATCTTTTGCTTAATCTGATAATCCCTAGAATGAATGAACTTAGTTAATTTTTTTATATGCCTAGGTACAACTGGCTTCTCAAGTAGAGATATCGGTGTCAGAAGAGATGGGTGGGCAGGCCAGTCAGGGGAGAGAAGGGGAGTGGAGGTACGTCGTGAACGTCACTCGTTAGCTTGTCCGATTTGGTTTTTTTTGTTCACAACACAGTACTCACACTGCGCGGCAGAGCGAGCGCCGGAGTCGGTGCACTATTTAGAGCTGTTTTTAATTTAGCCGCTTAAAGGAACACAATTTTTTCGCGCGACGCAGTCAATTATGTTTCCAGTATCATTGGAATCTTTTGAAGATCTGATTATCAGAAAATAGCAGCGAGCCAACACAGCGACATGAAAACTGGAAACCAAGTTAAAATTGGGGACAGCTGTTTCGAGCTGGTTGAGTCTTGCCAACTTTACTCAATTCACACAACCTGAGATGAAATTAAAACCCAATCTGCGTTTGTCACACAATGTTTCACTATTCATCTTTGCGGTGGTTTGATGTAGAAATCAGATCATGAACATGTTGCTAATCTTTGATCATCTCTCTGTTTTTCCGAATATTTACGAGCTTTATTATTTTTCCACGAGTTACCCTTTCTATCGCAACTTGCTCTCTCTCTTTGTTTTCTTTTAGTTATCGTAGCATCGAAAAAGACGTCGTGATATTACAGAAGACAGGAGATAAGATTCACAGGTTAGGACATTTTGTTCTGGAAGGGTCTTCTTTTTAGTGAAACAACTGCTTTAGCGAATTCGGAAACGCCTTCCTCTTGAGTGACAGTCTGTCGTCGAGACAAAAAACCGAGATGCAAGAACTAATGGTGAAGAAATCCGCTATGGAGGTTAATTTGATCGTCTAGTCGATAATCAGCGACTTATTTTACATTTCCACCCACCCAGTCAAGTATTGACTGAGCGAGAGAGCGAGCTAACAGTTGTTAAGAAACGTTTGAAGGTCTCTTTGTGTAATGTTCCCCAGGTCTTAGATATTATTTGACGTCTGGGTTATGCGGTTTATGACTTTCTATGTATTTGCAGTTTTCTTGGCAAGGGAATGATCAAAGCGAAACCGCCAACAGTTTATGAAGCGGTGCGGAATCACATGACGCGTCACGTGTACGATAGAATGCTGAAGGTAACTATTTGTGGCCTTTCCCAACATCTAGACAGTTCGCAAAGCAGCAAATTTCTAGAACAAAAATTTATCTTTCAAATCGGCACTTTTAATACCTACGAGTTTCATTCAACTAATTTATTCTTGTTTTCTTGTCACCACATTCCCACCAGTAGCGTAACCCCAATTTCTGCATATAAACCCGCACACAACCCTCAATTCCTCCAATCGCTCTGACGACGGGCTTGCGCTCGAAACATCAGCTTTTAAACTCTTCAGCTACGGTGGCTAATTTACGTTATCAACTAAGCTGATTACTCTTTTACATTTGAGTGTTTGGGATATGCGGCTATCTTTAGTTGAACGTCCTATTGGTACGTCACCGTCGTACGCATGCGCATCAAACACAACTGTTTTCTTTTTCTCGCCAATCTCGCACCTAAAGATCACAATGTACTCCTTTAGTGGTTCCCAAGGCAACCAACAGCTGGTCAAAAAGACTTAGGACACGGGGCTCGGGATTACCTTCTCGATAAAGCATTCATTTGATGGAAAGCCAAACTTGAATATTATCGTCTCTAGCACCTAGCCGTTTGTTTGTTTGTCTGTTCGAATGTTAGACGTAACTATTCTGTTTTGTTTGCATATCGAAGAAAACCAAGTTGGTCAGGCAAATCGACGATCAAACTAAAATCAGTAAGTTGGATGAGTTTATTTGTATCTCTCTATTTGCTTAAAACCATTGATTATTAGCTGAATATAACGCAGACTCGTGGCTCAGGAACGTGATTTTAGAATACAGCAGAGTACCGATTTTTCGAACTCCTTGTCAATGTGAACCACAATTTTCCTTTTCTCTGGGAGGTTCGCAAAGAACGAAATTCCTCTTTAAACAGCCAAAACCGTTCACTCCAACAATCCCTCAGTGAATAGATGTTAGTCTATAAAACCAATACCAGTGTATTACGATCTGAAAGGGAAAAGGACTCTAGTTACACATTTGAACATTTTGAACCGTGGATTATTAAATGGAGACGAGAGTAATCGCCGCAGTAATGACTTGAACTTAGTAACATTCAAACCCAGTAGCTCTAAAAAATGCTTGTAAAGTTACCGTGAAAATCTTGTTTTGATATGTTGCTTTGTCTAATGGAGTGGTAAGAGGGTTCTTTCTTTTTATTTTTTACAGTTTATTGCCATCATGAAACAACTCAGTGCTTCGTGAAGCAGTCACGCGATTCTGTAGCTTTGATAGGAGAGCGAGTCGAGGTGAATGTTTACACTGTAACTTGCAGTTGGTTCATTGAGAGTTACTTTACTCTGCGGGAAACGAGGTGGCTTCCGGATCGAGGCCCGTTTCTTGAAAGTCCTAATAATTGTAGGCTTGATTACCAGCCACTGTTCGGGAATATGAGCCCACGCCTCTCCCCCGAACCCATTTCTCTCCTTGGGAAGGAGCCAAGACCAGACACGAGAGAGCGGCGGAAATCAAGCCTATGATAATCTGTGCCTTCGAAAAACTGATTTTTTTGGTTACATTTAAGTTCGATATATTTAGATAGCCCTGAGATTCAGCCACTTTAGATATCAGGAAATGAAACAAAGTTATTAAATTTGAGCTGAGACACGCGCTTTCCAACCACCCTACAAATAGAGTGTAGATTGAAGATAGAGATACTAAAGTTGTTTCCTCCCACCCAGCCTGAACGTTACCTAATAGCTGGGACATCCGTGGACATCCCCGAATTACCTCAAAAGAAGGACATCATTAGAATGAAGGTATGACTGACTGCCTTATTCCAGACTGCTTTCCTACAATTTAAATGCTGTGTTACTTGCGTTCCCTGCTCGTTATTTTCCTGCCTTTTGAATCACGTGTCCTCCATCCCTCTGAATATTCTGTGCTTCAACATTAAAAGTGTTGTCACTTCAACAAGCGTTACCAAACCAGTTTTTCTCGTTTACAATTTTTTTTGACAGGTTCACGTTGCTGGTTGGGTAATTGAGCCCATGCTACAAAATGGTCAGCTGTATTCTATGGTGTCGTATCTTACTCAGGTAAAGAGGTGTTCAATGTAACGTAACTCTACATGAACTGAGTGCATTTCAACTGAGTGAAAAATAAAACAAAACAGAAGTAATCTATGCTGCTAAATTGAACCAACAAAAATATTCCAAGCAGCCAACAAAAATCGAATTAAAACAAGCAAACCACTTGAAGTGCTAGAAAACGCGAGTAGTCAATGAAAGCCGCGCTTGGTTTCATTCTTGCCACTGATTGGTTGTGAGTGTGGCACCAATCACAGAGCCGTATATAGTGAGCGAAACTTAAGCAATCCCGAATTACTCTTGACACTCAAATGCCAGCTGCTGTAACTGTTATCTCACTCCCAAGATCTCATAAGAAACTCTCATTACTGTCCGCCATAAAATTCTCATGATATCAGTTTGGAGAATTCGGTATTGGATCAAGTAATAATCCCCTTATTAATATTTGTCTTGATTCTTATCACTTGTCTACTTGATATTGTATTCGTATGGTAAGGAGAAATTCTTTCTTGATCACTCATGGGAGTTGAAGGCTCAAGTAATAAATATGTATTATTTTGACATTTTTTCCAGCTTGATTTTGGTGGTCCTTTTCCTGCTGCTATTTTAAATCGTGTCGGTCGTCGCCAACCACTATGTATCGCATATCTCAGAGACCACTTGGAAAAAAAGGAACGCAAAGCATCCACGGTGTAACCATTTAAAATGTGCTTAGACCCTCACGTCACCAAATATATGCGTGACCCACAGCTTGGGGCGAAATATGGACAGAGGACAAAATTTCGGTGGATGGGGCTTAATGTTTGTGTCAATAAATTTGGGTCATGGAATGTTCTTCCTGATAGGAAGTGATCTCCTCAGTTGTATGAACACTTAAATTTCACAGAAGAACAAAAAACAAACAAACGAACAAACAAACCAGCAAAGAAAGCAGAAATTTGCTATTTTCGAGATTCCTAAAGGTTCCGTTTTAAACCGAGGACAAGTGAAACGCCTCTGTTGTAGGAATTTTTCAATATTGTTTTGAAAATAATATTGTCTTTTACAAGGAACATTTTGTACTTGCATTCTAGAATCATTGTCTTGTGGATATCACTTGACCCACAATTGGCATTCACATATAAAGCATGAGACTTCTATAGTAGTTCACTTTCATCAGATTATGTCAACTAAATATGTGAACGACGGCATCTGAGACTCTTGGGATGAAGTTCCACGGCAGCATCGCGAACCAAATAGAAATTTACTTTCGCGAAAGTGAATCGCGTGGATGGGAATTGCATCGACCATGATTGAATTGAAGTCTTGCTTTCCGCTATTGACATAAGTTTTTGTTGTTTGTTTGTTTGTTCGATCTGGGGTTCTCTGATCAGGTGCAACCACAAATTTGAGTTACAAAATTAAAGAATCTTTTTGATTAGTATAATTTAGATATAATTGTTTATTTCTTTTAATTTCTGTTGAAAATTGATCTCAATTGTTGTCAGCCTTAAATGTGTTTCTTTTCTTTCAATTTCATCCAAAAAACCGTGAAATATCTTTTTATTTTTGTTGACGATGCTTATTTTTTTGTTGCCGGTGTTTGTCAAAACCATGCAACTGTGAATCGAATATTCTACTTGATCTGTATCCTTATCCTTTCCAAGAAGCTTTCAGACTCTTTCAGAAAGCTAGAAAGTAGTAACAAATTAATGAGTGAATGGATTGTTAAATTTAAAGTCCACATTTAATTTTTATTGACAAGTAATGCATAATAAAAGCTTGGATGTTTGGTTTTCTTCGTTGGCTGTTTTGCGTGTTTGTTTGTTAGTTTGCTTGGTTTTAGAGAGAATCCAAACCGGGCGAAAAAGGCGCATATCGATTAAAATAATCGTATGTATGCACGATTGCCAAATGAGAGATCTAATTAAAACAATGAGACAAAATATTTTCCTATGTTTTGACATTAAAAGATTAAAAAAAATCCTTTAATAGCACTATGAAAGCAGCAATAAAATTAGACGTTCTTAGCTTTCTGTAGCATTAGCGGTAGCATTTGCATTAGCATTAGCTCTTCTCTCCTCTAAAGTATTGGGTTTCCTTGGAGGAGATCAAGCGAGAAACTCAAGTTTACATCCTATGTAGAAATCTTCACTCGCGATCGGTATGTTTTCAATTTACTCGGCCTCTTCTTCATGAAACCAGAATTTTTTTAAGAAGGCACAGGAGACGTGAATACGCACGAACAATTCCCAAAAGAGGGATCTAGTTCAAATAGAGAGACAAATACTTTATTATGTGTTAATCTTTTAATAGCTACATCAAAAACGTAAATTGAAGTTCGGCTAGTTAAATCGATTCTAACTATTGTCATTACGACTTCAAAGTTCTTTTTGATGGCGCCATACGGCATTTGTCAATAATTTCTTGCTGCATCTATTTAGCTTATGATGCTGTTTTCGCTACAAATGTACCGCTGTATTTTGTTTATTTTACACCTTTGCAAAGCGTTTGCGTTTTTTTTTTAAATATTAAAAACGAAGTGAACGTCACTAATTCTTTGCTTACGCTTGCGAATAATGCTTCATTAAAGAGCTAAGCGTTGTTACGAATATCTAAATTAGAACGCTTTTCTCGTCCCTTAATAGTCATAGATCCATAAAGCAGAGAAACATAAATCGTTGAAAGTTATCAAGCTCTTCTTATAATACCGTTGGAAGTTAATTTACCGTTTCAAACCCAATCACCGGCAACAAGATTCTAAAATCTTATGTACACGCGTTCAACCATTGATACTAACCTAAATTTATTAACATAAACCCCGTAATGCTATATTAAGTTTTGCGACAGTATTTAACGATATCATGCAAGCACGGTGCTAAAACATTTGACACCTTAAGGTACATTCTTGATTCTACGTGCAAAGAATGTGCTGATTAGTGAAAGAGCCTTGATGGGTGCGAATGACGGTCTTAACTTAACATTTGCCAACATTGATCGACGGTGACAGTGGTGGTTAAAATTGCAATTCGGCGTAAAATTCAGCCTTGTACATCTGACCCCCTTATAATCTGACACAATCATGGCCCGAATTGAGACATATTAACTAAATTCCACGGTATTTTCTCGACCATGTTCAGTATTCTTTTCTTCATCATCTATTGTGACTTTTACATGACCTACAGTAGCTCGACGCAGATACCGACACGATCCAAGTGATCTGAATTGGTCCTCTAGTGATGGACCTTGAGTTGATTGCATCCCCGGCGTCGCCTTTAGAAGGCTATCGCGACGAGCTTGTTCTCTCAACTTGAGATTTCTTGGCAACAAAGATGGTGATAGCTTACCGTTATTTTCTTCCAATCCTGGTGAGCGAGGCGACAGTTGTATCAACTCTGACGGACGATCTCGATTCAAAAAAGAATTACTCGATTGCCGAGTTAAAATGGGTGAACCTTGAGGTGAAGGGAAGATTTCGTTGTATGAGCACCGACGAGGAATCGGCGACGGATTCGAACCGGAGTGTGGCGATAAACTGACATTTTCCCAAGAAAAAGTTGTCTTTCGATGGCCTAAAATTGGAGAACATGGTGCTGATTTGATCTCAGTTTTTATGGCTGGCAACCTAAGTTTGCTAGAAGCGTCAACCGAATCTTCTGTTTTGCTAGGGCTGCATGATCCTGCATCTTTGTTCGTGACTGGTTTAGCAATTTGAATCATCATCGTGAGTTTTTTCCGTAACTTTTGAGCCTCCAAGTCCATTTTTCTTTCAAATCGATTGTGTTCACTCTGTATAGAAGCACTTATCTTTTGATTCGTTTGTCTAAGTAGCGAGTTTTTTTGAACACAATTTCTCTCTTTCACCGAAAGTTCACAGTTGTTTGGTTGTTCCTCCATGGTGGTCGTGTCACTTGGGCTGCCCCGATTCATCTTCCAAACCTTCCCTGTTCAAAACAAATATTGCTCGTCTGGGAGATATTAAAAAACTTCACTTAAGTTTTCAGCCTTTCATAATTGGAAATCAATCATTGTACTATTATTGAGCAAGGCGGTCTATTTTTGTCTTTTGAATTTCTTTTATTCCCAGGAATTAACCACCTTTCTTTATCGGAGCTGCTTTATAATTCTATTGTATTCTTTCACTAGTATTGTATTCATGTACATGTAAACACGATTCCTCGCCCGGGATTTAGAAATTTAGTTTAAGTGAAAATCAAACTAGATGTGCTAAGATAGTTTCAGTTGATTTAGGGTCAAAGTTCCTGTCGTTTATTGAATTCATTTACAGATCTTACGCTACTTATGACTGTTTTACCACATTTTTATCATCAGAAATACACTTCTGTGTCCGATGGGTCTAACTAAGGCCAACAAGCTGGCCTATGTAGAAATCATTAACAAGTTATCTCCACTGAAGGGCTGACGATCTAATTTCCGAAGCAAACAAGACTTTGAGAGGTTTATTTAAGTGACAGTTGCATAGCTTTTGCAGTATCTATCACTGGGGCAGTTAAAGGGGCAATTATTTTTCTTTTTCAATGGGGAACATTCATCCGCTTTAATTTCGACGTCTTTTGGAAAAGATTAAACAATTAAAAAAGACCCCCACCAGCGCTCTTCTGTATGCCGCCAAGATAATAGGCCCTTGTCCGTTCCGATTTGCTAAATTAACGAATTAAACGATTAAAATGCCGTGCAGCACGAAACTTTTGCGGGAGCTTTAGGTCGGGATATATTATCAACCATTTAAACTGTAACGGGTTTAGGTCGAAGCGGTTGAAGTCTCCCTATAGAACACTTGAACAACCGCTTTTAGTTGGACCACGTTAGCTCCTGGGAATTGCCCTAACCAGGCTTCTCCGCCTTTAACAGTCGAGGGAAAACAGCTCATTCGCAGAAGTGCTCATCTTCTCTGATAATCGAACAATTCGGGACGGTTACTTTTTTCTAAATGAACAACTAGTTTATACGTCAGCGTGCTTCATCGAGATATGTAACACGCTGAAAGTTTGGGAGCACGAAAGATGCACAAGAGTTTCTTGAGGCGCAGCTAAGAGCAGCTTCAGTTTCGTGAGTGCTCTCCAAAATTTTCAGCAGCTGCTTTTATTCAACACATTAATTGAGACTGACGAGAATCTTTCCATTTTACAAGTGCTGTTGAAGATCGCGCTTGACTTTTAAAATGATCAAATTTAAAGGTACAGATCAACCAAAAATGTGTCGTTCCAGACAGAACGTACACAAAAGAGCCCAGCGGTTGATCCCAGGACAACACGATTTTACTTTGCGAATTGGTTCGAGATGAGCGAAATTTCAGCTAGGAACTGTTTTCTGCGATTTTATCCCCAAGCAGAAGAAATTTCACAACTCTTATTGCATTAAATGTTTATTAACAACATAACATGACAACTATTTTAAAAAGTGTTTTTAAACCTTACAACCGTGCTGCCCACAAGGACTAACACAACACCAAAACCAAGCAAATAAGACACTCATACCCCCAGACTACAGGTATATTTTAAATACTTTTTTTAGGTCTTGTAAAGATTCTACGGGAACTTATTTTAGGGGTTCAGAACAATTCTTAACCCCGTTGAATTTTCAAATTGAATTTGTTACTTTCAAATTAAGCAGCTTTCAAAGCTATGAATCGCTTCTCTAGGTAATGGAATAGAAAATTCGACACCTTTGGCACAATAATTACAGCTCATTATTATTGAAAAATATTGATAAAACTATTCAGTTTTTTAAAAGCACGGCGCAACCGCCTTCTCGCCGGCTTGAAAAAAATGCTAAAAAAAACTAATTCCACCCCCCACTGAGAAGGCGAAAATTTCATTAGCTGGACAACACATTCTTTTTATTAATTTTGTATCGGGTTGAACAAGACTAGTGAGCAGGATAATTACCTGAAAGGATGATTTACGACCCCCATGGGTGAATTATGAAACTCCAGATTGATTACAGAAATGATTGCGTTTATTCCAGTTTATTACAAGTTTGTGAAAATTATCGTCATCGGTACCATCATAGTTGGGGATATTTAATTTCACAATTATTATCACTCTACGTTGAAATATTTGTCTCCCTTCCTAATGATTAATTTTTTTTATTTGCAACTTAAACCTATTGTGTATCTTCAACGTACGCCGGATGAGCGACTGCTCTGATTTGGTGTTTTGTCGACACAGCCGCGTTTAATTAAGTGCTGCGTTTTAAAAGCAGTGAACATGGTGCAGATGATGTTCGAAATTAACCTTATGTTAGATTTGCATCGACTGAGTTTGATGTTAGACACTCTTCTTGCAGGCGGAGATATTAGGAAAACTATAATCTCCTAGATCTCCCTGAAAAGGCGAAAAAACTCCTCTTCGTGTTGTTTGGTTAGCGGTCGAACCGATCGAAGCAAACTGTAGCAACTATTACGTTCACTGACATTTTAGGCTTACAGCCATTCGAGGCCGTTTTAGTCGGATTTGGGAATTTATTTTCAATAGGTTGGAGGAACATCCAGTGATCGTTGCCTTGTGTTAGCTGACTGAAAAATTCTGAAAGATACCTTTCATTGGTTTTAATACAATTTGAATGTTTGAATCAATATTTATTTGGAAGGCATTTAGATGTAAATTGCGCATTTACAGAGTGAAAGAATGAACACCTGCTAAAACCTGCACATTTGGTTATTAAGGTCGTTCATTTTGATTATATGATATATATATCTTAATAAATTATTTCCCTGTATTTTTCATTGAGTCTCAATTAAAAATGTAAACCAACTTGTACTGACTCTTCGATTTTTCCTTTTAACTTAGCTTTTTCTTTCCTAAATTTTCTTTTAAGCCTCGGTAGACGTTAATATATGAGTAAAAAATATCGGGTTTTTGACTGGAAAAGGAAACTGTTGTCTCATTTAACATTCGGCACCCTAACATCACCACACATTTTGTATAGTGTTCTCAATGCATCCATATGGTAGTCTAATACCCAGACCTTCCACATGGAAGGCCAAGCCATATCACGGACGGTTAAAGGGTTGGATTTGGTACGAGATTACCCATATGGTGCTGACTAGGAGAATTTGTTCAACAATCAAGAGTGTGACTATTGGTTTTCGCGCCTAAACTGGGAAACTGAATCTTCGCGGACGGCACAATAACAACTGGGGGAAATAACTCGGTAGAGACCACTTGGCAGCGAGAACGGAAACTCGTCACGATTCCCTGGTACACGGAGATCTACTTCGAGTGAGCTTGTACGGACGTCAAGGATAAGACAATCTTTGGTTCCACAGTACTTTTATTCTAGGTCAGGCCAACAAGCGACATGACCTCTAGCGTACACAAATTGCAATCATCAAAGCTTTACAAGGTACTTGCTTAAGAACTAACTGGTGTGAGGTGCTATTGTTACACAAATCGCAATATTTGAATAAGGACACAAAGGAGCGGAAAAAGGTCTCTTTGAAGTTAGACGAAAACTACCGAAATATTCCATCGGTTTCTACGACGGAAATAATTTCAAAATTAAAAAGACGGATGTAATAAACTCGAGTCCATTAAAGTAGGAAACTTAGGTGAGAATTCACAGTTCTGGTATATAAAATAATACCTATCTTAACTGCAGAAGCGCAGCTTAGGAAATAAAAACGGAAAAGCATGAAAAGTTTCTGCTTATCTATTGCCGCATTCACACCAAAGCTTAAACATGTTTAAAAGTTGTTTTGTTAAACACAGTTTAATTTTTTTTTTCTTTTTAGAAACTATTTAACCGAATATTTTTGACTTGAATGTAGCACATTGGAAATGCAAGTTAGCAAGTACTTGAATCCAATGGAAAATCAAGTTTTTCAGTGCTCTGTTTATAATTTTCATTCAATGAAAACCAGTTTAACAAAACATGTTTTGCTGGTGTGAATGGGGTATATGCAAGGTTGGTGTGGAAACTATCGTATGAAAAGAAATTAAAGTTACGAGTATAAACTCAGCTGCTAACTACCATGAAAACCAATTTTTTTTAGAAAGACCATTAACACTTATATTTACCTAAAAAACCATGTAATAAATAACAAAAGTGCCGCCATGCAGGTGCATAATGAAAGCGAGTAACAAGCAAAATCTATTCTAAAAGCTTCTGTGGTTTTTATACATTTTTTGATTTATTAAAATGAAAGGACTTGAAATAGTTAAATGTGAAAGTTTACGAATAAGTTTGTTCCGAATAACACACACGGAAAAATCAGTAAATTTTCCCGTAACAAGAGCTATTTAAGTTGTAGATTGTTTCCTTTATTCACTCAGGAGTGGTGTTATGAGGAGAAATTAAATGCCAGCAACTCTTAGGATTTAAAGGGTTAAATCTTTAATAGCTTGTAAAATTGAAGGTAATTAATACACCTCTCATCTTGATTACTGATGTGCTTCTCTTTTTTAAATGTTAAAAATGCCCTATTTTTTAATTTCATATTCCTGACTCAAAAAGAGAATTGGACTCTCTAGATAATGAATGTCGAAAATGGTACTTTGGAGTCCAAATCGAAAAAAAAAGGGAGATCGAGCATTTAAGTCGAAGGTCTACTTGTAACAATTGATGAATTAAACTCCGATTTTGAAAGTTCACCGTCAGAGATCAGGACGTAGGAGATTAGTCGAAAATTGAAGTCTGAAGCCGGAAGTGAGAATATTATACGTTAATGGTCGGAAATAAAACTCCGAAATCGAATGTCCGAAATCCGAAGGTTTACATCGGAAATTAGAAGTCCGAAGCCGGAAACAAAAATATTCTACGTTTATGGTCGGAAATAAAACTTCGAACTCCGGAATCGAATGTCCGAAGGCCGGAAGGCGAAAAGTTAAAAGTCGGTAGTCTGAAATAAAACTGTGAACTTCGAAATCAAATGTCTGAGATCGACTTCTGATAATCAAATGTCAGAA